GAACATATAAAAAATGCTCATCATCTCTAATCATCAGGGAAATGCAAATCAAAACTACAATGAGAATCACTTAACTCCAGTGAGAATGGCCTTTATCAAAAGTCTCCAAATAATAATGCTGGCGTGGATGTGGGAGAGAGGAACACTCCTACACTGTGGTGGGACTGCAAACTAGTTCAACCTCTGTGGAAAGCAATATGGGGATACCTTAAAGCGATACAAGTGAATCTACATTTGATCCAGCAATCCCATTGCTGGGCACCTACCCAAAAGATCCAATGACACTCTACAAAAAAGACACCTGCACTCGAAGTTTTATAGCAGCACAATCATAAAAAAAAAAAAAAGACATTAAAAAAAGTTAATTGCTTAGTAAATTTTATATGTATGAGAAGTTTTAGTGCTTAGGATTTAATAATTTTGTGTGAAATTTTGTGAAATGTATCCTGAAGTTTTCTGCTTTATTTAATATAATTTTTCGATAACTTTTTAAATTACAAAAGTTGTACCTGTTCATTGTAGAATACTGTAAAATTGCCAAGATGTCCCAAAAAAGAAGAAAATAAAGCTACCTTAAACCTTACCACTAAAGATAACTACTAACATCCTCCTTTTTTTCCATGTGCCTAGGTTTGTACATTTAAACACATTATAAATTAGTTACTATAGAACCAGGAGTCTGAGCCTATCTATTAAAACCTATAAATAACAGTTGAAATTCTTCTGTGTTAAAATATACTCATATCTCACTTATTTGGAGAGTAGCCTAGGACTGATTTGTGGTATAGTTAAGTAATCAAAGTACCTCCATTGTTCCTAAGGAGGAATAGGATTACTTGGGAATAGTGAGGTCACTTAGTCACTATGGCTACCTATAAAGCTTATAATGATAATTGACCAGTTCTGTATCTTCATTCCCTTTTTCCTTAGGACTCCATATCATCCACAGCCTAGACGAGGTCAATTTCATACAGAACCTTGTGTTTTACATTGAAGCGGCATATAAAACTGCTGTAAGTACTCATTTTGGAATGGATTTGAAACATATAATTTTTAAAACAAATACTGGGTAAGCCAATCTTTTAATGCTGCCCCTCATAGGGAACGAAGGCTTCTGGCAGAAATTGTCTTCATTCTCTTCCTTTACTAACATCTGTCATCCTCTGTTTGCCTTTTCCCCAAGGGGGTTACAGAGAGGGTCAAGATGCTATGCTTTCTTTCCTTTCAAACTCTGTGATATCTCATGGTATGTATTTGACAATCTGGGGCTAAATTGTGATCTTATTTTAAGGGTTTAAGGTCTTATACATGAGTAGGATGGCTAAGGAGTATTGTGAGTCAGTTAGCTACATAGAAATAAAATTTAGTCATGTGTTTAATATTATCTGTAGGCATTGATTCAGCACTTACTATACAAAAAAGATTGTTTTTCTTTACAACTACCACATGAGGTAGGTTTATATTAAATCATAATATATTTAACATATTCTCTGTAAAAAAAATTTAAGTTAGATACTGTATAAGAATGCAACTTTTTCTTCATCAAGCTAACATAGTTTTTTGTTGTTCATTGAAGCTTTATTCATAATTTCCAAAATTGGAAATAGATTCCCATCAACAAGTAAATGGATAAATAAATTGCAGTATATCCATAAAATGAAATATTGCTCATCAATAGAAAGGAATGAACTATTGATCCATATATCAACATGGATGAACCTCAAAGGCATTATGCTCAGTGAAAGAAGCCAATTGATCTATTTGTCTCATTATTGGCTGTGTTTTCCTGCTCCTTTGCATCCCAGTAATTTTTTATTGGATGCTAGATATCATGAATCTTACCTTGTTGCATCCTGGATATTTTTGTATTCCTATCAATATGCTCAAGTTTTGTTCAGGTATCCGGTTAAGCTAGGTGGAACCAGTTTGATCCTTTATTGCTTTTAAGATCCATTATCTGGGTCTGGAGTGAAGTCTAGTCTAGGACTAATTACTCCCACTACTTAGACAAGACTCTTCTGAATACTCCACCCAACGTCCCCTGAATTATGAGGTTTTCTAGCATTGCTGGTTGGAATAGGTACTATGTCTGATCCTGTGTGAGCACTAGGTATTTTTCCCTCTAATTATTTTGGGTGTTTTTTCCCCCAGCCTCAAGTAGTTTTTTTACATACATGCACTGATCATTATTCTAGTGAATACTCAATGATGACCCTCTGCAGATTTCTGGGGTTCTCTGTGTAGCTCTCTCTTCTCCATTAATCTGTCCTGCAAATTATAGGTACCTTGGTGTCTCTGTACTCTCAGCTCCATTTCCTCAACTTGAGGAGTCTGCCAGGCTCTGCTTGGGTTTCCCCTCCCTGCACCGTGGCCTGGAAACTCTTAAAACAGTAAGCTGGGCAATCATAGAGCTCGTCCTATTTGTTTCCTCCTCTCATGTGTCACTGTCCTTCACTGCATGACTTTCATGTTTATTGTATTGGAAACCATTATGTCATAAATAGTTCTTTAGTTGTTTCAGATGGGAGGGTAAATCTGGAACCTCTTACTCCATATCCTGTCAGAAGCACAAGTCTAACACAGAAAGTTTTGATGCAAACAGACATTATTTGTTGTCTGATCGCTTTGCTTTCTGATACCACAGGTCAGCTGTGGTCCAATGTAGAAGTTAGGCTTCTTTGGCCTCTACATTGTATCCAATGGTTGTAGCAGTAGAATTGATGATATTTGTGCCTTCTTATACTCTAGTATTTGCTGCATAAACTAGGATGGAGCTGAATTTGGGGCAGGTGAGGCCAGGCATGGGTTCAACATGGCTCACCTTCCTGAAACTTCACTTTAAGTCAGAGATTTGACATGCCAAGTAATTAAAAGTAGATACAGAAATAAATATAGATGTTTGTGGGTATGCATATGTCTGTTTGCAAGTTCCATTCAATGAGAGGGCCTAGAAGGAATGACACCCCAGTGACAATGAGCATACCTAGTACCCAGGCCTTAAATTCCATTATTTTCTAATAAAATAAACCAGGTATTCTTATGGATGTGTTTGATTCTAGGGCTGGAGCAGGGAAAATACAAGATGAGATTAGAGCATCTTATAGTGCCAGAAATTGAAGAAATGCTCAAAAAGGAATGGGGGAGCATGTCAAAATGGCAGAGGAACCAACCTGAAAGAATATCCACTAGCTAAATCTGGAACAATTCAAACAACAAAATAATGATAGTATTTTATTATAAGCCAGAGAAAAACCTAAATATCTATAAGTTCATAGTGATATAAATAACTGAATAAATAAATAAATGGGGGAGAAAGGACAGCTCTTCCTTAGAGAAGAATTGCAATTAATGACTATAGAAGTAATGAAGAAACTAGAAAAATCACCATTAAAGCACCACTGTAATAATTGTTGCAGGCAAGATCCACCAATGGATGCATTAGTGGATGAATGAGGAGAAACAAGATGTTTGCATAGTCCTAAAGAATCTCTCTCAAGATATTTATTAATTACAAAGGGAAAAATATTAACAGTAGAATGGAGAAACCTGGCAGACATATGAATGAAGTGATGAAGGTTAACATCACCAGTAATAAGACATATCAGCATCATATAACCCTGCTATGATACACTGAGGACACAGTATAATGCCTGTAATATGTATTCTTGCCAAAAATGCTTAACCTCAATGTAATCACAAGAAAACATCAAGTAAACCCAGATTGACGGAAATCTACAAAATACTTGATCACTAGTATTTTGTGAAAAGTACCAAGGTCATGAAAGACAAGACTTGAGGAACTATCATTGAGTGGAAGAGACTAAGGAGACATGAAAAATGCAGCATGAAATTCTGGATTGGATCCTAGAATGCAAAAAGGCCATTAGTGGAAAAACTAGTGAAATCTAAATAAAGTCCAGATTTGGTTAATAGAATTGTACCTATGTTAATTTCTTAGCTTTGACAATTGTATTATGGTTATGTTACATGTTAACATTAGGGGAAGCTTAGTGAAAGGTATATGGAAACTCCTCATACTATTTGCAGCTTTTCTGTAAGTCTAAAGTTATTTCAAAATAAAAAGTTTAAAAAAATATAAGTTATCTTTATATTATTGGGGGGATGTATAGAACTATGGCTAAGAGAGTAGGCTTTGGGGTGAGATTACTTGGAGTCTGATCCTGGCTCTGTCACTTGTTAGCTATGTGACCTTGAGTGAGTTACTTATACTCTCTTTGCACCTCAGTTTCATCATCTATAAAATGTAAGCATTAAGGAAGATAATAATGTATAATGCATAGGTTAGTGCATGGTACATTGACAGTGTCGATAAACAGTAAAATGAGAATAGATGTTTAAGATAAAATACTGGGCTGCTGTTTAGGCTCCATCTCATAGATCCCCTGGGTATTTGCTCTGATGAAAAGTTTTGAGAAGCACCTCTTTAGATGGACAGAGTTATAGTTCTTAGCCCTCCCGATTAACTGTTGAGAAGTCTTCTAACTTCTTGGAGGCTCCAATAAGAATTTAAAGCTTTTGGGAAAGCAGCTGCAGGGGCCATCCAACTCAATGGTATCTCCTGAATAAGCATTGTAGGTGTACCTATGTATAGCAAATTAGGTACTAGTGGTGTCTTTTATTCAAGGGTTGTGCATCTAGTGAGTGTTTAGTATTATAGTTATGACTTGCTAATGATATATTGGTTATTTTACACCAGGACTTTGGAATATGGGAACGTGGAGACAAGACCAACCAAGGGATCTCAGAATTGAATGCCAGTTCAGTTGGAATGGCAAAGGTAATTTTCCTTTCTTGTTTGTACCAAGTATGGGATAAGGAAGTCTGGTGCACTTTTGCCATACATAAAAACTTAATGTGAATGTGGATCATTACCAAATTATTCTTTTAAACCACAGGCAAGATTCAGATTCTTTCATAGAACTGTGGATATATAGATGAAAACTTCTGCAAGCTCCAGATTTGCTGTCTCACTATCTTTGTGGCATGTCTCTGCTTAAACTATATCCCACAAAGACTTCAAAGAACATATCTTAAACTAAACTCATCATCTCTATCATTGCAAAAACAAAAGGAGACTGTTATCCCTTCCATATACCAGCTGACCATTCTTGATATCAGGGAACCATCTCTCAGTCCTCCATCCCCTTTATGCTTCTCCATCTGCCCTCCCACCACCAACACCAACACCATCATCATCATCATCATTACCTTTCCAATAAGCCCTATCTTTTGATCCTACCTGCTCTTATCTTATCTGGAAACAGCAATAAGGAATAACATAGGATAGCAGAAATAGGATAAAACATGTCCATAATGATAAATATACATGATTTATTCTCTCCTACTAAAATACAAAGACACAGATTGATTTATAAAAGAAGAAAGCAAATCTAATATATACTGCCTATAAGAGCTCTAATATAACAAAAAGATATAGAAAGATTAAAAACAGAAGGATGGGCAAAGTAAAGTCTGACAAACGTAAACAAAAATGAATGGAGATGACTATGTGAACGTCAGATGAAGTCGAATTCAAAACAGAGTATTATATGGAACAAAGGGTACAGAAAGGGTCATGATAGAATTTTAAAAGGTGCAATCAGGCGGGGTGCTGTGGCTCATGCCTGTAAACCTAGCACTCTGGGAGGCCGAGGCGGGAGGATTGCTCAAGGTCAGGAGTTCGAAACCAGCCTGAGCAAGAGCGAGACCCCGTCTCTACTATAAATAGAAAGAAATTAATTGGCCAACTAATATATATAGAAAAAATTAGCCAGGCATGGTGGCACATGCCTGTAGTCCCAGCTACTCGGGAGGCTGAGGCAGGAGGATCGCTTGAGCCCAGGAGTTGGAAGTTGCTGTGAGCTAGGCTGATGCCATGGCACTCACTCTAGCCTGGGCAACAAAGCAAGACTCTGTCTCAAAAAAAAAAAAAAAAAAGGTGCAATCTATCTCTTAGTTCGTTTTTGTGTCACTATAAGGGAATACTGAAGGCTGGGTATTTATAAAGAAAAAGGTTTATTTGGCTCACAGTTCTGAGGACTGTTAAGCATGGCATCAGCATCTGCTTCTGGTGAGGGCCTCGTACCACTTCTACTCATGGCAGGAGGTGAAAGGAGCTGATGTATCACATGGCAAGAAAGGGAGGAAGCAAGAGAGAAAGGGAAGGGAGGTGTCAGGCTCTTTTTAATAATCAGTTCTCATGGGAATTCACTACTGGGAGGACGGCACCAAGCCATTCATGAGGGTCCACTTCCATGACCCAAATACTTCCCACTAGGCCCCACCCCCAATATTAGATATCAAATATCAACATGAGATTTGGAGGGGACAAATATCTGAACTATATCAACCTATAATGAGAAGGTCTGGTCTAGAATGTAGTTTTTTTTTTTATTTTTTTATCTCAGCATATTATGGGGGTACAGATTTTAAGGTTTCAATAAATGCCCTTTCCCTCCTCCCCCCACAAGTCTGATTCTCCAGCATGACCATCCCTCAGATGGTGCACATGTCACTCATTATGTATGTATATACCCCCCTCTTTCCTCCTCCCCAATACCTGTTACTGTAGTACCTATGTGTCCACTTAGGTGCTACTCAGCTAATACCAGTTTGCTGGTGAGTATATGTGGTGCTTGTTTTTCCATTTTTGGGAAACTTCACTTAATAGTATGGGTTCCAGCTCTAACCAGGAAAATATAAGATGTGCTATATCACCGTTGTTTCTTAGAGCTGAATAGTACTCCATGGTATACATATACCACATTTTATTAATCCATTCTTGGATTGATGGGCACTTGGGCTATTTCCACAGCCTTGCAATTATGAATTGTGCTGCTATAAACATTCGAGTGCAGGTGTCTTTTTTGTAGAGTGTCATTGGATCTTTTGGGTAGATGCCCAGCAATGGGATTGCTGATCAAATGGTAGATTCACTTGTATCGCTTTAAGGTATCTCCATATTGCTTTCCACAGAGGTTGGACTAGTTTACAGTCCCACCAGCAGTGTAGGAGTATTCCTCTCTCTCCACATCCACGCCAGCATTTATTATTTGGAGACTTTTTGATAAAGGCCATTCTCACTGGAGTTAAGTGATATCTCATTGTAGTTTTGATTTGCATTTCCCTGATGATTAGAGATGATGAGCATTTTTTCATATGTTTGTTGGCCATTCTTCTGTCTTCTTTAGAAAAGTTTCTGTTCAAGTCCTTTGCCCACTTTTTAATAGGGTTATTTGATTTTTCTTACTGATTTTCGTGAGTTCTAAGTATATTCTAGTTATCAGCCCTTTATCGGATACGTAGGATGCAAAAATTTTCTCCCATTCTGTAGGTTGTCTGTTTACTTTCATGACTGTTTCTTTGGCTGTGATATAAAACCATCCTCATATAGCCATCTAATATTTGACAAATCAGACAAAAACATACACTGGGGAAAAGAATCCCTTTTCAATAAATGGTGCTGGGAAAACTGGATAGCCACTTTTAGAAGGCTAAAACAGGACCCACACCTTTCACCTCTCACAAAAATCAACTCACGCTGGATAACAGACTTAAACCTAAGGTATGAAACCATTAGAATTCTAGAGGAAAATGTTGGAAACAGTCTCCTAGACATCGGCCTAGGCAAAGAGTTTATGAAGAAGTCCCCAAAGGCAATCAAAGCAGCAACAAAAATAAAGAAATGGGACATGATGAAACTAAAAAGCTTCTGCACAGCCAAAGAAACAGTCATGAAAGTAAATAGAATATAGTTTTAATTAATAAAGACCAAAAGATATTAGAAATACAAGGTAAAATGAAACAATTATAAGAAAATAATCTCACAAAAAACATTGCCAGGCTATGATACATGCAGTAAACCAAAAATAAGATCATGGAAAATTTGAATTATATAATTTATGCAATTGAATTAATGAATATATGTGGAATTTTATACCTATAAAATATTTATCCCCTGGGTAAATTTTTTCTTTTTAATGTATTTTCAAATTGCTAACGTGGTATAGATATGACACTTATTTTTTAAAATGAGATCCTACTATACCTACTTCTGTATAACAAGATTTTTTTCATTTAACAATCTCATATTTTACTAAAGAACATAACCAAACATTCCTCCATATCATTTTATGCAGATAAATCTAGTTCATTCCTTTCAGTTGTTGTATAGTATTTAATAATTGCTCTATTGGTGAAGTTTCACAAATATTTCTGTAGGAAAGATTCCTAAAAGTGGAACCCTTGGGCTAAGGAATATACACTTTTTAAAATTATCCTTCAAAAAAATTTCCACTAGTTTATGTTTTCCCTATCCATATATGATGGATATATGCCATTATATACCATATATGCCATTTTTCTCAAATGCTCACTCTGGATATTATCAATATTTTTGGATATTAGACTTTAAAAATTTTTAATCACTAAAACTTTTTTAATTTTTTATTTTGAAATCATTTAAGACTTAGAGAAAAGTTGCAAGAATTATATAAAGTTCCCATATACCCTTCACCCAAGTTCCCCACTTGTTAACATTTACTTTCTTTCTCTTTCTCTCTGTTTATACACACACACACACACACACACACACAATCATTTTTTCTGAACCAGTTGAAGGTACATTGCAGATAGCATGCCCCATTACTCCTAAATACTTCAGTGTGAATTTCCTCAAAAACTCTTCCCTAACCATGGTGCAATCATCAAAATCAGGAAATGGACACTGACATTATTCTAACACTTAATCAACATACCCCATTCAAATTTCTTTAATTGTCTCAATAATGTCATTTATGACCAAAAACATCCTAGTGATCCAGGATCCAATCCAGAATAATGTGTTACATTTAGTTGTAATGTCTTTTTAGGCTCCTTCAATCTGCATCAGTGCTTCAGTCTTTACTTATCTTTCATGACCTTGACATTTTTTAACAGTACAGGCCACAGCTGCCCCCGCTGTGGCTCAAGCAGCCACACATGTAGCTTGTGCCACCGTTCCAAAAGGTACAAGCCAACCTTGGAGGCATACATGTGGTGTTGATTCTGCAGGCCCACAGAATGCAAGAGGTATGGAAGCATGACAGCTTCCACCTAGATTTCAAAGAATAACAGTACAGGCCAGTTATTTCATAGAATGTCCCTCAATTTTTATTTCGTGTAACATTTCCTCATGATTAAATTCAGTCTGTGATTTTGGCAAGATTATCACAGAGGTGATGCTGTGTCCTCAGCCATGTGCATCAGGAAACACATGATACGAATTTGTCTCATTACGGTTGATGTTATCTTTTATCACTTCATTAAGGTGGTATCTGCCAGGTTTCTCCACTGTAAATTTGCTGTTTTTCCCTTTGTAATTGCTATGGTTTAAATGTTTGTCCCCTCCAAAACTCATGTTGAAAGTTAATCCCCAATGTGGCAGTATTATGTGCTTGGGTCTTTAAGAGGTGACTGGGTGAGGAGGGCTCAGCCTTCATGAATCAATTAATCCATTCATGGATTATTGGATTAATAGGTTAATGGATTAATAAGTTATCATGGGAATGGGACTGGTGGCTTTATGAGAAAAGGAAGAGAGACCTGAGCTAACATGCTCAGCCCCCTTACCACGTGGTGCCCCACACTGCCTCGTGACTCTGCAGAGTCCCCACCAGCAAGAAGGCCCTCACTAGATGCAGTCCCTCAGTGTTGGACTTCTCAACTTCCATAACCATAAGAAATAAATTTCTTTTCTTTATAAATTACCCAGTCCCAGGTATTCTGTTATAAGCAACAGAAAATGGCTACAATAGAAAATTGGTACTGAGAAGTGGTATGTTACTGATGACAAACACATGAAAATGTAGAAGCGGCTTTGGAACTGGGTAATGGGTAGAGGCTGGAAGAATTGGGAGGAGCAGGCTAGAAAAAGCTTAGATTCTGGTGAGGCTTTAGAACACAAGAACACTAGAGGAAGGGAAAGAATGGGGAGTTGTTTATCAAAGGGTACAAATTTCAGATGGGAGGAGTAAGTGTTGAGATCTGTTGCATAGCTAAGTGACTATAAGTCAGTAAAAATGTATTGAATATTTTAAAAAAACATAAACTCCTCCTTTGCCTTGGTGACTAGTAACTTTCATCTTTAAGTCAAATATTTTTCTAAGGCATTCAATTCTCTATGGAAACTCAGCTATGTGGCAATACCTATCTTATAGCCACACAACTTCCAGCATTTCTTATGTGCTGGTATCTTATTTGGAGTTCCTCTGCCAAAGGAATGATTTACCATAAATTCATCTGTCATGTTTTTTAAAGTGTGATGTTTGACTTGAGGTAGTGCTAAACACCCTATCTTCACTTTCACTAGGACAATATGGAAGGCAAAGAAAAGCTCAGAAGTCACTGAGAATAAAGAATTTTACTGTATTTTCTGTTTTGTCAAACATATTCAAAAGTGACATTGTGTACATTAATAAAATGCTGGGGTATAGTAAAAAGAAATACATATCTTTCTAATGCAGAAGTTGGCCTTTTATTCTTTGTTCCTCATAGGCAGCCCTAGAAGCATTAGATGAACTGGACCTATTTGGTGTGAAAGGTGGGCCCCAATCAGTTATCCATGTTCTGGCTGATGAAGTGCAACACTGCCAGGTAAGGGATTGTGGAAAATGGAAATAGCAAATTTTATTCTTGCTGAGACTCAGACTTAGCATGAGCTTTCGATTAAGGAGAGCTGATTGAGAGTACATAATCTAATTTATTACCATGTGTCAAAAAATGTCTTTATCAAGCATCCTATACTGAGATAAGCCTGATACAACATGGGCTATAAAGTAGATCAGAGTCCCATTCTCTCACACAAGGTTATAAAGGGATCCCACCATAGTATTTTAAATTATCCACTGCTGTCATATTAAGGGTCTCTCTTCCTGAGTATTTTCTTTTCTAAATATGCAAAGAGAATAAGAGACAATAGATTCTGAGGGGTTTTGATAATGGCTCTGAAATGTTCTCTTGTTCCTGGTTGGCTCTAGGGTTAGATATTTGGAGATTAGATTATTTAAGTCTTCAGTTTTGTGTAGGCTTACTCTCTGTATTGAAAGATTTAGGTCCTTCTTGTTGGCATGAGGAATTTTCTTCTTTTCCTCAAATCCTGATTAGGTATGCATGGTGTCCTCCTGAATATAAAATCACCTTTCAATTTTAAAAACACAAAATTTTCCAGGGCAAAATGTATTTCAGAGATACAGGATCTGAGCCTTCCTTCCCTATCCTGCTTCTTAGCAGCTACATTTTTCTTAACTTTATTCTTAAATAGTTGCTAATGAAGCAGTAGGGCTATGAGTAGGGTAATAGCATTAGAATATTCTTTATCCATGGGCAGCTGGTTAAGAATCAGGATGGGGAAACACTGAGAGCAGGACTAAGACATAGGATGACTTACAGAAACAGCTATTTTTCCAAGTGCTCACTATTGAATAACGTTCAGGGTTTCTTCTGAATGATGCTCTTCCACATAAATCTTTTGAAACCAAAGCTGTTGGTTTTACATTGCCAAAGTATTTATTAATGTGCAACATTTAACTTCCTTTCTCTTAGTCTATCCTTAATTCACTACTGCCCCGTGCTTCAACATCCAAAGAGGTTGATGCTAGTCTACTTTCAGTGGTTTCCTTCCCAGCCTTTGCAATAGAAGATAGCCAGTTGGTGGAGCTCACAAAACAGGAAATCATCACCAAGCTTCAGGTATGTCCATATGTGCCTTTCTTTTCTTTAAGGCTGTGACGTTAAAGAGAAATTAGTGAGGACCTAGAGTATTATCTGTATCTGTGATTTCAAGAAACTTTTAATTTTTCTGAGTTGTCCTTTTATAAGTAGTTTCTTTATAAGGCTGTTAAAGCTTCTATAGCCATTGCTGGTGGGAGTGTAGGTATATCCACTCAGAAAAAATGTTTGACAGTTTCTTATAAGTTTAAACATATACTCATCCTATGAGCCAACAATCTCACCTCCTAAAAATCTACCCTACATATATGAAAACTTATGCTCACAAAAATATCTGTACTCAAATGTTTCTAGCAGCTTCATTTGTAACTTCCCAAAACTGGAAATGACCTTCAATAGAGGAAGGGATAAACAAATTACATTACATCCATACAGTGGAATACTAATCACCAATAAAAAGAAACAAGGCACTGATTTGATCCCACTTGACCATGGTGTATAATATTTTTGATATACTGTTGGATTTGATTTGCTGGCATTTTGTTGAGGATTTTTGCATTTATTAATACATTCATCAAGGATCTTGGTCTGTGGTTTCTTTTCTTGTTGTGTCCTCATCTGATTTTGGTATCAAAGTAATGCTGGCCTTGTAGAATGAGTTTGGAAGAATTTCCTTCCCTTCAGTTTATTGAAACAGTTTGAGAAGAATTGGTATTAGTCTTTCTTTTAAAGTTTGCTAGAATTCAGCAGTGAAGCCATCTGGTCCTAAAGTTTCCTTCATTGAGGGACTTTTTATTACTGATATAATCTCATTATTTATTTTTGTTCTGTTCAAGTTTTCTATTTCTTCTTGATTCAGTTTTGGTAGGTTGTATGTGTCCAGGAGTTTATCCATTTTCTCTGGGTTTTCCAACTTGTTGGCATATAGTTGTCTCTTAATTGTATTTTTTGTTTTATTCATTGAATTCTTGAGCTCCAAGATTTCTGTATGTTTTTTAATCATACCTCTCTTTGTTTAATTTCTTATTCAGGTCATGAATTGTTTTTCTGATTTTATGGAATTGTTTATCTGTATTCTTTTGTATCTTGCTGAATTTCCTTAAGATCATTATTTTGAATTTCTTTTCTGGCATTTCACACATTTCCTTGTCTTCAAGGTCTGTCGATAGGGAATTATTATGTTCCTTTGGAAGTTTCATGTTTCCTTGCTTTTCCTGTTTGTTGTCCCTGCATTGATATTCTGCACATCTGGTGGAACAGGCAACTCTTCCAATATATGAAGTTGCTTTCATAGGGAAAGACTTTTTCCTGGAGATGGGTCCTAGGGTATTGGTTTCTGTAAGCACATTGGCTTTGGTTCTGAGTGGACAATAGTGTAGTCCCTATGCAGTTTTCTTCAGCTGGAATCCACATTAGTGACATTTGCGAGTGCCTCCGTGGCCTCGGTTGTGAGAGTTTGTGGCTGCACTAGTGCTGCTTTGCCAGTGGTAAGTGCAACAGATTGGTTCTCAGGCTTGAGGCATGTGCTACTGGACTGTTTTTCCAGCCAGGGGCACATGCATGCAGGTCAGCTGGCTCAGGGACTGGCTCACCAGGGGCAGGATGCTGGGCTGTTTCTCTGGCTGGAGGTGCAGGCCTAGGGGACTAGCTTGCCAGGAGCAGGTCCACTGGGCTGTTTCTCTGGCTGGGGTCTCTATAGGGGGAGCTCACCAGGGGTGGGTCCATCAGCCTGTTTGTTTTGGCTGTCCCAAGGTTGGTTTCCCCACTGTGCAGAACCAGAATCACAGCTATTCCTGGGGCCGGGCTCCAAGCAGCCAAGGTCATGACATTACAGTCACCTGTGTGGGGTTGGTGAAATGATGACAAAACCCAAGGCTAGAGAGGTACAATGGCTACTGGCCCCAGCAGTCATTTCAGTTTCAAAATGGTGCTGTGCTATAGCAGCTTGGACCATAAAGGATGGGGAATGCACAGCAGGTGTTCCTACTGTGGAGTAATACAGTAACATGAATTCTGGGCAGTTGCCCAAACTGGGCTCAGTGCTTATGAAGACTATGGGATTCTCTTGTAGCAAGGACTGCAGATGTCTGTGGTGGCAATGGGGAATACTGGAGACCTTCTGCTTACATTTTCCCTGCAAGGGGAAGCCCTTCCTGGCGCCAAGCCAATCCCAACAGGGGACACTGGGCAGCAGATACAGGGTACCTTGCTTCCCTCTCTATGCTGCTATCCTGGGTTTCTGGGCTTCACAGGTATTTCATCAGTCCCTTGCTGCATCCCAGCACTCTCCTTGAGACACTCCAGCCAAATTTTAATTGTTCCTTTGTTGTTTTGGTCCTTTTGTGTGGGAAAGACAAGCACCAGACACCTCTAGTCGGCCATTTTGCTTGATAGATGATTCTTTATATTTTTTAATTATTTTAAAATTTTTGTTGAAACAGGCTCTTACTCCATTGTCTGGGATAGAGTGCAGTGGTGGCATCATAGCTCACTGCAACCTCAAATTCTTGGGTTCAAGCAATCTTCCTGCCTTAGCCTCCTGAGTAGCTGAGACTACAGGTGTGCACCACCACACCCAGTTCATTGTTTTAAGATTTTTTTTTTTTATAGATATAAGTTCTTGCTATGTTGCTCAGGCTGGTCTCGAACTCCTAGGCTCAAGTGATCCTCCTGCCTCAGCCACCCAAATTGCTGGGCTTAGCACTGGAGAATTTTGAGGGTGATGGAATGGTTTTCTATGGACCTGTGCTGGTGGATATATGACTCTATATGTTTGTCAAAACTCAAGGAATTATATGCCACAAAAAGTAAATTTAACAAATCGACCAGAGTATGTCAACAAAAATGGAATGCAAACTGAAAAATGAGTTTAATTATATTACAAAGAATACATAACCGCACTGAAAAGTGTACCTAAGTCTTGGAAAACAGTGTTTGACTGGATACTATAAGCCTACAGACAAAAATATTTGTATACAAACACTGTATTCTAATTCAGGGGTCAGCATACTACCACCTATGGGCTAGTCATCTGTTTTTATAAGTAAAATTTTATTAGAACACAGCCATGCCATGTTTACATATTGTCTATGGCTGCTTTCAAAGTACAGCAGCAGAGGTGAGTAGTTGAAACAGAGATCATATGACCTGCAAAACCTAGAATATTTACTATCTGGCCCTTTAAGAAAAAGTTTGCCAACCTCTGCGATAGTTGATAAATTTGTTTCTCAAAGGAATATGGGTTAGCAATTCTGAAACTACTTTATAGGGTTGAGCTAATAAGTAATATACAGTAAACATAGTAGATAAAGGTTTTCTCACTGTTGAAGAAATGTTACAAATAGAGAACAGAATGAACCTTATGATGCTGAATTGGAGCAGGTGGGATCAGTATGAACATGTTTAATATAGGGTTATGTGTCTACTTACATGTGTTTCCTAACTTTGTCTACTGAAAGGGCCCAGAGACAATGAGCACACCTAGTGTCCACATTTTGGTTTCTAAATATCATTGTCAATAAAATGAGGCTCCTTGGAGAAGTGGGTTGACTTAGGACTGGGGCAGGAAAGATGCAAAAGGAGCCTGGAGTTTCTTATGGTCCCAGAAAGTAAAGAGGTACTCAGAAAAGGATGAAACATGTCAGAGAGACACAAGAACGAACTGGAAAGTGCTCCTGATGGCCAAAGCAGGAACAATTTGAGCAACAAAATAACTATCATAGTATTGGATTATAACCCAAAGAATAAATGAAATATCCATGAGTCTATACTGGTTTAAATGAATAACTAAAAAATGAATAACTAAAAAATGAATAAATAAAAAAATGAATAAATAGAGAAGAGACAAATCTTCCTTATAGGAGAATTTCAATTAATAAATGTTGAAGAAATGAAGGAAATACAAAGTTACCATTAGACAACACCACAATAATAATTGTTTCAGGAGAGATCTATTGATGGATGTTAAAATCAGTGGATGAAAATTTAAGCTGAAAAAGGATATTTTCATAGTCTCAAAGTGTCTCCCCTCAAATATTTAATAGTTACAAGGGGAAAATTACAGTGAATAAATTCAGCAGACATCACCTTAACCAAGTGAACAGAGTTAACATCACCAGCAATAGGACATAGTGACATCATGTACCTTCTCATACAATACACTGAGAAGGGTACTTTACCTTTGTGGTACCCTTCCCAATATGCCTCAGTCTCATCAAGAGAAAACATCACATGAAACCAAATTGAAGGACATTCTATAAAATAACTGATGAACACTCTTCAAAAGTGTTCTGAGGAACTGTCATGGATTAGAGGAGACTAAGAAGACATGATGACTAAGCGCAATGTGGGATTCAGAATTGGGTCCTGGAACAGAAAAAAGGACAACTGGTGAACTCCAAATAAGTCATGTGCTTTCATTAATGGTATTTTACCAAGGTCAATTTTTTTAGTTTTGGTAAATGTCCTATGGTTGTATAAGATGTTAATGTAAGGTGATAGTGGTTGATGGGTATCTGGGACTCTCTATTGGTTTTGTCCCTCTTCTGTAAATTTAAAATTATATCAAAAATTTTTAAATATGTGCTTTTTTTTAAAAAAAAAAAAAGCCTATGGTATCTTATGAACTATGTGTGTCTTATGAGCAGGACCACATAGATTAGTAATTAGGCTGTCACAGACTTAACCTTATGGTGGACAGCCATAGAGAGGATGCTTTTAGGAACACTGTGCTAGGGAAGCGCCTGTAGCTTAGCCTCCACTTGAAATTACATTGCTGAAATCAGTTAATGCTGCTGGAATGATTTCAGGTTTTTTTGCTTTGTTTTTAGGTATTGCATCTTTATTGGTGATAGGTTGGTAAATGTAGATGTTGCAAGGATGTATGTCTGATTAATTACATGGCTGTACCAGTGTACAAGCTTCTGACCTTTATTCTCTGCATTACCAGGGTCGTTATGGTTGCTGTCGCTTTCTAAGAGATGGATATAAAACTCCTAAAGAGGTAAGTTTCTTTTCTCTAAAATGAACCCAAGGTAGAATGGTCACTGCTATCTGCAGCCTCATTCAAAGAAAATACTTAAACTCATTGATGGTACTTACATAGATCACTAAATAGGATAATAATAACTGATGTTTGCTATATTTGTTGGGCCTGGCTGCCAAATTCTCAATTTGTAGGCCTTTCTGGAGTAAGTAAAATGAAGGAAGGTACAGTCCTTCCACCTCTTGCAGTTGGTTAGCTTCAGGAAAGAACTACTGATGGATGCTAAAATCAGTGGGTGAAAGATTAAGCAGAAACAGTATTTGCATTGTCTCATAGTATCTCCAAGTACTTAATAATTACAAAGGGAAAAATATTTCCATCAGTAGATCTTTCTCTTCCATCTTTTGCAGTTGGTTAATTCTAAACAGTACTTGAGCTTGAAAATGTAAGTTACTTTTGTTCTACTGGTCAAAAGTTCTTGGAAATATCAGTGGGGAAATTAAGTATTATTAAAGGGATTGAATGGTCAATATGAAGTACTTTCATTGGTAATGCAGATGTTTAAGGCTTAGGTATGCTAATCAAGAGCCATTATGGTATTTTTAATCATCAAGCTCAAATTCTTCTGGTCTATTTCCTCTCTTCCACTTCATTCTTTAGCCCTGAATTTGACTTCTGCCCCTACCAATCTACTAAAATTATGCTCTAAAACATTATCATAAGCTCCTAGATGACCAATCCAATAGCCTTTTCTCAATCCTTATTCTCCTTGACTTCTTTGTAGTACATCGCTGTTACCTACCCTTAAGTTTTCTTGAAATTTTTTTCCTATTTTAATTTCTACAACACTACACTATCCTGAATCTTCTCTTTCTGTACTTCCCCCGTAGCATTCTAAGGATTACCAAGATTCCATTCTTGGGCAGTTTGCTCATTTTATATAGTAATATTTCACAAACCTCATCTATAACTTTGATTTCATATGTACCTCTATGAAGATGATTCCCAAACCCTCATGTTTAGAAGCTGTCCTTCTAAACATTTCTATCTGTATGTCCTACTACTACCTCAATCTTAACAGGTATGAAACCAAACTCGACTTTATTGCAGTCCAATCTTCCTTCTTCACACACCCTCTTGTGATGTCATTATTATCCCAATTCTGCTATTTAGAAGTCACTTGATAGAGTATTTGTGAAGTGAGGGAAATATGTACATGCTCTGCCTTCCTGACCACCTTCTCTGAAATAAACTATCAGTAGTGAAAGGCCATATTATAATACTTCTGAACTAAAGATGTACATCTAACATCTGAGTGATAAGACAGACTTTGTTTATTGTGTTTTTATCAGGATCCCAATCGTCTGTACTATGAACCAGCTGAGCTGAAACTATTTGAAAACATTGAGTGTGAATGGCCATTGTTCTGGACATACTTTATCCTAGATGGGATCTTCAGTGGCAATGCAGAACAGGTAATGATCTAGGGAGTGTTTTTCAGCAGGATGTTCTTGTTTTGTCTTCTTTCAGTTAATGGCTATATCAACCCTGTGTCCAAATGGAAGTCTTCCTGTTAGGGAAGAGATAGAGTTGTCTCTTAGAGACTAGTAGCTGAGGGTACTAAGTTAAGAGTTAGAAGACCTGGATTCTTTCTTCTTCGTAGTCGTCGTCTTCTTCTTTTTTTTTTTTTTTTTTTTTTTTTTTTTTTGCTTCACTCCTGACCATTGAGTAGCGCAAGTTTCTCTATACATAAGATAAAAATAGTTTTTATCTGCTATTGAAGAGGATATCCCTTTAGTTCTTTAAATTTCACAGATAAAAACATGTTATAAATGCAAGATACAGTCAGGTCTGTTACAATGAGACATATATTCTTTAAAAATCACCATGCAGAGAAAGGGGGTGGGGAGTGAAAAAAAATCACCATGCTATGCATATTTAAGAAATAAAAATTTCAGAGCTTATGGGAAAATGGGGTAAGGGGCACAGCACGTAAAGTGTAACACATACAGAATGACAGGAACCTAATAAAAACAGTATCACAGCTTTATATGTTAAGTAGTTAATAAATGCATAAATACCACAATAGTTATAGTTCTTTTTTTCTCTTCTCTATATTTTTTTTATTTCAGCATATTATGGGGGTATAAATGTTTAGGTTACGTATATTGCCCTTACCCCCCATTCCCCCACCCCCCAAGTCAGAGCTTCGAGTGTGTCCATCCCCCAGACGGTACGCATCGCACTCATTATGTATATATATACCCATCCCCTCCTCCCCCATCCCACCTGCCTGATGCCCAATAAATGTTATTCCTATATGTGCACTTAGGTGTTGATCAGTGAAACCAATTTGCTGGTGAGTACATGTGGTGCTTATTTTTCCATTCTTGGGATACTTCACTTAGTAGAATGGGTTCCTGCACCTCTTGTATTTTCCTGGATAGAGTTATGGTTCTTTTACCTTGAAAAAAATCCTGAATTTTGCTTGTGGAAGTGTATGCGCATGTTCCCACCAGCTGATCCACCTGGCTCTCATGCCTGCCACCCTGTGTGCAAGAGGAAAAGAACAAAAGAGAAGGGGAAAAAAGTGAGAGAAAAATAGAGGGGAAAAAGACATAGAGCAGAGAGGAAAAATAAAAAGACAGGCTGAGAGGAAAGAGAGGAGAAATTAAAAAAAGCACATAGCTGTGTAGCCAGCGTGGCTATCAGAAGGTTGCAGCTTGTGAGTTATGAAGTGGTGAAATGAGCATTATCTGAAATTGGACAGAAAGTTGTAACAACAGATGTGGATGGCTATGTTTCATTGTCCTCCTGAGATGTATGCATGTGTGTATGTTTTGTGTATTCTTACATGGCTCAATTCAGCTGAGTACATTCTCAGTATGAAATTGTACAAACGTAAAATTCATGTTATACTCAAGTTTTCCCTAATATATCAAATGTACTGGAACAAACTTGTGTTTTTAAAACAAGTGTTATAGCAGAACTGACTGTATATTTTTCCACCATAAATTATGGTTTTGTTTTGATTTTGATTTTTTACATTTTATGTATTGCTAAGCTTCAGCAAATTGTTAAGCAAAGAACATAAACTTGACCATAATAGAAACCTACTTAGCAGGTAAGAATGCAGTTTTAAAGCCAATACATCCTAAAGTCAAGAAGCTTTACTTAAGGTCTACATAGTGGATCAAAACAGGCCTATGGAAGAACTGGGCTATATTCTGGACTCAACCATGTACATGCTCTGTGATCTTCCACAAGTTCACAACCCCTTGAGCCTTAATGTCCCCGTTAAAGGGCTTTAATTACACAAACCTCCTGGGAAGGTTATTAAAATTAAATGCATTAAAGTATGCAAAACTCCTAGCATAACATTTGGCCTATAACAAACATTTAGTAAATGCTATTTCCCTTTCCTTTCCCTTTTACTAGATGAATAAGCTTCTTTGCAATAGGACCTTCTTTGGCCACAAACTTCTCCTAGGTCCCCAAGGGAACTTTCTATAAGTTTTTTTTTCCTGCCTTTCTTTGATCTGTAGGTTCAAGAGTATAGAGAGGCTCTGGAAGCAGTCCTCATCAAGGGCAAAAATGGAGTACCACTTCTGCCAGAGCTGTACAGTGTTCCTCCTGACAGGGTGAGTTGGACAGTGCTATAACATATAGCTGATAGAAGAGGAGCAATACCTTGATAGGACTGCCTCATTTGAGTCAAATAATTTTTAATCTTCTGATTTTAATGTTGTCTTTATGTATAAGAAAACAGAAATATGATTTTTTTTTCCTTTAAAAATAAATTCTAGGCCGGGCGTGGTGGCTCACGCCTGTAATCCTAGCACTCTGGGAGGCCGAGGCAGGCGGATTGCTCGAGGTCAGGAGTTCAAAACCAGCCTGAGCAAGACCCCGTCTCTACTAAAAATAGAAAGAAATTAATTGGACAACTAAAAATATATATACAAAAAATTAGCCGGGCATGGTGGCGCATGCCTGTAGTCCCAGCTACTTGGGAGGCTGAGACAGGAGGATCGCCTGAGCCCAGGAGTTTGAGGTTGCTGTGAGCTAGGCTGACGCCACGGCACTCACTCTAGCCTGGGCAACAAAGTGAGACTCTGTCTCAAAAAAAAAATAAAAAAAAAAATAAATTCTAAAGCAGCCTCAGTTATGGCACTGTTGCACAGCAAGACAAGGAAAAGACCAAAATGTAATTTTGAGAATGATGTAGAGATCAGTAGGTAGAACTAGAGTGATGTTCTGTGTGAGCTCTCAGGATTTGGTGCTCTCTGCTTTGAGGCCAGCAATCCAGGATTATTTAAATAGATCAAATTTGGGAAATTAAGCATGTCCTGTCCTCATTTTCCCAAAATGACAGTTGGGTGTACCATTGTTCCTTTTCTCCATTGCAAAAGATCATTAGATATGGGAGAGATACAGTCTTCCTTTCTTGTGGGGATGGCTATAATAAGCTCTTAGCAACATTAGCAGCGTTAGAGCTTGTTAGAAATAGGTTTCAGGCCTTACTTCATACCTACTCAATCAGAATCTGCATTTTAACTAGATCCTCAGGTGATGTGTATGCACCTAACAGTCTGAGGAGCACTGCCCTAGACTATAGTTATAGTGCTTGACTTTTCAGTGCATTACATATGGATTACGAATCACAATCCAGACTCAGCCTTTTTATTATCTAGTATCTTAAGCCTTCTATTACTCCTCATCTGGCCTCTTCATCTTTTCTTTTAGGTTGATGAAGAATATCAAAATCCTCACACTGTGGACCGAGTCCCCATGGGGAAGTTGCCTCATATGTGGGGTCAGTCTCTATACATTTTAGGAAGCTTGATGGCAGAGGTAAGGGGAAACTTAAAGGCTATCCCACTTTTTTTCTCCCTTAGTCACCATAATAATCAGATTCACGAGATGCTCATTAAAGCTGAAGGATGTCTTTTGCCTTTTGCACTTTGCCTTAATTATAGTTTTTCCTATAGGTCGTCAGAGTGGGGAGCATGGCCAACCCTCGACAAAAGTCCTTTGCCCTCTGCAACTATGTCCCTCATGCTGCCTGGGACTCCCTACTTTGGCAGTGTACTTGGAGCTGCTCAGGAATCAGGCCCCAGATCATTCCCTTTCAAAACTCTCTTCAATGCCTTGCGTGGTGTTGAATGCAATTGTGCTTAGCTAGTTAATTACTGATAATGGATTAAATACTGACCTTTCCAAGAAACATAATGTTTCATTCTTTAATTGAATTAACTGGTAATTTTAGGTGCCATGAGAAGTGATTAGGAACATCATGGTTTTGTTTGTTTGTTTGGGCATTTTTTGTTTGTTTGTTTGTTCAAGTGTTCTCTAAATGAACCTTATATTAAATTCTCTTTCCAAACATTCTGTGAAGAAAAAAAAAAAAAATAAATAAATTCTGTTGCGATGGCTCTTAATGAAGCACTGGGGAATTTCTGACTTGGTGTCTAGCTTCTTTGTGACATTTTGAGCTTAAACAGAAAGGTTCTTTTTCTCAAAAGTTTTTCAGATTTGCCGGCAAATCTGTTTCCCCAGTGTAGGTTATTTTGATAAGATATAACCTAGCTCCTAGAGGATTGAAAGTGGGACTTAGCTATCCTTTCTGAGCCAGACTCTTTGATCTGTTATATATGATCATTGATTTTCTGCAGCTGCTTTGTTCTTTGTTTTTTTTCTCCTTATGGCTGCAGATGTTTGATTATCTTTAGTTGATATTACTAAATGAACCTAGCAATAATGGACAGAACATTGTGTTTAAAATAATCCTTACCTGGTAACTTTCTCATTCAATAGAATAAATTAAATGCATTGAGAAAAGATATTCTTAAAGATATTCATAAAGAACAGAAACTCAAGTCAAACGATTTCTGCTGAAAAGCTTCATTCTAGATGAGAATGGACACTGTTGATCATAGTGTCCAAAAATTGTAAATGTGACTAAATTGACACAGGTTATGCTTTCATCACAGTACATGTATTGCAGTGGTGACAATGAGACCTGTAATATTTTGCAAAAAAAACAAAAAAAAAAGATTTCTGCTGAGCAGAAGGCACAGCAAACACATCAACAAATGAGAAAACAGCAGGACTAATGGCTTAAATTACTGATAAGCATTGAGGTCTGATCATCTAATCATATGTATTAATATATCCAGAAAAGATAGAAGAATAACTAGAAAACTTTATTTATTTATACTTCACCTATTTCTAAAAAAGGAATTTGTGGCTGCCAATAGAAATTATCTTCAGATAAAAATAATTTGGATGTGAATTCACAGAGTTCAAACACTTTTATACAGTGAAGGTATTTGTTTCCTTTCTATACCTGCCTCTCAAATATTATGGTATAGGGCTATGGGCATAGGAATGCTGTTTCTTCTCAAACATTAGGTATTGTTTTATTTTGTTTTTCTGAGTCTTAACAATCCATCTTTTTTATTATTTTTATTTTTTTTATTTCAAGATATTATGGGGTACAAACATTTTGGTTATAAGTAATGACTTTGCCTCGCCCAACCAAGAGTTAGTGGCATGCCCTTCCCCCATACAGCATGCACCACATCCATTAGTTGTGAGTTTACCAACCCACACTCCCACCTGACTGACACCCAAGGAATATTACTGCCATGTGAACGTCTTAGTGTTGATCAGTTAGTACCAACTTGATGGTGAGTACATATGGTGCTTATTCTTCCATTCTTGTGATATCTATTAAGACATCTGCACTCAAATGTTTGTGACAGCACAATTCACAATTGCAAAGATGTGGAAACAACTCAAGCTGCCCTTCAGTACATGCATGGATTAATAAAATTTGGTATATGTATACTATGGAATATTACTCAATTACAAAAAACAATGGTGATCTATCACCTCTTATATTATCCTGCCTGAATAATCCATCTTTTTATGGTTTTTCTTTAGGGATTTTTAGCTCCTGGAGAAATTGATCCCCTGAATCGTAGGTTTTCCACTGTACCAAAGCCAGATGTTGTGGTTCAAGGTATGTATTCTTATTCCGAGCAGCAGAAGCTTTATATTAAAGGTATGGTTAGGGGCAGAGATCTTTAGACCAGTAAATTATGACTTTATTTTTCAGTTGACATTTTATTAGACTTCAAAAAGTATATAATAAACCTAGTTCAATTTCATTTCAAAATTACTGTTAATCATAAATGAGTAATATGTCGGAGCACTCCAAAATATTATTTGACATCTTAACCATTCCTTATTTCTGGAAACTCTTTTCTTTTAACTGTTATGACATTTTAGCCTCCTGGTTATCTCTGCTTTCTCTCTGACCACTCCTTTGCTTTCTCTGCTAGTATTCCTTTTTTCCCATATCTTCCTGATGGTTCTGTACTTAACTCTTTGACTTTGTCTTTCTGTATTTATACCCTGTATTAGTTTGCTAGGCATGCCTCCCTCATAATAAATTTGCTTCCGTGGCTCCAAGTATTACCTCGTTAGAGAGTACTACAGGCCTTTATTTTTGTTCCTAACAATTAACTTAAATTTAGGGACATCTACTGTATGCAAAAAACTGGGTTGAGTTCTATAAACATTTTAATAACTAATCTGGTAGGGTAGATGGCCTGAGGTGATTTTGAATCTCCAACATTATCCAATACAGTATTAAGTCCTGCTGTGAAGCTCCTTTGAAATGTCTCCAGTCACTTGACTTTGGAGTTGGTTCTATATGGAAAATAATCCCATGTATTTTGTAAACCTTCTTATACTTGGTATCCCATATGGTTATACAGGTAGTTCTTGCTTATCAGTGTATATAGCAAACATTATATAAAGATCATTATTCTTCCCCTTTCATGAGAAAGCTTCTTGAGGTTTATGCCATCTGGCTATATTGATCTCCTAGTTGCTCTAATTCATTCACTGAAGATTTTGAGGCTTGGTTCACAGCTTCCTCTTCCTCCCCAAATCCTGTTGTCGAGCTAGAAGCAAATCTATTTCTCCAGTGTAGGTTATTTCAATATATTTTCAGCATTGGTGTAGGTGCCATCTGACATTTTAGCCTCAAAATTTTTGGCTATCCATGACTCTAGTGACCTTTCCTTCTATCTCTACTTTAGCTGCCCATTCCAAGGACCAAACTTTAGGACTCTTCTACCTCAGAAGCCTATATTCCAATATTCTACTCTCTGATCATAGCCATATATTATTTCAGCTTTCTTTTTCTTCCCATTATGTTCATCTCTATTTTCTCCTAGTCTTCCCTTCCCTGCCTCATGGTTGATTAAATCTCTTAATCACCAATGCACCATATTTCTACTACATTCACCCAAAAAATCATAGTCCCAGAACAATCTTACAGTTGTATTTGCTGATCCTATACCTGGCTTGCTAATAGCTACTGGAAAAAAAATCACCCAAATGAGCAGAGTAGTGACACTGAATCCATGGTCTCCAACTCAGCTAGGTCTACAGTGCCTCCTGTTAATCTGTTCTTATCATTAGCATTTTCATACTTCTCAACCACTATTCCAAACCATCTCTGTTTTCAACCCCACCCCTTGTTTTCAGCCTTGTTCTTGGCCTGCTTCTTAATGCCTGTTAATATTCTGATCGACATCAATTCCCCAGCCTTCCCTGCCCCTATGATCCTTGGCTCCTTTTCTCCAATCCTTGCCTCCTTTTCTCCAATCTCAGAAAAAAAAAAAATTCTTCTCCAAAGCCAAGTATTCCTTCTGGTGCTTGATTCTGACATCTTCCCCAGCCTTCTCTAGAAACTTTGTCTTTCCTGGAATCTTTAAACTCTCCTGCTCTGTTGGTTCTGTTTTTTTAGACTACTGACATCTTCATCTCCCTCTATAACTATGCGTCATAGCTTCTTCCTTTTTCATTCAAACTTCTGCTTCTTTATATACTATTTATTCTGTAGTCCTTTATAGTTGGGCTTAAATGCTCATGCTCATGCTTAAGTTACCAGTGAACTTTGTATTGCCAAATTTGGTAGATATTTTTCAATCTGTATCTTAGTGGATCTTTCTGTTCCATTTATCGTTTATCTTTCTGGAAATTCTTAACTCCCATGTCTTCTATGATGCTATACTCTCTTGGATCTCCTTCAACCTAGATTAAATACTTTTCTGTCTAATTCTGGGCTTCCTCTTATTTTTGTCTCTTAACCATTGGTGTTTCTGAGGGTTCTGTCATTAGCCCACTGTCCTTCTTACTCTTAATATTTGTTTCTCTCATCCTCCTCCTATTGGAAAACTTTTCTATTTTCCCACCTTCTTACTTCTTCCCTCACTCTCAAAAGATGACCTCACCTCTTATACCATAGACAAAATATAAACCATGAGACAAGAACTTCCCCACCACACCCAAGGCTTTACTTCATCTGCCCATTCCTTGTACGTTGGAATTTCTCAAGGATATATTCTAGGTCAGGCGTCCTCAAACTACAGCCCGTGGGCCACGTGTAGGTGTTTTTGCCCGTTTGTTTTTTTACTTCAAAATAAGATATTTGCAGTGTGTATAGGAATTTGTTCATAGTTTTTTTAAAACTATAGTCCGGCCCTCCAACCGTCTGAGGGACAGTGAACTGGCCCCCTGTTTGAAAAGTTTGAGGACCCCTGCTCTAGGTCCTCTTCTCCTCTTTTCTGTATTTTCTCCTTGACCCATCTCATCTATGCTAATGTCTCCTGAATGTGTATCAGCTTCTTTTAACCTCCTTGGATGTCTCACATGCACTGTAAATTGATTCATCATGTCTAAAATTAATCAGGTGCACCCTCCTAGTATTATACCACTCATGCCTGCTTTTCCTCCTATGTGCCTGTGTCATTAAATGACACACTGTCTTCTCGGTTACACAAATAAACACCCAGAGACTCCTTCTCAATATCTCCCTCTTTCTCACATCCTACATTCAATCAGTTAATAGGTTCTGGCTTCTTTACTTCCTAAATAATTCTGAAATCCATCCAGTTTTCTTCAGTACCAATATCATGATCCCAATGTAGATAATCAACATCTCTCCCTTGTATTACTGCAATAACTTTTTTTTTTTTTTTTTTTGACAGAGTCTCACTCTGTTGCCTGGGCTTTTTGCTCACAGCAACCTCAAACTGCTGGGCTCAAGCGATCTTCCTGCCTCAGCCTCCAGAGTAGCTGGGACTACAGGCACGTGCCACCATGCCCAACTAATTTTTTCTGTATATGTTTAATTGTCCAGCTAATTTCTTTCTATTTTTGGTAGAGACAGGGTCTTGCTCTTGCTCAGGCTGGTCTCAAACTCCTGAGCTCAAACGATCCACCCACCTCAGCCTCCCAGAATGCTAGGATTATAGGTGTGAGCCACCACACTGGCCCTGCAATAACTTTTTTTTTAATTATTTCTGATTTATTGTATGTTCCTCATATAGACATATAAAATTAAAAGTCAACACAGAGTCACTCAAATTATAATAAAGGTAACAGTGGAACTTCTTTTTTTTATTATTTCAGCATATTATAGGGGTACAAATGTTAAGATTACGGATATTGCCAGTGCCCCTCCTCCCCCCTCAAGTCAGACCTTCAAGCGTGACCATACCCCAAACGTTGCACATCTCACTCATTGTGTTTGTATATACCCATCCCCTCCTACCCCCTCCCACCTGCCCGACACCCGATACTTGTTATTCCTATATGTCCACTTAGGTGTTGATCCGTTAATACCAATTTGCTGGTGAGTACATGTGGTGCTTGTTTTGGGGGAGGGATATATGTGGGAAGAGATGGGGATGATACTTCTCTAGACTCAGAGCCTGCCAAGCCTAGACAGCTCCCTTTTCTTCCCACTCATGTTACTGAAGTGGTTACGCCTACCCACAAGGGAGAAGACCAGACTAGCTCCCTGATTCTTCTTTTCACTTTCCCTCTATGGGACAGATACCTGGTTGGGAGCCAGTAACCCAAGTGAGGCTTTAGCTGGCTAGACGATAAGCACCAGAAGCAAACATGCCCTCTTCTCCTGCTCCTCTAGTGCTGGTAGATGTGTTGGATTGTTCACAGGAAAAAGAATATACCATGTGGCTCACTCCAGCTTACCAATATCTTCTGTTGAGTTTTGGGGGCAAAAGGTTAGTTAACAAAGTACTACTTTGCTTTCCTTTGCCATTATCCTTTGTGTTTTTTTCTGTCTTGGGAACCCTCAAGCTAATAGATTGAGTAGCTAATAGATTAAGTATCTTGAGATACTTCACTTAGTAGAATGGGTTCCAGCTCTATCCAGGAAAATACAAGAGGTGCTATATCACCATTGTTTCTTATAGCTGAATAGTACTCCATGGTATACATATATGTATACCATGAATACCACATTTTATGAATCCACTCATGAATTGATGGGCACTTGGGTTGTTTCCACAGCTTTGCAATTGTGAATTGTGCTACTATAAACATTCAAGTGCAGGTGTTTTTTTCATAAAGTGACTTTTGATCTTTTGGGTAGATGCCCGGTAGTGGAATTGCTGGATCAAATGGTAGATCTATTTGTATCGCTTTGAGGTATCTCCATATTGCTTTCCACAGAGGTTGAACTAGTTTGCAGTCCCACCAGCAGTGTAGGAGTGTTCCTATCTCTCTGCATAATAACTTTTTAACTGTTCTCTCTGTCTTCAGTCTAGGCCCACTACAGTATCAGTTTATTCTTTTAGTATCAACTGAAAAATATTCTTTTTAAGATGCAGGTATGGATATGTTATTCATCTGATTATAACTCTGCAGGAACTTCCCCTTTGGCAGTCTCCTTAATATGGCTCTGTATGATCTGGCTCGTGACCCTATCTCCAGCTTCATTCTCATCACTACCTCTTTATACTCCTCCTGATATAAAGAACTTTTTATAAATCCTAGATCTGCCTTGTTTTCTTTTTCCTTGAGCCTTTGTCCATGATATTTCTTCTGTCTGGAATAATTTCTCCCTTACTTTTACCATCACCTGTACCAGATTAACTCCTATTGAGCCCTCCAGCAGGACTCAGTATCATATCATTTTCTCCATGTGGGGATCATATATGTTTATATATATGTCCCACCCTTTGGCAGTGTCTAAGAGGCATTAAATAAGAATTTTCCAAATATTTCATAAAATATAAACAAAAAACTGAGTTACTTAGGTTGAAAGTACTCCTGGTACCCCAGAGTGTTGTTCACTTTACTCTCCTTCAGTCTCCTATATTCTAACTACAAATTACATTGCCCCCTGTAGGACCCTGGGGCTCAGTAGAATGAAGTTTGGAAAGCATTGCCCAAGGATAAAATAGAAAATCCTTAAAGTGACACATATACCCTCCATGATGACCTAGCTCCTGTCTTCCTTTCCAGATTTATTTCTGTGGCCACTATGCAATACACCTCATGCTCCACATGTAGCCACACTCTTTTTCATCTCATTAAGTTCATTTTGGACCCTCTACCTAGAATGGCTATCTCCTTCCTATCTTCTTCTTTCTTTTGGCTAATTTATTCATTCTTTCAAACTCAAGTTTAGGCATCAACTCTTTTAGGAGGTGTTTTCTGAAACCACCCCTCCCAACCCCAGACCAGATAGGTGTCACTTCTGGGTGATCTCATAATGTTTTGTGCATGTCTCTGCTTACCTAGCAGGTTATTTTATAATCAGTTTATGTGTGTGCCACTTCTATTACACTGTGAGCTCCTTGAGGAAGAGACTAATTTACTCATCTTTATTCATTCTATCCCTAAGCATAGAATGAATTCGGTGCCTAAGCATAGTACCTCATACATTTAGGTACTTAATATTTATCAGTGAGTCAGCAAATGACCACATGTGTTTCCCTAGACTGTTCTCAAGCTACTGTCATGCTTCGTCTGTACATTTTCCCTGAAGAATCTCTTTCATTTTCATGTTTTCAGTTAGAGGTAATCAAGATAGATAGTGTTATATTCAGGGGACTCTGAAATTACTATATTCTGCATATCCTGGCCCAGACCACAGCAATCTATTAGCTTGAGGGTTCCCAAGACAGAAAAAAACACAAAGGATAATGGCAAAGGAAAGCAAAGTAGTACTTTGTTAACTAACCTTTTGCCCCCAAAACTCAACAGAAGATATTGGTAAGCTGGAGTGAGCCACATGGTATATTCTTTTTCCTGTGAACAATCCAACACATCTACCAGCACTAGAGGAGCAGGAGAAGAGGGCATGTTTGCTTCTGGTGCTTATCGTCTAGCCAGCTAAAGCCTCACTTGGGTTACTGGCTCCCAACCAGGTATCTGTCCCATAGAGGGAAAGTGAAAAGAAGAATCAGGGAGCTAGTCTGGTCTTCTCCCTTGTGGGTAGGCGTAACCACTTCAGTAACATGAGTGGGAAGAAAAGGGAGCTGTCTAGGCTTGGCAGGCTCTGAGTCTAGAGAAGTATCATCCCCATCTCTTCCCACATATATCCCTCCCCCAAAATATACAGTTTTAAGTGTAATACCGTCTTATGTTGATGCCTCAAATCTTTATCCCCAATTCACTCTGCCCTCTACCATTTTCTAGCTATGGGGCAACTCTTGTCTTTAGGGTGTTGTTTATTACCCTCACATTTCTGGGGCTGACCTAAAGTGTACTGATATGAAGGAGCTGGGGAAATCAATTTTTATAAAAGCTGTAACAAACCTCATGATAGATTTTTTTTCCTGTTTGTACATGGAATATCAGATATAAAGAGAATATAGCATTCTCTAGGAGCACATGGGTACTTAGCCAGAAAGCATAATCTTGAGTCATGAGATCTTTCTTCTTTTCCATTTAGATAATATTGTTAAGTACCTGGCATGATACTGTTTCATCAAAGTTCCTCAGTAACTGTTAATTTCCTCTGCTTTCCTTTTTTTTCCCTTCAAAAGAAATTTTGTGGTTTGAGAGATTTTTAGGTTCCTCTTAAGATAAAATTTTCTGTTGACCTCATCTTCTTTCTTTCCTTTAGTCTCCATTCTAGCTGAAACAGAAGAAATAAAGGCCATTTTAAAGGACAAGGGAATTGATGTGGAGACCATTGCTGAGGTATACCCCATCAGAGTACAGCCAGCTCGTATTCTCAGCCACATTTATTCCAGCCTAGGTAAGGAGATGCGCCAACCTGCTAGAAGCAAAGCATTATTCGATGCAGACTGATTTTCTTCCTTTTTTTCTTCTCCTTGATCTTGTATTGCTTTGCCATATTGGATCTGAGAAGGAATTTAGAGTCACTGGAATCCAGATTTCTAATCATATCTATTCTGAGCAGGCTTGATAATTTTAGGTATGTTTTATGAACTCTTTGGGTACATACGGTATGACTATCAGCCAATATTATATCTTTATTCCAAGTGTGTGATTATATAACATTTCCAAGAAAGATTTGTTTCCTTCCTTCATTCATTCTTAAGCACTTATTGCTCACATATTAGTACCAGGCACTGAGCTAAATGCTGTGGGAGACATAGACATGCAACGAAATAATCATAGTATGGTCTTATAAATGGTATAATAATGGTGTTATGTACAAAGTACAAGAGAAAGAGGATAGTTTAGTGAGGAAGTCAGGAAAAGCATGAAAGAAGAGGCAACACTTGATAACTTATCAGTCAAATGAGTGACTCTTCAAAATTCTATTATTGCAACAATTTCACAGTAACAAAATTGCTTTAAGTATACATTGAATGACAGTCATAATTCCACAAAGGAAAAAGGAATATTTCTTTACCATGTGTATTCATATATATACATTAACTAAATGGAGTTTGTTGCCTTAACTCAAATATTCAGTATTTGATGGTCAGTTCCATAATCTTTTATTTTTTTAATAATGAGGTAAATCAACTTTATGAATATAAGAACTTAATAAATATTAAACTCAAATCCTTATATAGTCCTAATTATTTTCTAATCTGTTAGTACACATAGATACATTTTTATACTTATGTTTTTCTTTTGTATTTATTTATTTTATTTCAGCATATTATGAGGATACAAATGTTTAGGTTACATACATTGCCTTTGCCTTACCCGAGTCAGAGCTTCAAAGGTATACATCACCCAGCTGGTGTACACAACACCCATTAGGTGTAAATATACCCATCCCCTCCTCCTCCTCCCACCTGATGGATGTTACTACTATATGTGCACATAAGTGTTGCTCAGGGCTTAATATCCAGAATATATAAAGAAGAACTACAACTCAGTAAGAAAAAACAACCAGATTCAGAAATGGGCAAAGGACTTGAATAGATATTTCTTCAAAGAAGATGTGCAAATGAACACTTGGGAGATGAAAGGATGCTCAATATCACTAATAACTCGGGAAATGTAAATCAAAACCTCAATGAGATACCACTTAGCACTCATTATGATGACTGTCATAAAAAAAGTAGAAAGTAAGAAGTGTTGGTGAGGATGTGGAGAAATGAAAACCCTTGTGCACTGTTGGTGGGAATGTAAAATGGCATAGGCACTATGGAAAACAGTATGGTGGTTCCTCAAAAAAATAAACAGAATAACTATATGATCCAGCAACTGCACATCTGGGTATACTCCCAAAAGAAGTAAAAGCAGGAATTCAAACATATTTTCTACACCATTGTACAGCATTGCTCACAACAGCACAAAGGTGGAAGCAACCAAAATGTCCATCTGTAGATGAATGGATAAACAACATGTCATGTATAGATAGAATGGAATATTGTTCAGTCTGAAAAAGGAAGAAAATTCTGACATATGCTATTAATTTAACACAGATGAACCTGGAAGACATTATACTAAGTGAAATAGGCCAACACAAAAGAACAAATATTGTATGATTCCACTTATATGAGATACCAAGAGTAGTCAAATTCATAGAGACATATAGAATGGTAGTTGCAAGAGGCTGGGAGGTTGGGGATATGGGAAGTTACTGTTTAAATGGGTACAGTTTCAGTTTGGGAAGATGAAAAAGTTCTGGAGATGGATGGTGGTGCTATTGGTACAATGATGTGAATGTACTTAGTGCCACTGAAATGTACACTTAAGAATTATTAAAATGGCAAATTTTATGTATATATTACTGTAATAAAAATAGAAACAAACAGAAAGGAAGGAGCTATGAATAAACTTGGTTGTAATATCTATCTCAGGTAAAATGTATGTTTTACTGAATGGACCCTGAAATATGACCAAGGCTTTCACAGGAGTCTGGTTCTAGCCCCACCTAGAGTAAAGCAACACTAAAAACATGTTATATTTGATAAATATAACACTTAGGATAAAGTAGGGGCAAAAAATAAAATCCCCAGGAAAAATATGTTCTAGCCAAAAAACGTAGTAGTTCTGTCAGTACCTACATGAGAGGATATTAAATAAGTATTTTGGGGGAAAAAATTTCAGAACAATATGTATAATGACATTCTATGTTATAAAAGAAAAATATGTGTGTTAATAAATTAACTATTTCCTTATTGCAAGAGATACTGATTTAATAACTGCCTTTTGGAACACAAAAAGATACTTAACTACATTTAACATAGACATCAATTATAAGATGGATTCCAATTTCTGAGTGCTAAACTGTAAAAAGAAGACAACTTAAACTTAAAGAAATAAGGTGGATGTGTGTGTCTATTTGTATGTACATACATTATGTGTGTATCTATATGTAAAAAATATTTGCTGATTTCATTTGTGCACTAAAAATATCTTCACCATTTCTCAATTCTTTGTCAGGATGCAATAGTAGAATGAATCTCAGTGGACGACCCTACAGACACATGGGAGTGCTTGGAACTTCAAAACTGTATGACATTCGGAAAACTATCTTTACTTTCACTCCACAGGTAGGTGGAACACACTGAAACATACGTGGAGATGAGTAGAAATAAAAGAGAAACATTACAGAAATAAAGCATTTATTGGAGTTGGGATAAGTGTCAAAGAATACCGTGGGACTTTGCACATATTAAGTTGCTCAGTAAATATTTATTGAGTTGAACTGAATTGAACTTACAGCACAGAGTTATAATAAGTGATTGTGACTACCAAGAGTTGTCCTGGGTGTTGCAGAAACAGTGACTAGAGATTGTACAAATGTTAGAATACTTACAAAAGTACCCCTTACTTTTAAAAGTTAAAATAAAACTATATTTGTCCTTTATAAACAAAGTACAATCTTTTTTATTCAGCTATTGAATTAAGTATTTTCATTGTTTGGAGGAGGGGCTGTTTTTACGTGCATGGAGAACTTCAATATCCTTTTTTTCCCAGTTTTTAAATTTTAGAATATTACAGGGGTGTATAAATCTTTTGGTTACATGGATTGCTTTTCTACTGCTTGAGTCAAAGTTGTAAGTGTGCCCATCACCCAGATAGTGTACATTGTACCCATTAGGTATGATATCATCCATCCCCTCCTCCCCACTCCCACTTGGATGATTTCCATTGAGTTTTACTTCCATCTGTGCACATGAGTGCTGATCAGTAGTTCCAATTTAATAATGAAAACGTGGTGTTTGTTTTTCCATTCTTGCTATACTTCATTTAGGAGGATGGTCTCCAGTTCTATCCAGATTTGTTGCAAAAGGTATTAATGCATTTTTTATGGCTGAGTAGTATTCCATGGTATATATACACATTTTATTAATTCACTAATGAACTGATGGGCACTTGGGTTGATTCCACATCTTTGCAATTGTGAACTCTGCTGCAATGAACATTCAAGTGCAAGTATCTTTTTGATAGAAAAACTTCTTTTCCTTTGGGTAAATACCCAGTAGTGGGATTGCTGAATCAAATGGTATGTCTACTTTTAGTTCTTTGCGGAATCTCCATATTGTTTTCTATAGAGGTTGCACTAATTTGCAGTCCCACCAATAGTGTATAAATGCTCCATTCACTTCACATCCATGCCAGCATCTATTGTTTTGGGACTTTTTGATAAGAAGCCATTCTCACTGGGATTAGGTGATATCTCATTGTGGTTTTGATTTGCATTTCTCTGATGATTAGAGACATTGAGCATTTTTTCATATGTTTGTTGGCCATTAGTCTATCTTCTTTTGAAAAGTTTCTGTTCATGTCTTTTATCCACTTTTTAATGGGGTTGTTTGATTTTTTTTTCTTGCTGATTTGCTTGAGTTCTTTGTAGATTCTGGTTATTAGCCCTTTTTTCTCCCATTCTATAGGCTGTCTGTTTGCTCTGGTAACTGTCTACTTAGCTGTGCAGAAGATTTTTAATTTAATCAAGTCCCATTTTTGGGGAGGGTTGTTATTGTTGTGATTGCCCTTTGGGTCTTCTTCATAAATTCTTGGCCTAGACTGATATCTAGAAGAGTTTTTCCAACATTTTCTTGTAGAATTCTTTTGGTTTCATGTCTTAGGTTTAAGTCTGTTATCCATCTTGAATTAATTTTTTATGAGTGGTGAGAGAGATGGATCCTGTTTCAATCTTCTACATGTGACTATCCCAGCACCATTTATTGACTAGGGATTCTTTTGAATAGTGTATACTGGCTGTTGAATAGTGTATACTGCCATCTGCTTTGTCAAAGATCAGATGGCAATATGAGGATGGTTTTATATCTGGGTTCTCTCTTCTGTTCCATTGGTCTATGTCTCTATTTTTGTGCCAGTACCATGCTGTTTTAGTTACTATAGCCTTGTAGTATAGCTTAAAGTCTGATAAAGTAATGCCTCCAGATTTTTTCATTTTGCTTAAGGTTGCTTTGGCTATTTAGCCTTTTTTTATAGTTCCAAATGAAGTGTAGAATTATTTTTCTAGATCTGCAAAAAATGACATTGGTATTTTAATGGGATTGCATTGAATCTGTAAATCACTTTGTGTAGGATGGACATTTAAACAATGTTGATTCTATCAATCCATGAGCATGTTTTTCCATTTGTTTACATCATCTGCAGTTTTCTTCCTCAGTAATTCATAGCTCTCTTTGTAGAGATTTTTGACCTCCTTTGTTAAATATATTCAAGCAAACACTGAGAGAATTTGTCAAGACCAGACTTGCCATGCAAGAAGTACTGAGATCTGCATTATACATCGATCAGCACAATAGAAACCCACCAATGTAATATCACCCCAAAGCTAAAGTTCAGACCCATGTAAAATAATGCCTCATGAGGTAAAACAAAGCAATAAGGTTCTACCCACCAGTATGAACAGAAATGCATCCCACTTATCAATTCTTTTAATAAACATGAATGGCTTGAATTCTCTACTCAAGAGACATAGTCTGGCTGAATGGATAAAACAAATACAAGCAAATTATCTGCTATCTCCAGGAACCTCATCTAACTCACAAGTATTCATTTGAACTCAAGGTGAATAGATGGAAAAAAATATTCCATGTAAATGGAAATCAAAAGAAAGCAGGTGTAGCCATTTTCATATCTGATAACATAGACTTCAAATCAACAATAGTAAAGAAAGACAAATCTTTCTTTACTATTATATATTATTATAATAGTAAAGGGAACAATTCATAAAGAAAACTTAACAATTCTAAATATTTATGTACCCAACACAAGTGCACCCAGATTCATAAAGCAAACCCTACTAGATCTAAACAAAGTGATAAACAGCAACTTCATAATTGCTGGGAACTTCAACATCCCACTAACAGAACTGGACAGATCCTCCAAGGAGAAAATAAATAAAGAAACACTGGACTTAAATAGGATTCTAGAGCAAATGGGGCTAACAGATATTTACAGAACATTCTACCCCAAAACTACTCAACACACATTCTTCTCATCAGCACATGGAACATTCTTTAAGCTTGATCACGTCTTAGGCCACAAAACATGTCTCAACAAATTCAAAGAAATAGCAATTATACCATGTATCTTCTCAGACCACAGTAGAATAAAATTAGAAGTTAACTCCAAGAGAAGCAGGTCTACACAAAGTCATGGAAATTAAACAACTTACTGCCAAATGATTATTGGGTCAAGGAGGAAATTAAGGTGTAAAACAAAAGAGTCCTTGAAGTAAATGACAAAGGGGACACAAGTTATCAAAATCTGTAGGATTCAGCAAAAGCAGTCCTAAGGGGAAATTCATAGCCTTAAATGCCTATGTCCAAAAGACAGAAAGATCACAAATTAACAATGTAATGAATCATCTCAAGGAAGTAGAAAAGGAAGAGCAAACAAATCCCAAACCCAGCAGAAGAAAGGAAATGACTAAAGTCAGAGCAGCAATAAATGAAATCAAAAACAAAAAAAATAATACAGAAGCTTAATGAAACAAAGAGTTGGCTTTTGGGAAAGATAAACAACATTAATAGACCTCTTGCTAGATTAACCAGAAATAGAAAAGAGAGGACCCAAATAAGCTCAATCAGAAATGAAAAAGGAGATTTTACAAGTGATACCACAGAAATACAAAAAATCATCTCTGAATACTATAAAAATCTCTATGGACATAAACTAGAAAAGGAGGAAATGAACAAATTTCAGGAAACACACAATCTCTCAAGGCTCAATCAGGAAGAAATAGAACTCCTGAACAGATCAATTACGAGCAGTGAAATTGAAGTAGCAATAAAAAATCTTCCAACAAGAAAAGTCCCAGATCAGATGGTTTCACAGCCAAATTTTATCATACCTACAAAGAAGAATTGGTACCCATACTGCAGAAATTATTTTATAACATTGAGAAGGAAGGAATCCTGTCCAACTCATTCTACAAAGCCATGAAAGGACACAAGAAAAAAGAAAACTACAGACCAATATCCTTTATGAATATAGATGCAAAAATCCTCAATAAAGTTCTAGTAAACCGAATTCAGCAGCACAAAATAATCCACCACAATCAAGTGACCAGGGGGATGCAAGGATGGCTCAACATACATAAATGTGATTCACCACGTAAACAGAAGCAAAAACAAAGATCATATGATCTTCTCAATAGATTCAGAAAAAGCATTTGACAAAATTTAGCCCCCTTTTAGGATAAAAACTCTTAACAATATAGGCATAGATGGAATATACCTCAAAATGATAAAAGCCATATATGCCAAACCCACAGCCAACATCATACTGAATGGGAAAATTTTTAAAGCATTCCCACTCAGAACTGTAGCAAGACAAGGATGCCCACTGTCATCACTTCTGTTCAACATAGTGCTGGAAGTCCTAGTCAGAGCAATCAGGCAAGAGAAGGAAATTAAGGGTATCCAATTGGGGAAAGAGGAGGTGAAACTATCACTCTTTGCTGATGATCTGATCTTTTATCTAGAAAACTCCAAAGATTCTGCCAAGAGATTCCTGGAATTGATAAATAAATTCAGCAAAGTATCAGGTTACAAAATCAATGTACACAAATCAGTAGCATTCTGATACACCAACAACAGTCTAGCTGAGAATCACCTCAGAGATTCAATACTTTTCACAATAGCTACAAAGAAAATTCAATATCCTCTTCTAAACCAAAATGCCAGTACTGTTTTAGCTGTGATTATACACATCGTTAGCCTGATGTTTATTAGCTACATTATAATTGCAAGCTTGATTATATGTGTGTATGGCAGGAGAAATTATTTTCTGGAAAGAAAGTGTAAACTCTTCATTTATCGTCTTACATCAGAAATAGTGCAGCTGAGATAGGTATAGACAAAAGTAATGGACAGTAGATTCTTTTTCTGACTTTGCCATTTGCTAGCCATATGACTTTGCTAATCCACATATCATCTCTTAGCCTTATTTTTCATCTAAGAAGAAAAGCACTCATTGGGTAGTTACAGGGTTGAATAAAATTATGTATTTGAAAATAGTTTGTAAACTGTAGCACAGTATAAAATGTCAGAAATTATATGTACCGATTGACCATCAGATACTTTTGTAAGTATTAGGCATTAAATTTGAGGATATTGCCTCTGGGACATCTTGAATACCCTTTTGAATATGGAAGTATTTAAAAATGTTAATTGATATAATAGTACATTATTCTGAGCTATTATTTTTCTTTTTCTCAGTTTATAGACCAGCAACAGTTCTACCTGGCTCTGGACAATAAGATGATAGTGGAAATGCTTAGAACAGACCTCTCCTACCTCTGTAGCCGTTGGCGGATGACAGGGCAGCCCACCATCACCTTCCCCGTCTCACACACCATGCTTGGTAAGGGCTGTGTGCAGCAAGGAATGAATATATTTTTGAAATAAGTCATGGTTTTTGCTCTTCAACATCTTCGTGTTACTGGAGAGCTACATCTTGTGATTTATTCTTTCAACAGTATTTATTAACTCCTATTTTGTGCCAGGCACATGGAGTGAATAAGGTAGATGAAGTTTCAGATTCCATGGAGCTTTTGCTTAATAAGGTGAAGACAGACTATAAATATGTAATAAATAAATCAATACACAAGAATATGACTGATGGTTTGAGGGCTTTAATTAAAAAAATATAGCAGAGAATAACTTGATTGGGGACTACTTTATTAACTAGGTCAATTTTATTAACTTCATTCATATAATTATTTTTAAAGACAGTAATACCACATTCTGCATCTGTCAAACTCTAGTGGGCATCAAGGTTTTATAGATAAGTTCTCAGGTTTCTCCTTCCAAAGGCTGGCTAGCTGAAGAAGTAAAATCTAACAGAGAAAAAGTGAAAAAGCTTTTGGCTTAAATTTTGTTTTATTTATTTATTTTTATTTATTTATTGTTTTGGTTGGACTCCTGACATTGCTTACTTGAAACTGGGTGAAAGGCTTTATTGTTCTATTCATTCCTGGAGCCTATACTGAAGCAACTGCTTTCTTTTTGTGTCTCTGCTGTCGCTTCCAAAGGCCTATTTGTACTGCCAAAGGACACAGAATTCCCTTTCATTAAAGAAGAATCTCCTACCATAAGTCATTCAAAATCCAGACAAGCTATTAAGGATTTTGGGCACATCTCAAAAATGCTTCAAAATGTTGAGGAAGTAGAATAGCCTAGTCTTTCTTCTTTACTTAAGAACAGTTAACAAGTACCCATTTAATAACTACTATATTCCAAAAATTGTCTTCAGAAAGTATAAAGTTTAATTGGAGAGGCAAAGCTAATACACAAAAATGATAGAAAACAATCCAAGACAGTATATAAAAAAGTACTAAACCTTAGGTTAATATTTCACAGTGAAGGAAATCAAGTTGTCAGAGAAAACTTCTCAACTGAGACTTATTCCAATCCTTTTGGAAAGGATTGTATTCAGATGAGAAGAGGGAAGAGGGAAGAGGGAAAGGTACTTTAAGTGAGGGGGAAAATACCATCAGTGAGGCCTGGAGGAAGGAATGAGCTTGACTTATGAGAGGACAGTGAAGAGACCAACCTGAATAGAGTGGGTTTTGCAAGTTAGAGTATAATTATAAACAGAATTGGATAAGTAAGGTAGAGTCAGATTCTGAAAACCTTGAAAATAAGCAAATATTTAAAACAGATTTTCTCAGAAGTCTATAATTATCAAAAGTTTTTGAACAAGGAGTGAGATAATGAAAATGATAAGTAGGGAATATTGGCTGGTAACATTACACATTGTAGTGAGGAGAGACTGATGTCAAGGAAACTAATCTGCATGAAATGTAGAGATATATACTGGATTGGTACTAGTAAAAGTAGAGTGGGAAAGAAGGATACAAGAGTTATTTTAAGCAACACCTATAAGTCAGGTATTGGCTAACTAGATATAAGAGACAAATTAAGATAACAACAGGGTCTAGAGACTAGATATCTTAGTCTATTTGTGCCACTATAACAAAATACCACCAACTTGGTAAATTATAAACAATAGACATTTATTCCTTACAGTTCTGGAGGCTGGGAAATTCAAGATCAAGGTGCCAGCAGGTTGAGTTCCTGGGGAGGGCCTGGTATCTCAACTTCTAAGGTGGCACCTTGTTGCTGAATCCTCTGGAGGGGACAAATGTGTGTCCTCACATGGTGGTAAGGACAGAAAAGGGGCAAACTCACTCCCTCAGGTTCTTTTAAAGGACCCTAAAGGCCCCACCTCTTAATACTATCTCACATTGGTGATTAAGTTTCAACATGTGAATTTTGGAGGACATTCAGGCCACAGCACTAGGTAAATAATGCTGCCATTGATAGAAGCAGAGATATCGTATAAGAAGATGCCAGCTATAAAGGGACATGTTTAGTTTGTGGTGACAAAAAGAGATTTCAAAATTGAGATTCCTAATAGTTGGGATGAGATACACAGCCACAGCTTGGGAAGTAGAATCAAACTAAAGATCTAGATTTATGGCCAGGTGCGATGGCTCACGCCTGTAATCCTAGCACTCTGGCAGGCCAAGGCGGACGGATTGCTTGAGGTCAGGAGTTCGAAACCAGCCTGAGCAAGAGCGAGACCCCGTCTCTACTAAAAATAGAAAAAGATTAATTGGCCAACTAACATATATATAGAAAAAATTAGCCAGGCATGGTGGCGCATGCCTGTAGTCCCAGCTACTCGGGAGGCTGAGGCAGAAGGATTGCTTGAGCCCAGGAGTTTGAGGTTGCTGTGAGCTAGGCTGACGCCACGGCACTCACTCTAGCCTGGGCAACAAAGCGAGACTCTATCTCTAAATAAATAAATAAATATCTAGATTTAAATCGGTTTTGATAATTGACATGTGGTCACACAACAAAAATAACAGTAACAATAGCAGTAATAACTATATTTATTGAACAGTTTCTCTGTGCCAGGCTCTGAGCTAAGTGCTTTCAATAAATTATTTTGAAATCTCTATAACAATCTTATTCATGTAGGTACTATTAATAGCCCTATTTTATAGATGAGGAAGGTGACTCATTGTCCAAAGTTACAAAGCTGATAAGTGACATAACCCGATCTCAAACCAGGTCTCTCAATCTCTGAAGTTCACATTACCAACAGTAGTGTGTTTTTGCCAGTGAATATTCTATGCTGGTGAAATGAGAACAAATATATTATTAGTGATCACATTGAAATGTGGGTTAGTTAAATTCTCATATCAAAGACAAAGGTCTTCAGAATATGTAAAAGAACAAAATCTAGCTGAATGCTATTTACAAAAGATAACCCTAATGTAAAATTATATGGAAAGATGGAACATAAAGGAATGTGCAAAGATATATCATGTAAATGCTAACAACTGAAAGCAGTGGTGGCAAAATTAATATCAAGAATAGTAAATAAAATCCAAGGGAAAAATCAGTAAATGGGACAAGAATGATATTTTATATTGATAAAATATTATAGTATACCAATATGATAAAACATTTGTAAACTTTTATCTATTGAATAATGTCAATGTGTGTAAAGGCAGTATTTAGGAAAACTTAGGGACAATATGACAAAACTATCATACATTCATAGTGGGAAACTATACCATACTTTTATCATAATATCACAGATCAATGATACAAAAATAAGAGATGGAGGAGTAACAAACCTGATTTTTATATTTATGAGTGTATATATAACTGTACTGAAAAAGATTACACGAAGGATGTTTATTTTTTATAAGTATTATAGTAATCATACAGGAGGGGAGGGAGGGGAGGGAAGGGCAGGAGGGAAGAGAAAAAGGAAAAAGGAAGGAAGGAAGGAAGGATCCAGACCAAAAGGACCCACAAAAAATCTGCTTTCTCTAACCAAAGGAACAGGAAAGGAGCAACCTAGCCAGACAGAAAACTTTTTTTTTTTTTTTTTTTTTGGAGAAGCACTGTGTTGCCCAGGCTAGAGTGAGTGCTGTGGTGTCAGCCTAGCTCACAACAACCTCAAACTCCTGGGCTCAAGTGATCCTTCTGCCTCAGCCTCCCAAGTAGCTGGGACTACAGGCATGCGCCACCATACCTGGCTCATTTTTTCTATATATATTAGTTGGCCAATTAATTTCTTTCTATTTTTATAGTAGAGACGGGGTCTCGCTCTTGCTCAGGCTGGTTTGAACTCCTGACCTTGAGCAATCCGCCTCGGCCTCCCAGAGTGCTAGGATTACAGGGGTGAGCCACCATGCCCGGCCCAGACAGAGAACTTTTAGACAGTAACTATTCTACTCTAGCAAAATACCACAGAAAAGAACTTTGGCCCCACTTTCTTATCTCTGTCAACAGAGGCTAAGTGAGGACCCTAGACTTTTACCCTCACACAGCTGTAATAGGCACCTTTTTCTCTCTTAGCAGTAGTGTCAGAGAAATCCTAGTGGGGAGCTTAGACTTTTATCCCTGCACAACAGTAGAGGAATTCCTCCCTCTTCAGTGGTGTCAGTGGAGGCCCACTGGAGAGCCCTGGACTTTGGCAGTAACAAGACAGTGCCTCTTCCCTGATGGCACAGTATCATAGAAAACCTGCTAAATCAGAAAATTTAATAAGATCCAGAATCTCATTACGTGATTCCCTAAATTTCCAGAATACAATAGAAAATCATTCATACTAAGGTCCAAGAAGATCTCAACATCAGTGAGAAAAGATGATCAACAGGCACTAACACCAAGATGGCATAGATGTTGGAGATATTTGACAAAGATTTTAAGGCAGTTATCACAAAAATACTTTTAACACACAACTACAACCACACTTTAAATAAATGACAAAGTAGGATACCTCAGCAAAGAAACTGAAGATATAAATAACAAAATGAAAGTTTTACGGCTGAAAAATGTAATAACTGAAATGAAAAACTCACTGGACAGGCTCAACAGCAGAATGAAGACAACAGAATGAGCTTGAAGATAGAACTAAAATGACCCATTCTGAACAACACAGTAAAAATAGAGTGAGAAAATATGAACAGAGCCTCGGGGACCTGTGGGGCTAATATCAAAAGATCCAATGTTCATGTTACAAGCATATCAGGAGAGGAGAAAGAGTTTAGGAGAAAAAGAAAAAGCATTACAGTGGCTTACAGTGGCTAAAAAATTGGCAAAAAAAATTAACCTACAGATTGAAAAAGCTGAGAATCCCTAAACTTGATAAACCCAAAGAAACCCATGCCAAAACACATAATGATCAAGCTCCTGAAAATTCAAGAAGAAAAATCTTGAAAGCAGCAAGTGAGAAACAATACCTTTCCCATAAGGAATTAACAATTAGAATGACAGCAAATCTCATCAGAAACCATGAAGACCAGAGGGAAATGACACATTTTTCAAGTACTGAAAGAAAACAATTATAACCCAAAACTTTTGCTATATCCAGTGAAAATGTACTTCAAGAATAAAGGGGAAAAAAGACATAGAACAATAGAGTGTGAAAGTATGGGTAAATACAATAGTCTTTCTCCACTTTAGTTTTCTAAATTATATTTGACAACTAAAAATCATAACATTAGTTGATGTAGTTGTCAAAGTATGTAGAGAAAATATTTAAGGCACTTATATTATAAATGGGGGAAAGTAAGGGACTTAAAGGGAGATAAGGTTCTAACCAGCACTTTAACTAGTATAATGTTGACAGTAGTAACAGTGATATATGTGTCATGTATCTATGCATAATGTAATAACTAGGGTAACCACTAAGAAGTCTATAGAAGGAGATACAGTCAAAACCACTACAAATAAATCAAATGGAATTCTAAAAAATGTAAAAGTAACTCACAAGAAGGTAGGAAGAAGAAAATAGAGAACAGAGGTAACAGAAAACCATAAATGGCAGACTTAACCTTAACACATCAATAAGTACATTAAATGTAAATATTCCAAGTATACCAATTAAGAGATTAAAAGATAACAATTAAAGATACCAATTAAAAGATTAGCAGGCCGGGCGTGGTGGCTCACGCCTGTAATCCTAGCACTTTGGGAGGCTGAGGCGGGCGGATTGCTCAAGGTCAGGAGTTCGTAACCAGCCTGAGCGAGACCCCGTCTCTACCAAAAATAGAAATAAATTAATTGACCAACTAAAAAATATTACAAAAAATTAGGCGGGCATGGTGGCGCATGCCTGTAGTCCCAGCTACTCGGGAGGCTGAGGCAGTAGGATCCTGAGCCCGGAGATTGAGGTTGCTGTGAGCCAGGCTGACGCCACGGCACTCACTCTAGCCTGGGCAACAAAGTGAGACTCTTGTCTTCAAAAAAAAAAAAAAAAAAAAAGATTAGCAGAGTGGATTAAAAAATGACCCAACCTGTATACTGCTGTCTTTAAGAAATTCACTCCACATATAATAATATAGGTAGACTGAAGTGAAAAGGAGGGAAAAAGATACACCATGTAAATATTAATTAAAAAATCAGAAGTGGCTACATTAATATCTGGTAAAATGAACTTCAGAGTAAAGAAAAAAACAGATAATAAAAACGTTAGGAATGAGAAAAGAGATATAGCAACAGTAACAGAGGAGACTTTTAAAATTGTAAAAGAATACTACGTGCAATTTTGTAAATCTAGGTAAAATTGACACATTTTCTAGAAAGTAAATAATATAAGCTTAATAAGAAATGTTTGTAAAATTATATGAGAAAAATTATATAACTATTGAAGAGCATAAAAGATCTTAATTAGTAGAGAGACATTATCATATTCTGAGATAGAAATAAATAGTTAATGTTGAGGGTATCCATTCTTATCAAATGAATCTATCAATTCAGCATAATTCCAAATAAAAATAAAAACAAATTTTTATGAACAAGCTGAACCTGAAAGTCCTATAGAAAAGAAAATATATAAGAATAACCAAGTTTTTTTTATTTTAGCATATTATGGGGGTACAAGTGTTAAGGTTACATATATTGCCTGTGCCCCCTCCCACCTCGAGTAAGAGCTTCATGTGTGTCTATCCTCCAAACGTTGCACATCTTACTCATTGTAAGAATAACCAAGTTTTTAAGAAAAGAAAATGGGATGGGACATGAGCAGGCAATTCATAAAAGAAATACAAATACCCAGTAAATACATAAAAACATGCTCAGTCTTATTGGCAATAGAATTAAAACAATGTCTCCTTATTTACCTATCAGATTAAGAAAGATTTTTGCCCATTGTTGTTAAAAGTATGGGAAAATAGTCACTTTATATACTGTTGGTGGAAATATTGGCACAACTCTTTCAGTGGGTAATTTAGCAGTTTCTATAAATCTTTTTAGTAAGTGTTCGCTTTGTCCTAAGTTCTACTTGTAAGAATTTAAGGAAATAATAGAGTGAGTGCATAAAGATACAGGTAATAATCTTCATTACAATATTGATTATAATATAAAACAATCTAAATATTTGCTATGGAATCATTTTTAGCTATTACAAAGGCTGTTAGAAAAAATGGGTCACAAAGGAGTATTTGTAGTATAATTCCTTCCACATAAAATCAGATAATTGTTAGCTTTCTACATATTTTATGCCCATATGCACACATGTAAATCAAGGCTCATTATATGAGACAATGATATAGAATGTTTAGCCTCGTGCTTGGCACATAACATTCAACAAATAGTTGCTGTTATTATTGTCAGCATTCAGTAGTCATTAAGCATTCTGCCATCAGGCACTGTGCTAAGTACTTATGATAAATAAGATAATACCTTTGAGGAACTCTGTCTACTGGTCATTGTCTCTTGCCATTTGCCCATTCTGCAGTGTTATTGGTTCTCAGATGAATTGTTGAAATACAGGGTAGTCAACGAGGACTGTCTCACTTGTACCATCACCACCAAAATGTTGATTTGAAATACTTGAAAGATTTCCCCCTAATTCAAAGTTAAAACCACAAAGATTGTTTTACAATTCTCTTCATTTCAAGATGAAGATGGGACCAGCTTGAATTCAAGTATCCTGGCAGCACTCCGAAAAATGCAGGATGGCTATTTTGGTGGGGCAAGGTAAGTGACCTCTACATATTCTTTAGTGAAATGAAATGAAATTTGGAAGCTGGGTATAGTAATGGCAGACTTGTAATGCCTTTCTGTGTACAGAAGTCCCTTTTATCCATGATTTTGCTTCCTGAAGTTTCAGTTACTGTGGTCAACTTTGTTCCAAAAATAATTAAGTATGGTAAAATAAGATATTTTGAGAGAGAGTGTGTGGTAGAGCGAGAATGAGTGCATATACAGTCATGTAACTTTTATTATAGTATATTGTTATAATTGTTCTATTTTATTGTTTAATCTCTTACTGTAACTAATTTATAAATTATACTTTATCATAGCTATGTATGTATAAGAAAAACATAGTATATATAGGGTTTGTTACTATCCACAGTTTCAGGCATCCACTGGGGTCTTGGAATGTATTGCCCAAGGATAAGGGGGAACTGCTGTATTTTCAACAACATAATTCCATCCTACTCAGAAGAGCTAGTGTTTGATAGATTGAATCAAGGAATTTAATGTTGTAGAGGAAGGTTGGAAATTTTTCCTACCCTGTTCTTTGCCTGTATCTCAGAGGATCAGAAAACTTATTCTTAAAAATAAAAGGCTACTAAATTATTTGATTCTGCCTGCTTTTCTTTTCTTTTTTTCTAAGTTTTTATTTTGAAAAATCTCAAGCTTGCAGAAATTTGCAAGAATACCAATGACCACCTCTATACCCTTTCTCATGATTCACCTGTTTTTAACATTTGTCCCAGTGTGCATTCTTTCTTCCTCTCTTCCCTTCCTTCCTACCTTTCCTTCCTCACCTCCTCCCTACTCCTTCCCTCACACATATATACTCACATACACACATATATATAATATATAATATATATGCACATATACGCATGGTTTTTTGCTAAGAGAGTTAGCCATAGACATCATGACTCTTTAACCCTAAATACTACAGTTTCTGTTGTTTACTTAAAGTGCATTCTCATATATAACTATAATATAATAATATAATATATATTAATATATAATATATATAATAATATAATAATCACACTTAGGAAATTTAATATTGATATACTACCTAATATCTGATATAGGGTACATATTCAGAATTATGCAATTGTTCCAGTAATGTTTATCCATAGCTCTTTTTCCCCCAATCCAGGATCCAACCAAAGATCACATGTTAGCATTTAGTTGTTATATCTCTTTGGTTTCTTTTAACACAGAACAGTTCTTTGGCCTTTTGTTAATCTTTCATGACAGTGTTCATTACATTTTTGAAGAATACAAACCAGTCATTTTGCAGGATGTCTTTCAATTTGGATTTGTCTGGTGGTTTCCTCATGATTAGACTCAGGCTGTATATTTTTGGCAGCGATGCTACCTGTGTGATGTTGGGTCCTTGTTTTAATTTAGGATCTGTAAGATGGAGAATGCCCCTTCAATGATTAGAAGAGACATGAGATGGAAATTAAAGATTTTATTACTTATAGGTTCTGGGGGCAGGAGTGATGGTGGTGGTACAGAGCATGCCCGGAAGCCATACACATGTAGGTCAGGGAACAAACGGAGAGAGAAAAAGAGAGACCCATGGGCCAATACCTTTACTGGAGTCCAAGACATTATCCAAACAGATTTCCTGCAAGGAGTTTTAATTGGTAGATATAAAACCAAGCAGGCATGCATTCCAGGAGATCATTGTGGCATATCGGCACGGTTCACGTGGGATGTGGGGATCAGTGAGGCCAGAATATAGGTTGTATCCAGGGAGATGGTGACTAGGAGGAAGTTGGGTAAGGCAGATATCTGGATTGATTACATTGAGGAACTGAGGGAGATATACAACTGGAAACTGTGTCAAGGATGACAGAGCCTGCTTCTGGTAGGAGAAAGTTAAACTTATATTCGTAAAGGATGCCTGAGAAACATAAAATTATAAGAATTTACTGTAATCCTTCTCAGTGCATCATATCAGGAAGCATATTAGATTGGTTTGTCACATTATTGATGATGTTAACTGTGATAACTTGGTTTTCCAGGTTTCTCCATATTCTTTCCCTGACAGTCTTTAACCAAATGTTGTTAGCTTCTGTTGATTCATGCGTGAATCAGTTATTACTAATGGCATTATAAAATGGTGTTTCTGTTATTCTGTGTACATTTATAATATTTAGGTCATTAAATATGAAATGTCCAATTTTGAATCAAAAGCATAGTTTATTATATCTCAAACAAGAAGCAGTATAATTAGTCAAAGTATGCGCCTAAACTGTCAACACAGTTTTGCCACCTTAACAGTAGCTTGTTTATGCAGCAGCAAAGAAGCCTGGAGAACAAGTGGCGATGAAATCACAAAAGGTATTTTCCACAGCTTGTTGAGAATTGAATATTTTTCCTTGCAAGAAGTGGTCCAAATCCTGGAAGAAGTGGTAGTCTGTTGACGCAAGGTTTGGAGAATACAGTGGATGACAGAGAGTTTCCGAGTCCAGCTTCTGTAGTTTGAGCAGTGGTGTTTGTGCCGCATGTGGTTGAGCATTGTCTTGCAGGAGGATTGGACTGTCTCTATTGACTGATCTTGGCTGCTTAATTCCAAGTATCCTCATCATTTTGTGCAATTGGTTGCAGTAGAAATGCACTCTAATGGATTGACTAGGTTTCATGAAGCTGTAGTGGATACTATCAGCGCTGAACCACCAAACAAACTATTAGCTTTTTTGATGAATATTCGGTTTTGGACTATGTTTCGGCACTTCATCTTTATTCAACCATTGTGCCGAACACTTGTGATTGCCAAAAAGAATCCATTTTCGTCACATGTAACAATACTGTGTAGAAATGATTTGTCTTTATGTCATGATAGCAAAGAAAGGCAAGCTTCAAGACTATTTCTCTTCTGATGCTTGTTTAATTCATGCGGAACCCATCTATCCGGCTTCTTTACCTTGCTCATTTGTTTCAAATGATCCAATATTGTTGGAATAGTATATCAAACCTTGCTGCTACTTCCCGCGTAGGTTGAGATGGATTCACTTCCACTATAGCTTTCAGCTTATCATTATTCACTTTAGTCTCAGGTCACTCATGTGGTTCACTTTCAAGATTAAAATCACCAGAATGGAATTTCTCAAACCATCGACATACTGTCCGTTCATTCGCCACATCCTTTCCAAACACTACATTGATATTTCAAGCTGTCTGCATTGCATTGGTTCCACGATGGAGCTCATATTTGAAAATAACACATGGTTTCACGAAATTGCTATAAAAATACATTTGAAAGATAGTTACAAGCAAAAACATGTGTTTGAAAGACTAAGGATGTCCCTTCACAATAAAAATAAAATAAGTGTCAAAGTGAAATGTCAGCGATATCAACTGTCAAACTTAGTACTTAAGGAAATCAGAAATTTCATACTTAATAACCTAATAATAGTTGAGAACTTTCCCTTCCCCCCTTTTATTTTGTAGTTTAGTATCAGTATAGATTCATAGATTCTTTTATTCAATGTCATGATCAGTTTATTTTAGTATTCAAATTATTCAGGGTCTGGCCATTGGTAGCCCCTTCAAGCTGGCTTCTTCAGAAAATTAGTACTGCTGACTTACCTTTTGAGTTTTGTAATTGGCTTCATGAGTAAGGAGTAAATGGCTTACAATCTAATATGATTTATAAAATTTTCAAGTACCTACCATCTTTTCTGTTCAAAATGGTCCTTGGGGTATTTTTTTAATGATATGATAAATATTTATCCTCATTCTCTCGTGGCTTCTCTACTGGCCAATGCAAATGTTTGCCAGATGTTTATCATAGTTAGCAACATAGGATATGGCAGTGGAAGAGAGCAAAACTGATCTGCTGGTAAAATGTTAACCTATAATTGTAGCCTTTATTAACACAGTTCCCTAACAATTTAAGCTGTACACTATGCCTAGGAGTGCTGTAAATTTTTACTTTTATAAAATTTATATTAATGTATGAACGTTAGTAATTCCCCAACATAACACGCTAGGAATCCTCTTATCACTAAGATTGTGTTGTTTTTTAAAGGATCTCCCAATTTTTCCATTTTCTATCTACCCTCTAATTGTCAGGATTCAAACAGGTAAATTGTCGGAGTTTTTGACAACATCTTGCTGCACACATTTGAGCTTCATGGACCCTGGACCTGAGGGTAAGCTGTACAGTGAAGATTATGATGACAACTATGATGAACTGGAATCTGACAATTGGATAAATGAGTGTGATTCAACCTATAATGGTAAGGAAGCTTCAGAAAGCACTGGCCTGGCTGGACAAAAATACAAAATATTGTTTAGCATCATCCTTAATAATTCATGCTGCCAGTAATCTCACAGTGTACTATCCTCACTCCTGTTTAATACACCTAGATTTCTACTTTTGTTTGGCTTTACTTTTCATCCCTCTACTTACCTTCAGTTTCTGGTCTAATATCCCTGTGGTGACTGTGGAGTATGGAGTTGGACTGTTCTTTACTAAGGTTAGGGAAGATTTCTCTCCCAGGCATTTAAAGTGGCTGATGATTTTGAAATGGAAAGAAGCAGTGGTGAGTGACAGATATTTATTCAAGTATGTAGTAAGAAAATTATGTACATACAGGACTACTTTTTGACATTAAAAAGCATAAAAATATAAAATTTAACTAGAGTGCTTTTTATGTAATAGTAGAGAGGCATACCTGAATCTCTGAGGATTTCTGTGTAGTTTGAAAAAACCTATTTGGTATGTCTGTTGCTTTCATATTACAAAATAGGCAAAGCACAACAAAGTCAAAATCTAATTGGCTGCTAGGAATACAAAGATGATATAGTGAGAAAGCATTGAAGGGGCATGGATTGAAAATGGCTGAGAAACACTGCCCTGCAGTGTTAAAATACTGACCTAGGCAAGGCAAGTCTTATGTTGTTTGAATCCCAGACAAAGAAGGGCCAATAAGAGAGAATTACTCTTCTAGCTATCTGAAACATAGTTTGCCTGCTTTCATGGTCTGGGTATTTGACTATTAATCTATATCTTAAGGCAGCCAATTCTTTATCTTAAGAGTAGTGTGTTGCAGAAAAGAAAAAAGTAAATTTGCTTTCCTTAGTGAAGTAGCAAGCATAATCTCATGTACAATAGACTAACACATTAGCAATCAGAAGGGCCATTTCCCTATTTGGCATTTACTCACTAAGTACCACTTCATTCACTCTGTATTTGTTTTTCTAAGATCTAAAATAGTTTTCTTTGTTTGAAAAGTACATTAAATATAAGGCTATTTATTGTTATCAATAATAACCAAAGTCATGATGTCCATTTAGACAAAAAATGCTTTGAAAATTAGACAAGAATGATCATACATTAAGTTTGTTGTGATTTTCATCTATAGCACTCATTCCCTTGGATTACTTTCTAAAATCTGTCTTTCTGATGACATGTATTACTAAATTTGATATTACAGCATTCTGAGTCACTTTCCCATCCCTGGGTTTACTCATCAGTAGTCTCACATGGGCTTGCTTATTGCTTGCCAGGCCTTCTGTGGGTAGAGAGCTTTTCTCCATATTCTTCATAATCCTCCACTCAAGTATATAGATTGTATTCAAGTTTAAAATCTTTGTCATTAGGCTGTCACTGAACATGAGTTCCATTCTTACAGCTCTGCTAGTTCCCATTAGTCACAGGAGAGCACAGAAAGACATTTGGAGAAATCAGTGAAGGATCGTCAAAAACCAGATGACTCATGACTGACTTAGCAGACTCTGGTATTGATCCACATAATATGCTTTTCCAAATGTAAACACTGTGAATATTCATATAAAGCATAAATTATGAAGCATTCACAGGGTATATGTATATGTTTTGTTTCCATTACCCATATTCAGAGATCATGTTATAGAAGGTGTGTAAGGAAGGGGGAACCCAAGAGGATAGAGATCAGTATCTATCTTCTTCACCACTGAAACTTCAGCACCTAGTACACTACCTGGTACATAGCAGCCAATAAATATTTGGTGAATAAACAAATGAGGTGACTAAAAAGACCAGTGTATGGCCAGTAGTCCTTTCTATACCCATGCCACCATAAAGATTGTTTTTTTCATTAATAATTGTAGCTGCTATTTTGTAAAATCTATCTATCTATAGCTAAGCTCAATGTTTGGTGGAAAACTTTTGCTGTTCCCCAGCCCTTCCTCATAAAAGTCTTCTCATACTTGAAGGTTCCTGTTCTAATTCTCCTCTACCACCGGCACTACCAGTGCCACCACTACCATGACATGCACACACACACATACACAGATTATTAAATGCTTGCTCCACCTGTTCTCAAATAAGTCCATACTGCTTTCAGGAACCCTAATGTTATCTCAGCAAAGTTGAAGAACAGGTAGGTCCTGGTAAATGGCCATAGTCTCTAAATCCTTTTTATATTGTTATTCCTCTTCTCCTCCCTCCATAGTCTCTAAATCTTAATGCTATGAGGTTATGTAATGATCACAAGCTTTTTTTCTCCCATGTGCTAAAAACAACCTACTTCTGGTGCTGCATTGTGGGCACAGGAGCCAGTCATTCTGTTTGCTGGGGTAAAATTGTAAAATGACTAAAATATTCATTTTTTTCTCTTCCCCCTCCCCCTACTAACCTTGCAGCTCGCTGTGGTGATGAAGTTGCTCGTTATTTAGATCACCTTTTGGCACACACTGCTCCCCATCCTAAACTAGCCCCTACCTCACAGAAGGGAGGGCTAGATCGATTCCGAGCTGCTGTGCAAACAACCTGCGACTTAATGTCCTTAGTGACCAAGGCCAAGGAGCTGCATGTACAGAGTGAGTAATGACATGACTCACTAGAGTCAGGCACAGGATGATGTGAGCCCAGGATGTGGGTGGGGCATTGATTAAAATGTAAGCAGGAACTTTGTTTTGTTCACTGCTTTATCCTCAGCTCTGACAGTACCTAGAACATAGTATATATTTGTAAAATTAGTGAATTGGGTATAGTTTTGCTGTGGCTGTAGTCTAGTTTAGCCAGTGACATAGTAAGAAGAGGCAGAACAAGACACATGGAGCATATTCAATTTTAACATACAGTTAAAATTGGCAAAAAGGGAAGTAATTTTGTTTAAAGAGAATGCATTGCAAAAACTATTTACAAGATACCCATGTAATGGAGAAGGGAGATAGTCTCCCTTAAGTAACCTACATTTGGTTCCCTTAAGCCAGCTGTCAATTTTACAGTCAGTCATTCCAGCCATGTAGACTTGTGTTTGTCAAATTCAGTATTCATTCTTAACAACTTTGCCATTCTCTTCTCCATGACCTCTACCCTCCTTCAGTTGTATTTACAGTGGAGGATATTTTCTACCATACATTGCCAGGAGTAGTCATGGTTCCTAAGAGCGTTCAATGGCCCTATGGTGGCTGGATGTGAAGGGAGAGAATGGCTCCTTGGCCATACCTAGAAGATCTGAATTTAACATTTTACAGATGATTAGAATGATTGAGATGCATGCTCTTGTTGTCTAAAACTTTATTGACCATTACTAACCAAAGATATTAAACATGGATACTGGAGAGTCATTTAACATTATAACAGGGTAAACCTTAGTATACCCTTTGAGTATGCTCCCTTGAGAAGGGCTTATATGAAAAGGTGAACTTGATTAAGTTATACTTCTCAATTATGAATCGGGAAACTTGAGCTTAATTCACAGCTCTGCTACTTACTTGCTTGAACAGTTATTTGAGCTCCGTGTCTCTTTCTGTGTCTATAAAATGGTGAAAATGACAAGAGGGTATCTCCTTAGAGGTTATGGTAAGTATTTCAACAATGGACTGTAAGTAAAAAAAAACTCTTAGGAATATCTCAAAGTTGATCAGCCGCTATATTTTTTTGAGTCCCTAAATAGGATCATCCATTCATCTATTCTCAGGGAAATCCACCACAAACAGCCAGATATTTTCCTAGGAAAGTTAAAACATAACTGGGTTCTTTCTGTTATATATGCTCTTCTATCCAAGTGTCGGTGATAACACCATTGTGGTCTTAATTACATTAGTACCTTTAATATATTGTATGTCCAGCTACTGCTACAATTCTAGAAATTCAATTCAAAATATATTTATTGATTAATTAGTCTTTAAAGTATCTAATATTCATATTTATGTTCTTTGATATTACCAAGGAAGGAGAAATTTCTCATTCCTGTTCTATAAAGACTGACTCATATGTGACCTCATTGTTGAGGTAAGCTGTGCGTTTTTATTAGTCTCCTAATTATCTAACCTTTCCCATAAATGTCAACCTCTTGCAGATGTTCACATGTATCTTCCTACGAAGTTATTACAGGCTTCCCGGCCTTCATTCAACTTACTTGACCCACCTCATCCCCAACAGGAGGACCAGGTAAACCTGCACTTGAGGTATTTATATCAGCATTTTGCAAAACTGCCATCTTTATGAAAAATAATAGAACTAGATATTATGGTACCTGTTAGTAACTACCATGTTTCCCAGAAAATAAGACCTACCCATAAAATCAGCCCTAGCAGGATTTCTAAGCATTTGCGCAATAGAAGCCCTACCCCAAAAATAAGCCCTAGTGATGGGTGTGGCTACACAGCACATCTGCACAACCCATGCATTTCGTCACAGATCAGTAAAGAAGACGAGCAGCCTTTCTCATCTGCCCCATCATGACAGCTACTATCCCAGAGGTGACCGCAAAGGTGCGGGCAGCCCCACCAACAAGGTTGGCTCCCCCCGTCAGGTCCTGGCCATCCTGTGCATGCTGCAAGCTGAGTCTTTGAGAGAAAAATAACACATCCCCTGAAAATAAGCCCTAGGGTGTCTTCTTGAGGAAAAATAAATATAAGACCCTGTCTTATTTTCAGGGAAACACGGTAGTGGTAGGCAAAGTGCTATTCTGGTGAAGATACATGTCCTTTTCAGTTCACCTGTAAAGTGAGCAAATTTTTCTAGTCAAGCTTTAAGAAAATTAGATTGCTGTATCATAGGTCTTGAAGGTTTTATTATTTCTGCTTTTCTTTTCATTAACATTTAGAAAGTTCTTATGGAAACGTTTGTAGGTAAAAAGATAACTCATTTCTAGGTCATTATTTAAGTTGTGCACTTACGTGTTTGATTTCTTTTTATCATTTCTCAAAATAAAGGTTCCCTCTGTTCGTGTGGAAATACATCTTCCTAGAGACCAGTCCGGGGAGGTGGACTTCAAAGCACTGGCTTTGCAGTTGAAGGAGACCTCCAGCTTACAGGAACAAGCTGATATCCTCTACATGCTGTATACTATGAAGTAAGTGATAGCTATTATCAGTCTAGTTTAATTTATAGAGAGAGAAAGTATAGCATAGTAATAAAGTACAGCTTTGGAGTTTCATTGATGTGGATTTGAATATAATTTAGCAGGCTACCCATTATGTGACTTCAAAACTTCCATTGTCTTTATTTATAAAATGTGGATTATACCTACCTCATAGAGTTATTGTAAAGGTTAACCACTATATAGTATCTATAAATTCTCTAATACAATGCCTGGCACATAGTAGGTGATTAATAACTGATAAGTATTATCATTATTATGGTTATTGTAAAGCCTCCATTATTTGGTAAAATCTACAGATAAATTCTTAACTCAAAAGAAGGAAGAATGTAGAGGCTTATAGAAAAATGAAGCTAACATTTTTTAGTGTTTGCTATGTGTCAGGTACCCAGCTAGGTACTTTGTACCTAGGTACCTCAAATTCAATATGTCTAAATTGAACTTTTCTTTCCTTCCTCTCATGCCCCGACACAAAAATATTTTGTTTTTCCTCCTTTTTCATGTTGTGGTCACCATGAAGAGGCAAGATGGACCCCTTTCCCCTAAATTTGGTTTGGATATTGAGACTGATGATGCCATCTTCTACCAACAAGATGTAGAATATTTATTACTCACATAATGAGGCTTTCTAGGGAGAGCAGAGAAGGTTCTCAAGTTGCTCCTCAAAAAGCTTGAGAAAGCAGGGAAAGGAGACTAGATTTAATGTTTTATTATGATTAGGGAGTGAGAGTTCTGACTGGCACCAAAGGAAGGAGCACTTGGACTCTTATCACCTTCCCAGATATGGAGGAAAAAGGAAAGGGTAGTGGTGGGACTGAAAAGCTGTCAGCAGTCAAACATCGAAATGGAGTCAGACTCTTTTAAATTCTTTATCTCCATTATTGGAGCCAACACGTACCTAATCATCAGGCTACCACCTGCATCCAGCTAATCACCAAGTCTTGCCAGTTTTATCTCTAAATACTTTTCTTTTGCATCCCTAGTATTACTGCCTTCATTCAGGCATTTGTCTCTCATTAGGACTATTGTTAAAATTTCTTAATAGTCTTTCTACTTCCATCTTTTTCTCCTCAAGCCCATAATACACAGAGGAGGGAAAGTAACTTTTCCTTTTTACTTTTTATGATAGAAATGTTCAAACTTAAGCAAAAGTAGAATAGTATAATAAATGTTTATAGAACCATCACCCTGCCTGAACAGTTATTAACATGTGGCTAATATTGTTACATCTATATTCTCACTCCGTCTTTCCCCTGGATTATTTTGAAGAAGGTATCAGATATTATTTTATTCCTAAATATTTCAGTATTATCTGTAAAAGATAAGCAGTCTCTTAAAACATAACCACAATGAGACTTCTGGTTCTAGATAAGATAAAGTAGAAGCATTTCTAAATAGATGCTAAGTACAGGAGAACATGTATAAAACAATCATAATAAATCTCTGAAAGGTAGAGAGAAGGCAGACCAGCCAAGGATCTCAGGATCCGAGGACCAACATGGTGATGAGGTTGCTGGGTTTTCTTTTTGCCTCATACATCCTATATTGACTCCTGGAGAAGTCAGCAACCTAAGAAATACCAATGTGCATAGACAACAAAAGCCCCAAGGAAAAAAAACCTGTTCCTTCTAGGCAAAAGACTAGGAAGGGGGCAGCCTTGTCTTTTTTGTCCTGTAGAGTTTTCCACATTCTGCATTTTGCATATTATATCTTAATGATGTTGTTTAACATGTACCTCTCTCCTTCGTATTACCTATTAAATTGATAGCAAGATCTATAGGCCTGATAGATCCAGGTTCAATTTTTTTCGGCAAGACAACTTCATAGGTGGTGCTCTGTACTTTCTATTTTTTTTTTTTTTTTTTTTGAGACAGAGTCTTGCTTTGTTGCCCAGGGTAGAGTGAGTGCTGTGGTGTCAGCCTAGCTCACAGCAACTTCAAACTCCTGGGCTCAAGCGATCCTGCTGCCTCAGCCTCCCAAGTAGCTGGGACTACAGGCATGTGCCACCATGCCCAGCTAATTTTTTCTATATATATATTAGTTGGCCAATTAATTTCTTTCTCTTTATAGTAGAGATGGGGTCTCGCTCTTGCTCAGGCTGGTTTTGAACTCCTGACCTCAAGCAATCCGCCCGCCTCGGCCTCCCAGAGTGCTAGGATTACAGGTGTGAGCCACTGCACCCGGCCTTGTGCTTTCTATTATATCACATCTGGAGGCATATCATGCCTGGTTATTGCTCTTTTTGTCATGTTAAGATCAATCAGGCATTATTAGCCTGATCTATCCATTTTTAATTAAGTTCCTCATTAGCTTTTCTCCTAATGATTTTAACAGCCATTGGTGGTCATTACCTGGATCCATTATTTCATTAGAGGTTGCCAAATCTTGGTGTTCTAATTCTATAAAATAATATTTTAATATACTTATCTTACCAAATCTCTTCCCTATTTAAAATTTTTCAATTTGCTTCCTTTAAACAGAGGCAAAAGTTTGAGATCCTTAATATGTCATTTAAGAACCTCCATGATAAAGTTCCTGCCTACCCTCTAGACTCCTCTTTCACCATTTTCTGACCTAAAATTGATATTCTAGAAACACTAAAGTACTCACAGTTTTCCACCAACGTTATGCTGTTTCTCATTTCTGTGCCTTTGTTCATGTTATTATCTCTGCATGGAACTCTCTTCCTCCTCTTCTTCACCAGGCTGAGTTTTGCTCCTCCAATAAAACTCAGCTCATAACATATCCTCCAAGAAGTAATCTGTGAAACCTTTCCCTCCTATACCCTCTGCTCCTTATGTATCCCTTTATAATGCACTGTACAAACTGCTAATACTATATTTCCATGTTATTTTTTGTATATATCTCACTCCACTAGACTAAGCTCCTCAAGATCATTGAGTATGTTTTATTTTTCTTTCTAGCCTCAGAACATAACCCACTGCTTGCCTTATAGTGTGTCCTCAATATAGATTGGTCAAATGAATGAACTTCTTTATTTAATCCTTATACTTTTTCTATGAAGTAGTTGGTACCTACATTTTTTTAAAGCTGGGAATACCAGCTCAGAGAGGTTGTACAGCTTCCTCAGGGTCACACAACTAGGGAAAGAGACAAGATTAAAAATCTTGGTCTCTCTGACTCTAAAGCCCACACTGTTTCCATCAAATTATGCTATTTAACGAGTAAGTGAAAAAGACATGAGTCTTCCTGTTAGCTGAAAAGCCCTTCAGCACCAGAGTAAAATTTTATAATCCAATTGTTTTAAAAATAACCCAAATAAATTTTTAGCCATTTAGGGCCTGTCTGCTTTGTATATTCCTTAAAACTCCACCCTATGTCTACTAGTAATAGATAAAACCCAAGCCATGAATACCCCAAACCACTGCTGCCCTTCAAAGCTCACTAACCCAGACATTCCTTGTAGTGCTGCTGAGGGACATCACCTAGATATGTAACTTCTCTCCAGCTTTTCCTTTTCCTCAGTAAATTCCCTTGTCCTTCTTCACTTCTAGATGGTCACTACTGTTCAAGAGGGAGTCGAGAGAGAATGATGGGTAGAAAGCTTATTTAAAGAAATAACAGAAAATTTTCCAAACTTGGAGAAAGATATAAATATCCAGGTACAGGAAGGTCAAAGATCTCCAGTCAGATTCAGTCCAAATAAGACTACCCCATAACATATTATAATCAAAATGTCAAGGATCAAAGGCAAAGAGAGGGTCCTGAAAGCAGTCAGAAAAAAAGAAACAAGTAACATGTAAGGGAGTCCCAATAAGGCTAACAGCAGACCTCAGCGGAAACCTTACAGGCTAGGAAAGATTAGGATGCTGTTTTCAAAGTGCTGAAGGAAATAAACTGCCACCTGAGACTACTATACCCACCAAATCTGTTCTTTATAAATGGAGAGATAAAGACTTTTCCAGAAAAACAAAAGCTGAGGAAATTCATCACCACCAGACCTGTCTTATAAGAAATACTAAAATGAGTTATAAGAAATACCAAAATGAGGCCGGGCGCGGTGGCTCATGCCTGTAATCCTAGCTCTCTGGGAGGCGGAGGTAGGCGGATCGTTTGAGCTCAGGAGTTCGAAACCAACCTGAGCAAGAGTGAGACCCCGTCTCTACTATAAATAGAAAGAAATTAATTGGTCAACCAATATATATAGAAAAAATTAGCCAGGCATGGTGGCACATGCCTGTAGTCCCAGCTACTCGGGAGGCTGAGGCAGCAGGATCGCTTGAGCCCAGGAGTTTGAGGTTGCTGTGAGCTAGGCTGACGCCACGGCACTCACTCTAGCCTGGGCAACAAAGTGAGACTCTGTCCCAAAAAAAGAAAGAAAGAAATACCAAAACGAGTTATTCAAGACAAAAGACATTAATGAGAAACACAAAACATCTGAAAGTATATAACTCACTGATAAATATAAGTACATAGTCAAATTCTGAATACTCTATCAATGTAATGGTGGCATGTAAATTGCTTATATCTTTAGCATGAGGGTTAAAAGAAAACAATTAAAGTCCAAAAACAACAAATGCTGGCATGCATGCAGAGAGAAAGGAACGCTGATACACTGTTGGTAGGACTGCAAATTAGTACAACCTCTATGGAAAACAATATGGAGATTCCTCAAAGAACTAAAAATAGACCTACCATTCAATCCAGCAATCCCACTACTAGGTATCTACCCAAAGGAAAAGAAGTCTTTCAATCAAAAAGACCGCTGCACTCAAATGTTTATTGCAGCACAGTTCACAATTGCAAAGTGCCCATCAATTTATGAGTGGATTAATACCCAAGTGCCCATCAATTCATGAGTGGATTAATAAAATGTGGTATATGTATACCATAGAGTACTACTCAGCCATAAAAAAGAATCAATTAATGCCTTTTGCAACAATTTGGATGGAACTAGAGACCATTCTCCTAAGTAAAGTATCTCAGGATTGGAAAAACAAACACATGTACTCATTATTAAATTGGACCTAACTGATGAGCACACATGTTCACAGAGAGAAGTAAAACTCAGTGGAAATCAAGCAGGGGGGAGGGGAAGGGCAAAATCCCACCTAATGGGTACAATGAACATTACCTGGGTGATGGGCACAACTATAGCCATGACTCAAGCATTACAAAAGCAATCCATGTAACCAAAAACATTTGTACTCCCTTAATATTTTGAAATATAAAATAAAATAATAATAATAATAGCTACAATAGTCTGTTGAGCAATATGGAGTATAAAAATGTGGCATCAAAAATTTTAGATCTTGGGTGAGTGGAGTTAAGGAGAGGGGTATTTTTTCCCTTTTCTTTCTTATTGCAATGCTAGTTACATTATTATCAGCTTAAAAGATCCTTTATAACTATAAAATGTGTTTTGTAAACCTGATAATCAAAAAGCAAAAACATATAATAGATACACTAAAAACAAAAAGCAAGGAATCAAAATATACTACTAAGGAAAATCACTTAACTACAAAGGAAGACAGGAAAAGAGAAAGAAAGGTACTACAAAAGAACTAGAAAACAATTTTTAAAATGGCAGTAGTAAGCCCTCACCTATCAATAATGATCTTGAATATAAATGGATTAAATTCTCCAGTCAAAAGACATAGAGTAGCTGAATGGATTAAAAAAATGAGCCAACTGTATGCTGTTACGAAAAACTCACTTTACTTCTGAGTTCACACATAGACTAAAAGTGATCGGATGGAAAAAGATATTTTATGCAGATGGAACCCCAAAGAGAGCAGAAGTAGCTATTTTATATCAGATAAAATAGACTTTAAGTCAAAAACTATAAAAAGTGACAAAGAAGGTTATTTTATAATGATGAAGTGGTCAATTCAGCAAGCAGATGTAACAATTGTCAACATATATGCATCCCACATCAGAGGACTTATATATATAAAGCAAACATTAATAGATCTAACCTTCAACAATCCACTTGCAGCAATGGACAGACCATCCAGACAGAAAATCAACACAGAAACATTGGATTTAAATTGTACACTAAACCAAATGGACCTAACTGATATTTGCTGATATTCCATCCAACAGCTATAGAATACACATTCTTCTCAACTTCCCATGGAACATTCTTCAGGATAGATTATATATTAGGACACAAAACAAGTCTTAATAAATTTAAGATCAAAATCATACCAAGTATTTTTTCTGACCACAGTGGTAGAACTCAGTAACAGGGAAAACCTCAGAAACTTCACAATTATATGGAAATTGAACAACATGCTCCTAAATAACCAATAGATTGTTGTTGAACTGAAGAGGAAACAAACATACCAAAACTTATGAGATACAATAAAAGGGGAATGTTTATAGCAATAAGATGCTTGCGATTAAGTAGCCAAGATTGGTGAATAGAAACAGGCCAATCCTTTTGCAAGACAACGCTCGACCACATATCACACAAACACCACTGCTCAAAGTACAGCAGCTGGACTCGTAAACTCTCTGTCATCCACTGTATTCTCCAAACCTTGCGTCAACAGACTACCGCTTCTTCCAGGCTTTGGACCACTTCTTGCAAGGAAAAATATTCAATTCTCAACAAGCTGTGGAAAACACCTTTTGTGATTTCATTGCCACTTGTTCTCCAGGCTTCTTTGCTGCTGCATAAACAAGCTACTGTTAAGGTGGCAAAACTGTGTAGATAGTTTAGGCATTTACTTTGATTAATTGTACTGCTTCTTGTTTGAGATATAATAAACTAAACTTTTGGTTAGAAATTAGACATTTCATATTTAATGACCTCCTAATACTCCAGGTGATATCAAACCACTGGAGTAGATTGTGTATTATGTGTGCTTTGTGGCTTTTAATACACTTGGAATTCTGTCTTATACGTACCCTGTGGACTTAAGAGTAGAAGAATGGAAGGTTCAATTTCGTATGTTTTTTGGTGAGTATTCCTTCTGTGAATTGTTTGTTCATAACCTTGGTTTATTTCTCTATGGGATTATTTATATTTTTCTTATTGATATTAGATATTACCCTTTTGTTATATTTGTTGCAGATATTTTGTCCGAAGAATTTGCTTTCTAACTTTGTTTATATGCCTTTCTCTATGTAAAAGTTTAGTTTTTAATATAGCCTAATCTATTGATCTTTTCCTTTTTGACTTCTGGGTTTCTTGTCATGTATAGGGGACCTTCTTCCCTCCTTGAATTTAAAAATATTGTAAATACCTTCAATAATTTTTGAAGAATTTTTGGGTCTTTAATCTGCCTAGAATTTATTTTTATATATGTCTTCCTATTCAACATGTCTAAAATCAAATTCATTTTCTTTACCAGAAACCTACTATTTCTGTCTTTCCTAACCCTATTCATGGTATCATCATTACTTCAAGTCACCCAGACTGAAATTGCATCATCATCAATTCCTCCTTGTCCTCTGCCTCTCCCTACAGCATCACTACTATTATACAGAGTTGTTGGTCAAATCTACATCCTCTGTGGTCTGACTTTCAACCTTTATCTACCATTGCTACCTCACAATGTGAATGCTGTCACTGAAACAGTCTACTTATCATACCCAAAACATAGCCTATAGATGTCTACCTTCATACCTTTCTAAACTTTCAGTACGTTAAATCTTTGTCTTTAATGTCAGCTATGTTGAAGTACACAAAGAGGTAAAAGAATACCATTTTGTCAAAGTACAGCTGAAACTAAGACTTATTCTTTTCTAGATGTTTGGTTTTCAAGGCTGACTGTTAACCATGGTTTTACAAGGACTCTTAGTAAATCACATTAGGTTCTTAATCAGGGAGATCTGTCAAAAACAGGTATATCCATTATAACACTAAAAGAAAAGATTGTTGCCAGAGGCTTTGCTTATAATTAATATAGTATTGTCTTTAAAATTCCAGAGGACCTGACTGGGACACTGAATTGTATGATGAAGGGGGTGCTACAGTCAGAGAGCTTCTTACTGAATTATACAGCAAAGTTGGAGAAATTCGTCACTGGGGCCTGATCCGATACATCTCTGGGATTTTAAGGAAGAAAGTAGAAGCACTCGATGAGGTACTATAAATGCTACTTGAATTTATGCCAAATCTAAATGGGGGGTGCTTTTTAAAAATTGATTTCTCTAATTGTTTTTTAAGGCAACCATAGCCTCTAATCATTTCAGATGTTGTCTGGACCACATAAAGTTTCTGATAGTCAGTTAGCTTTTTGTTTGTGAATGATAAATATACATTAATAAACCATAAGAATTATAGACTTGTAGAGGTATTATAAACTATAAGAATTTATACTAGGCTAAAAGTTCCTACCTCCTAGAAAGGAGAATGATTGTACACTGTTGGTAAGAATTGGAAAACAATATGGAAGTTCCTCAAAAGATTAAAAATAGAACTACCATATGATCCAGCAATCCCACTGCTGGGTATATATCCAAAAGAAATGGAGTCAGCATATGGAAGAACCATCTGCACTCCCCTGTTTACTGCAGTACTATTCATAATTGCCGTGATATGGAATCAACCTAAGGGTCCATCAATGTATGAATAGATAAAGAAAATGTGGTACATATACACACTGAAATACTATTCAGCCATAAAAAAGAATGAAATCTTGTCACTTACAGCAACATGGATAGAACTGGAGGATATTATGTTAAGTGAAATAAGCCAGGCACAGAAAGACAAATGCCACATGTTCTCACTCATATGTGGAAACTAAAAAAAGTTGATCTCATGGAGATAGAAAGTAGAATGGTAGATACTGGAGGCTGAGAAGGGTATGGAGGACAGGGAATAAAGAGAGGTTGATTAATGGGTACTATAAAAGCATAGTTAGATAGAAAGAATAAGATCTAGTGTTTAGTAACACAGTAGGGCAACTATAGTTAACAATAATTTATTATATATTTCAAAATAACTAGAAGAGTAGATTTGGAATGTTCCCAATATAAAGAAATGATAAATGTTTGAGGTGATGGATGTCTCAGTTACCCAGATTTGATTATTACACATTATGTGCTTCTATCAAAATGTCATATGTACCTCATAAATATGTACAGCTATATGTATCATAAAAATTAAAAGATTTTTAGAATTTTTTAAAAGAAAGACAAAAACCAAACAAACAAAAAAGTTCCTACCTCCTTGGAAATGAAAAGATCTCACTGTTCCTTCCTGGAAATTCTTCTTTTCTGATCTTCATAGTATTTAATATTTCCTCAGGAAGAGAGTTTGGTATGTCATTAAGTTAAGAGGGAGCAAAGATTTCTGTGCTAAGAGCAATGTTTGTGTAAACCTGAGGTGTTATGGAAAGTATAATGTTATGCTATCTCTTTTTAGGCCTGCACAGACCTTCTCTCCCACCAGAAACATTTGACAGTTGGGCTCCCTCCAGAACCTCGAGAAAAGACTATCTCTGCGTGAGTATGGTTGGGTTTGATCAATTTTCTCTGCGCCTTTAGAAAGCTGTGTGGACTTACCACAATTCTCTTGCCCTAATCTGTCGATGAATGACAAAGTCCTATATGTGTGTACTTCTATCAGAAACACTTAGTGGAAGAATGTTGGTAATGACAGGGTGTGAGTGAGTGAAAGAAAAAACTCATAGGAACTAGTACTCAAACTTTTTTTATATATTGGGTTTTTCCAAACTTCCCATTCAAAAAACAAAACAAACAGGGCACCTGAAATTAGCACCGACAAGATGTCAGCCATACTCTGGAAAGAGGAGGTGGAAGAAAGTGTCTGGCTGGAGCGCAGGGCTGATGATGAAACCCCATGTTGCTCAAGAAGGAATGAAGGCAGCTGGAGTCATAGTCAAAGGGGAAAAATGGGTACTTACAGAGCATAGTGAGGTAGCACCCCTTCCAGAAAACTGTAATCAGCTTGTCATTGTCTCAGGTCTGCCACAGCTTACAGTTGGAAACAGTGCCCTAAGACAGCGGTCCCCAAACTTTTTGGCATCAGGGACTGGTTTCATGGAAGACACTTTTTCCACAGACAGCAGGGGAGGGGATGGTTTCAGGATGATTCAAGTGCATTACATTTACTGTGCAGGCAAACCTTTCTGCTAATGACAATCTGTATTTGCAGCTGCTCCCCAGCGCTAGCATCACCACCTCAGCTCCACCTCAGATCATCAGGCACTAGATTCTCATAAGGAACGTGTGACTAGATCCCCCATATGCACAGTTTACAGTAGGGTTCACGCTTCTATGAGAATCTAATGCCTTTGCTGATCTGACAGGAGGTAAAGGTTATGCAGCGATGCAAATGATTAGAAGTGGCTGTAAATACAGATGAAGCTTCATTGGCTGGCCCACCTGCTGTGCGGCCCAGTTCCTAACAGACCACAGACCAGTACTGGTCCGCAGCCCAGGGCTTGAAGACCACAGCCCTAGGATAAGCTTGGGCTGGAGGGGAGGGGGAGTCAAGTGACAAGCTAGGATGTAAAGTTTAATTCTTATGCATTGGTCTTCCTTTTGCCACTAGCCCTACCAGTAAAACTCATCCACAGTAAATCTGTTTAGTCTCATGTCAGGCCAGTGCCAAAATTTAAATCTGCAAACACGCTGTATTTCCAAGAAATATTTTTAGAGGGATTCTAACTGCATTCGTAAGTGAGCAAAAAAAAAAAAAAAAAATGTGTTTTTCTACTAAGGAGTAATTTAAAACAAGGTATTCCCCCTGCCTGCCAGTTCTACTTCTGTAGCCAGTGTAGTAAAAAGCTTATTTTCTAAATAAAACATGTTCTAGATAGAGAGCTTAATCAGGAAGAAATGAGGGAGAAGTAAGCAGGGATACCTTTGCTGATGTCTGTATGCCGCCATGGTTTATGTCCATGATTTCTGTTACCCCTAAGATCCAGTTCAAACTCCTATACGGGCTGGGCGTGGTAGCTTATGCCTGTAATACTAGCACTCTGGGAGGCCAAGGCAGGAGGATCACTCAAAGTCAGGAGTTCGAAACCAGCCTGAGCAAGAGCGAGATCCTGTCTCTACTAAAAATAGAAAGAAATTAATTGGCCAACTAAAAATATATAGAAAAAATTAGCCGGGCATGGTGGTGCATGCCTGTAGTCCCTGCTACTCGGGAGGCTGAGGCAGGAAGATTGCTTGAGCCTAGGAGTTTGAGGTTGCTGTGAGCTAGGCTGACACCATGGCACTCTAGCCTTGGTAACAGAGTGAGACTCTGACTCAAACAAACAAACAAACAAACAAACAAACTCCTATACGAAGGCTCAGAGAGACATGTCATAGGACCATGCATCATAGGTTCAATATGTAAAGTCTCAGTTATACTTTCAGAAAAATAGTCCTAACCTTGTGTGTGAGTTTGCTTGGGCTGCCATAACAAAGTGTAGCACAAACTAGTTGGCTTAAACAACAAAAATTTATTCTCTCACAGTTTTGGAAGCTAGAAGTCCAAATGAGGGTGTCAACAGGGTTGGTCTCTTCTGAAGGTTGGAAGAGACTTTGTTCTAGGCCTCTGTCTTTGGTATGTATCTTGGCTTGTGGGACCTTTTGTTATTCGCGGGGGTCAAGGGGGACCATGCCTGAAAGAGATGAGCGAGAAAAAGGAACGAGACCAAGCAAAGGGTTGTCAAGGTCTGCTTTACTAGGTTTTTCGTTGGTTTTATAAGCATACAGAAACAAAGAAGTAGGGAGGGGCAGCGGGGGGTTAGGGTTGATCAGTCAAGAACAGTTTAGGGTCAATCAATTACAAACTTCCTAGGGTTTATCAATCACAGATAGCCTCTGGCACCAAGCCTTAAGTGTTTATCAGTCGCGAACAGCCTCTGGCGCCAAGCCTGGGATATCTTGCGATCTTTCTCCGAATGGCCATCAAACACCTTTTTTTTTTTTTTTAATTTTTTTTTTTATTTTGGCATATTATGGGGGTACAGATTTTAAGGTTTCAATAAATGCCACATCAAACACCTTTTGACAGCTCAGGGTATTTATGGGCTAAGACCCTCAAAGGTCTCGGTTCCTAACAGGTATGTAGATGGCTGTCTTTTCCCTGTGTCTCTTCATGTTCTTTCTATGCATGTCTGTGTGTTCAAATTTTCCGTCTTTATAAGGACACTGGTCATATCGAATTAGGTCCCGCTCTAATAACTTCACTTTAACTTAATTACCTCTGTAAATACCCTATCTCCACATAAGGTCACATTCCAAAGTACTAAGGGTTAGAATTTCAGTATAAGAATTCTGGGGGACACAATTCAACTTCACTCCTGGCATACAACTTAAAACTTCGCTCCTGGCAAACAACTTTTTATCACAAATCAGATCAATTTTGTGACACTGTAGGTAATACAAAAGAAGATGGCATAGTCTATGCCCCCAGAGTGCTTTGTGTCGATGGAAGAATCAGAAGTGTGGGAGAATGTGTGTATATCTGTGTGTGAGTGTGTATGTGAGTGTTTGTATGTGTGAACTGATGAAACTATAGAAAATCAATACAACTCTGTAAGGAGTGATTGTAACGTAATAAAATGGTTTCCAAAAGGCACAGCTTTTAATGGCTGAATAATATTTCATTATGTAGGGAGGAGATGAAGAGAGGTTGGTTAATGGGTGCAAATATACAATTAGAAGGAATAAGTTCTTATGTTTGATAGCAGAATAGGACTATAGTTAACAACAATGTACTGTATATTTCTACATAGATAGAAAAGAGGACTTGAAATGTTCCCAACACCTCGCTTAATACTCAAGGTGATGTATACCCTAAATACCCTGACTTGATCGTTACATATTCTGTGCGTGTAACAATATATCACATGTACCACATAAATATGTACAAATATTATGTATCCATAAAAAAGGCACAGCTTAAAATTAGTTTATTACTTTGTAACCATGAAAATTACCTGTCGAGAACTAACCATGACCAGGCACGGTGGCTCACGCCTGTAATCCTAGCACTCTGGGAGGCTGAGGTGGGTGGATTGCTCGAGGTCAGGAGTTCGAAACCAGCCTGAGCAAGAGCAAGACCCCGTCTCTACTATAAATAGAAAAAAAATAATTGGCCAACTAATATATATAGAAAAAATTAGCTGGGCATGGTGGTGCATGCCTGTAGTCCCAGCTACTCAGGAGGCTGAGGCAGTAGGATTGCTTGAGCCCAGGAGTTTGAGGTTGCTGTGAGCCAGGCTGACACCATGGCACTCACTCTAGCCTGGGCAACAAAGCGAGACTCTGTCTCAAAAAAAAAAAAAAAAGAACTAACCATGGAAGACTAGTCTAGAAGGATATCATGGGGTGTTTTAAGTAATATTTTGAAGGATTATTTAATCCAGGTTTAGAGAGGAGAGCACAGAGCTCTTCTGAGTTGATATGGGCCAGGGTGGTTTGAAGAGGCAATGAGCTTTGAAGACTGAAAGAACCAGAATGCCTACTGTTAATGATGAAATGCTGAGGAAACAATTTGGACTTAGGAATAGCTTTTTTTATTTTTGCAACATATTTAGGTTTAAGTGGTTGTAGAATTTTGTCTGTCTTCACTGTCTTCTTCCTTAGACCTCTGCCCTATGAGGCACTTACTGAGCTGATAGATGAAGCCAGTGAAGGGGACATGAGCATTTCAATCCTTACACAGGTGAGCAGAATTATAAAGCTTAATCTGGTGATTGATATTTTAAAGTTTGTTTTGAATTCATCTGGCAGTTTCCAAAGATGAATAAATAGGCATTATGAAACCTGGGCCATAATTTTTGTCTATATTCATTCTGTGTGCAGGAAATAATGGTATATCTGGCCATGTATATGCGAACCCAGCCTGGCCTCTTTGCTGAAATGTTTCGACTTCGAATTGGCCTGATCATACAAGTTATGGCAACAGAACTAGCCCACTCCCTTCGATGCTCAGGTACTCAATTTAGTAACTATTTTAGATGGAATTTGCTTTTAATATATATAGGTCTATGGAGTTTTGGATCAGGGAGGAAAGAAAGCTAAAACATTTGTATTCATAGTTCAGAGGCTGCATATGGCAATCTTGTTCCAATGTTAGGACTACTTATACAAATCAAGGGGCTGATATGATGACCCATTTGTATATTAGTTCCACAACTTTAAAATGCCACATCTTGGGGTCTCTGTGCTCCAAATTCCGCTTAACCGATTATTCTTAGCAACCTTCATTTCTCCTAACTCCTCGAGTGCTCTGGAGAGTACTTGAGTGTGACAAACCAAGTTGGGTTCAGATTTAGGCAGTGGAGCTTCTGGATACCAAGATTGAGTCCTCACGTTAGTAGATCATAATGTCAGTATTCTGTTTAGTCAGCATCATGATTGAATAAAGGAAGACTATTTTATTAATGTTTATTTGACAAGACTGTCTTTAAAATGAACTCTAGGTGTATTTGGCAAGATAAAAGTTTTAGTTTAAAAAATAGTTGGTGTCTGTGGAAGCTGTAGATCAGAAATATATGAAAGTGTGAAGGGGAAAAAAAGGACCCCTATGGCATGACTCTTTTTTTCCATTGGTATTTGTTTGATTCCATAAGATGGATAGGGATGGCATAGAAAAGTAAAATCACAGTTGTAAAACTCAATTTTTAGCCATTCTTGTAGTTAAATTTTCCCAAAAGGCTTTTACTGAGCTTTTAACAAGAAGCTAAATATATTGGTTTGAGTCAGACCTAAATCAAACAAATGAGACAATTTATATTTAAATAACCCTTTGAAGGAAAAGAGCTAACAATTATTTTATACCTACCATATGCCAGACACTGTACTTTTTCTTTATATTTACATACATTGTCTCATTTGATCCTTGCAACAATCCTGGAGAAGGTGTTATTGTCCCACTTTTACCAATAAGCTCAGAGAGGTTAAGTAACTTACCCAAAGTAACATCAAGCTAGTAAATAGTGGAATTTAAGTCCAAGTCTTTCTGATTTCAAATGATTTCCAGTTCAGCACATTGTTATAGATAAGCATATTATATAGTATTCTTTAGTTGTGGTATCAAGGGATGTTTTATGAGAGGGTGTGATTGATCATTAATAAACCTCAATGAGTGAACGTTCTTCACTTTTCCTCTTATGGATTTTTGCATTCCTATGGATTCATCAAAACCATGGCTCTTTTTTCCCTATAGATAAAGTCAAAAATCCCTGAGTCTGATATTCAACACCCTCAATAGTCTGGCTTCTACCTCCTACTTTAACAGTATTTCCCGATATTTGTCAATGCCCATCCTTGAAGTATGATGTCTCCTCTGATTTCAAAAGCATTTATTGTATATACCTCTCATTTCACATATAGTACATGCAATGGTTTCTTATTGCTTATCTTGTTTACATGTTCCATCTCTCTCAAATAGATGGTCAGCCTTTCAAGGTCAGGTACCATGTCATACTCGTTTATACTAACATTACTTAAAATCATGACCTACCTGTAGTAAATTCTTAATAAGTGTCTGATGTTGATGAACAAGTTCAAGTTATCCTCTCAATATTCTTTATCATTTCATGGATTCATATCTATTCTCCTTTAAGTCTCTATATTTCTAGACTGAGAAGTTTTAAGTATTCCAGTCCATCTGCATACATATACATTCATTGCCTTTTCTAAATGGCCTCCAATTCCATTGTTCTTTTATTCTTACCACTTTCAAATAAAGATTCTACTGAGTACCCTAATGGTGTGGAGGAGGGTGGTGAAGAAGCAATCACTGACCTGGCTAATCCACAAACTGGATAGTCAGTTCTTAAATAATTAAATATTTATTACAGTATGAATATCTAAGCAATATGGTACTAGCAATTTTATTTTGTAATTCAATCCTTCTAATCGAGTGACTCAAATTCTAAATAAGTAAGGAAATAGAGAAAAAATAGGGAGGGAATGGCAGGCAAATTAGAAGTCCTTCTGTTCTAATGTTTCTGCTGACTAGCTGAGGAAGCCACAGAGGGCCTGATGAATCTCAGTCCTTCAGCCATGAAGAATCTCCTGCATCACATTCTCAGTGGCAAGGAGTTTGGAGTGGAAAGAAGTGGTAAGATTAAATAACTGAATTTCCATTTCTGACTGTTTGGTTTAAGTGTCTTATTCATTTTTAAATGTTTTTTCTTTCATCACAGAAGCCTTCTGCCACAAATAAATAGAACCTCAATATATAAAACAGTTAAAAGCAAAGCTGTCTTCTGAAACAAGATTAGGAAACTACTATGTATCTCATTTTTTTCCTTAAACGATACATGAACTAAGTGGATTGCTTACAATCGTGTTTTATTTTTAAGTTTTTTATTCATTTCCTTACATTACCTTATGTCTCTACTTTAGGACAACTAGCAACCCATATCTTCTGAAACTGTCTTGCATTCTAATTGCCAGTAATTCAGTAGCGCTTGCAGTGTTGTATATGTGTGTACATGTGTAGCTGCTTGCAGCGCATCTAATGTATATTTTCAACTTTAGATTTATATATATCTAGGAGTCCATCACAAACTAATCTTCCACCTGCATTTGTGGTTTAGGCAGTATTTGGTGTCACATACCTAAAGCAGCAGAGCAAATGAAAGGGGGTTATCTCTCATGCTCAACTTTCAGGCTTAGGATAAATTGATATTTAAGGTCAGATGGATGGATGTCAGACCTTAGAGTGGTAAAAAAGAAGGGGAGGGTATAATGCAGTATTCCTTAATCTGGGGATGTTGCTAAAATGCAGATTCTGACTTAGTAAGTCTGGAGTGGGACCTGAGATTCTACTAACAAACTCCTAGGTGGTACAGATGCTACTGGTCCATGGACCACCCTTTAAATAGCAAGGTTATAATTAGTTTTTAAAATTAAGTTAAAAATAAGGACATAGATCTAAGTCTTTTTAACATGGTAGAGGAAAAATTATATTTTATTATCCTCTCTCTTTCTCTTGAATCCTTCATGCTATATATAGTTCGTCCCACTGATTCAAATGTCAGTCCTGCTATTTCTATCCACGAGGTTGGTGCTGTTGGAGCAACCAAAACAGAACGAACTGGGATCATGCAGTTAAAAAGTGAGATAAAGCAGGTAAGATACTACTTGAGAGATTAGCTGGGATATTGGTATGTTTAAGAATATTCTTTTGGAATCAAACTTTGTTGGGATCAATTATTTCATATCCTGAGTTTAATTTGAGCCATTTATTTTTCAGGTGGAATTTCGTAGACTGTCTATCTCAGCTGAAAGCCAGGTGAAATAACTAGAGATCCTCTAACATAGTTTAGCTTGCCTTTAGTTCTAGATAACATGCATGAGCTCGTGGCCTTTTTACAAATAAGGTAACAAGCCATGGAGTAGCATGTTTGAATCTCCTTTATAACAATCATTTTTTAACTAGCTTTCATTTTTCTGGAACTACTTTGCTAATTGTAGAAGGAAAGCAACTTGCACTTGATAGCAAGAAATTGAAATCCTGAGTTTCTGTTGTTAGGACTGACATGCATTTTGGGAATTTAATTTTCTTTATAAAACTAGACTTAGACTTCTTATTTTTAAGAATAGCTACTAGAGAGAACATGAGATTAGGTGAGGACCTTATTTTTTAAATTTGTTTTCAGGTATTATCTCCAAATTTGACTTTTATCATTGCCTTGACAAAGAGTCTTTGTTTAGCCAAACTTCAGTCAGGCTTCTGAACCTTCTCCTAAGTCCATCTGTGCACTTCCTTGTAAAATCTCATTTTAGCAAAAGAACCCGGGTAAGTCATTTTACCCAGAACTCTCTATCCTCAGTGTTTGATTATCCTTGATGCCTGATCATCCTCGATATCTGATCAGGTTCCTTATCCTCCACCACCTCCCAGGTAATATCTGATCACCCTGATCTATCTTTAACAAGAATCCTGTTAGGTCAGTTTAATCAAAGTCTGTCTTACCCCAGTATTTTCTGTGGTTACTAATTTTCCATCCACACTGCCCCTTGGCTATAAATTCCTGCTTTCCCATGTTATATTTGGAGTTGAGCCTAATCTCTCTCCTCTACTTCAAGACCCCAACTGCAGTGGTCCCTATACCTACCACAGTGGTCCTAAATAAAGTCTTCCTTACCATGCTTTAACAAGTGTCACTGAATAATTTTTTCTTTAACAAGTTATACAAAAAGTGTTGAGGACAAATAGAGGAGAAGCACCTAAATCATTCTAGGAGTCACTGGGAGTCACTAAACACGATATTATTATAGTCTCTTACTTTTTCCTACAGATGAAAATAGATGGAGTTGTTACATCCTACAAGGAAGTAGTTGACACAGATTTCTATACCTTTTTTAAAAAATCCTATCATATGGTTTCAAGATCTCGAAATTGAGAACATACTCATTTGGTCTCTCCTAGAAGCCCTTTTTATGAAAAGCTTAAAACCAGTCCTCCTACTTTCAAAATAGAATTATGATAGCTTACAGTATTAAAACACCTTCAGAAGGAGAGAGATGAAATGGAGATTTGGAAGGGGGGTTGGGTTTGTTTGTTAGAGATGGGATCTCACTATGTTGGCCAGGCTGGAGTACAGTGGCTATTCACAGATGTAATCATAGCACACCACAGCCTCAAACTCCTGGGCTCAAGTGATCCTCCTGCCTCAGCCTTCCAAGTACCTTGGACTACAAGCATGTGCCACCATGCTCGGCTATTTGGTTTCTTTCTTTCTTTTTTTTTTTTTTTAATTTTTTTAAAGAGATGGGTCTCACTATGTAGCCCAGGCTGGAGCGCAGTGGCTATTCACAGGCGCAATCCCACTACTAATCAGCACAAGAGTTTGACCTGCTCTGTTTCCGAGCTAGGCCAGTTAACCCCTCCTTACGTAATCTAGTGGTTCCCCACTCCTGGGAGGTCACCATATTGATGCCAAACTTAGTGTGGACACCCGATTAGTATAGCACACTACAGCCAGAACTCCTAGACTCAAGTGATCCTCCTGCCTCAGCCTCCTGAGTAGCTGGGACTACAGGCGTGCACCACTGTGCCCAGCTGTTTGTTTTTTTAAAAAAGGAATCAGAAACCATTTCAGAGGAAAATGAGCCAATGCTTAAAGCTTAATTTGAAATAAACTTGAATACACTCATCAGATACCCTTTGACATTTGTATTTATGGAAGGGCAAGAATGGAATGGAATAAGAACAGGCATTGTGGTTTTTTTTTTTTTTAAGTGTTCACTTTACAATTTTTTCCCAGATAATTTGAGTAATCTGGACATTTTCCTCTTTGAAAGGTGAAAGAATTATACATTGAATATTGAATAAACTAATGTTATTAGTAAATCATCCTTGTTTTGGTTGAGAGTGATTTGGCTAAACACTTTATAGTTGTTTATAGTCACAGAATATTACTTACAAGTTCATTATATATTTGGAACTCAAAGTGCATGTTCCCAGCTAGATTAATATGATAATTAAGACTTCACTTACTGGCCAGGTATGATGGCTAATGCCTATAATCTCAGTGCTTTGGGAGGCCGAGGTGGGAGGATCCCTTGAGGCCAGGAGTTTGAGACCAGCCTGAGCAATGTAGCAAGACCCCACCTCTACAAAAAAAATACAACAAGTTAGCTGATGTGGTGGTACATACCCGTAGTCCTAGCTACTAGAGAGGCTGAGGCTGGAGGGTTAGTTGAGCCTGGGAGTTTGAGGTTATACTGAGCTGTGATTGTGCCACTGCACTCCAGCCTGGATGATAGAGTGAGACCCTGTCTCTTGTAAAAAAAGGAAAAAAAGAGAAAAAAGGAAAAAAAAAGACTTGACCTACCCAGCTATCTCATTTAGGCTTTTTTCTACATGTTTGCTATAGGTCTTCAAGGGAGCCAAAATCATTAGGACTATAATTTAGAGAATTCAGAGCTCTAAATTTTTGTTATTTTCTTATTTTTAAATATTGATTTCCATCCTCACCTGCCTGTCTGGCATTTTGTATTGTTCTAAGCCCTTTTCTCTATCACTCACCAATGCCTTCTTTTCTGATTATGGAAAAAACATTTTTGAGGTAGTTTTATTTATTTTACCCTTTACCATTACTTCTAGAGTAAGGCATTTCATTAGCTTTTTAATGATATCATGCTGGCTAGTTACTTAAATAGTGTGTACTTTCATTCTACTGACAACTTTTAGAAACACAAGTAACAGTTGCCTTGCCTCATGCCTTTTAAAATTTTCTTTTCTCAATTTTTTTTCATAGTCCAATGGTGGTCATCCCCTGGGTATAGATTTGATGTCACCGCCTTTTCTGGTAACTGTTGTTATTTTGTTGTTGTTATTTATATGCCATTCACAAGTGCTTTGAAAACATGTTGTATAAATCATGACAAATACTGGTTGACTAAAAAGTAAAACAAAATTAATTAAGAACTAAGCTAAGTATAAAGCACTTTCATATATGTGGGTGACGTGTTTCCATTTCTTTCCCAATAAGGCAGGGAAGGGAGTTCAACTCCAACCTCTTTTCCATTTGAGAAAACAAAATTAAATTTAATAAGTATTTGTTAAGTATCTGCATATTCATTTATTTCAATTAATATAATTTATTACATGCCTACTATGCACCAGGTACTGTACTAGAAAGCATCAACATTGCTTGGGAACTTACTCAAAATGCAAATTTTGGGTCCTTACCCTAGGCATACTGGCCCAGCAATCTGTGTTTTAATAAGCTCTTTAGGTGATTCTGATGTATTTTAAGACTAAAAACCACTAAGTTAGCTGTTCTTCTGATTATTAATTCATTTAGTAAATTTTAATTGAGTGCTAATTTTGTGCCAGGCACTGGAGATACAATAGTGAACAAAACAGATGGGGTCCTTGCCCTCATGAAGCTTACAGTTTAGGAAGACTGATCTCTGATTAAATTTCTTTGGTTTAAATCAATGGTTCATAATGGCCTATAATTTCAGATTGCTCAGGCTAAAGAGATTTAGGCCAGGTGACAACCAAACAAAAAATGGAAAACCATTGAAAGTAATATTAGGATTTTGGTTAACTTTAACCAAATACCTTATAATGAATTAAGAATTGCCCAAGTCTGTCATATCTACATTAATAGATGACAGAGGTATAGAAGAAAATGTAATGTAAAAAACTCAAAATTATTGTTATTTGGTTTGAAAAATGGTCTGAATTGTACTCTATCAGACCCATACCCTTTCTGGTTTGACCCCACTATCAACAGCCTAGGATCTCGGTGGTAGAGACAAGACAATGAAGATGAATTAATGGCAATTTGTCTACTTGACAGTTCAGTGTATGTGATAATCACTTGCCAATGGAAATGTTTGGGGATACTTTTCTCTTTTACATTGCAATGGTTTGTGATTTAGACATTTGGCCCAAAATAAAATATGAATTCTTTTCTCAGAAAATATTTCTATTATCTTCTATTTTATATTAATTTCTGAATCTAAACTGTCAAATAACCACCTTCCCCAGTGGTTTATCCTTTACTTCACAAAATTTTTTCAAAGTTCATTATGCTATAGCATGTTTCAGTACTTTATTCCTTTTCATTGTTTAATAGTATCATTATTATATTGATCATATTTTATTTATCTATTCATCTGTTGATGGACACCTAGATTGTTTCTACTTTTTGGCTTCTATGAATAATGCTGATATGAACCTTTGTGTACAAGTTTTTGTATGAACTTATATTTTCATTTCTCTTGGATATGTATTTAGGAGTCGAAGTGCTAGGTCATATGGTAACTATGTTTAGCATTCTGAGGAACTGCCAACCTTCGCCAAAGGGACTGTACTATTTTACATTCCTACCAGTAACATAGGAGGATTCCAATTTCTTCACTTCCTCGCCAACCCTTATTTATAATTGTCTGTCTTTTTGATTCTAGACATCCTAGTGGGTATGAAATGGTATCTCATTGTGGTTTTGATTTGCATTTCCCTGAGGGCTAATGATATTGAGCATCTTTTCACGTGCTTATGGGCCATTTGTTTATCTTCTTTGGAGAAATGTCAATTCAGAACCTTTGCCCATTTATAATTGTGGGTGTTTTTTGTTGTTGGTTTTTGTTTTTGTTTTTGTATTTTTGTCTTTTTATTGTTGAGTTGCAAGGATTCTTTATATATTCTGGATATAAGTCCCTTATTGGATATATAATTTGCAAATAAATATTTTCTCCCATTCTATGGTTTTTTTCACTCTTAATGGTGTTCTTTTTTTTTCATTTATTTATTTATTTATTTTTTGGCATATTATGGGGGTACAGATTTTAAGGTTTCAATAAATGCCCATTTCCCCCCCCACACTCTTAATGGTGTTCTTTGAGGAATAAAAGTTTTTAATTTTGACAAAATCCAATTTATCTATTTTCTTCTTCTGTTGCTCATGATTTTGGTGTCATATCTTTGCATAACCCAAAGTCACAAAGATTTATTCTTATTTTTTGTTCTAAGAGTTTTATAGTTTTAGCTGCTACATGTAGGTCTATGTTGAAGGGTGTCCCCAAGACCACTCCCAGGTTTGATGATTCACTGGGAGGACTCACAGGACTCAATATATAGTCATAGCCACAGCTATGCAGTGAAAGGATACTAAGTAAAATCAGCAAGGGAACAACATGCATTGGGCAAAATCCAGAGAAAACAGGCGCAAGATTCCAGAGTACTATCCCAGTGGAGTCACACAGAATACATTTAATTCCTCCTGCAACAAGCTGTGACATATGTGAAATATTGCCAGCCAGGGAAGCTTGTTAAAGATTCAGCACCCAGGGTTTTTATTGGAGGCTGGTCATGTGAATAGCCTCTGTCTGGGCACGTACCAAAACTCCAGACTCCCAGAAAGAAAGCAGGTGTTCAACATGAACCATAGTGTTTGTACAAACAGTTTAGGTACACTAAGCTACTGTTATCAGTTCTGGGAATGGTGGGAACCCTCCCAAAATCCGAGTTTCTATATGCCAGCCAAGGGCCAATCTTGTAAGCAGGCCTTTCTAAGAATAGCAGTTTTGGCCTGCTGTGTTAAGTCTTTTCTGCACAATGATCCATTTGGACTTAATTTTTGTGTACAGTGTAAAGTAGACGATCCAACTTTATTCTTCTGTATGTGTATATCCATCGTTCCAGCACTATTTGTTGAATATCTTTCCTTTGGCCAGGCGCAGTGGCTCACGCCTGTAATCCTAGCACTCTGGGAGGCCGAGGCGGGCAGATTGCTCGAGGTCAGGAGTTCGAAACCAGCCTGAGCAAGAGCGAGACCCCATCTCTACTATAAATAGAAAGAAATTAATTGGCCAACTAATATATGTAGAAAAAATTAGCCAGGCATGGTGGCGCATGCCTGTAGTCCCAGCTACTCGGGAGGCTGAGGCAGGAGGATCGCTGGAGCCCAGGAGTCTGAGGTTGCTGTGAGCTAGGCTGACTCCATGACACTCACTCTAGCCTGAGCAACAAAGTGAGACTCTGTCTCAAAAAAAAAAAAAAGAATATCTTTCCTTCATTTAATTCTCTTGGTATCCTTGTTGAAAATTAATTGACCAAAATATAATGGTTTATTTCTAAACTCCCAATTCTGTTTCATTGATCTAGATGTGTATCCTATGTCAGTATGACAGTTTTGATTATTGTAGCTTTATAGTAAATTTTGAAATTAGAAAATATGAATCTTCTAACTTCCGTCTTCTAAGATTGTATTAGCTATCATGTATCCCTTGAATTTCTATATAAATGTTAGGATCAGCTTATTAATTTCTGCAAAGAATCCAGCTGGGATTTTAATAGAGAATGTGTTCAATCTATAGATCAATTTGGGAAGTATTGCCCTCTTAACAATATTAAGTCTTCTGATCCATGAAAATGGGATTTCTTTTCATTTACTTAGGTCTTTAATTTCTTTTAACATATTTTATAGTTTTCAGAATATGTTTTGTACTTCTTTTGTTAGGTTTATTACTATGTACTTTATTCCCTTTGATGCTATTTTAAATGGAATTGTTTTCTTAATTTCATTTTCAGATTGCTAATTGCTGCTGATTAGAAAGAAAATTGAGTTTGTTATTATAGTAAGAATATTTAACATGAGATCTGCCCTTTAAAAAAAGTTTTAAGTTTATAATACAGTATCATTATAGGCATGATGTTGTACATTAGATCTCTAGAACTTATTCATCCTGCATAACTGAAACTTTATACTCATTGTAGCAAGTTCTCAGCCCAGGCAACCACCATTCTACTGTTTGCTTCGATGAGTTTGGCTATTTTAGATACATCACATAACTGGAATCATACAATATCTGTCCTTCTGTGACTCGCTGATTTCACTTAGCATAATGTCCTCCAGGTTCATCCATGTTGTAATATATTCCAATCTTTCTTTCTTTTTTTAAGGCTGAAAAATATTTCATTGTACGTATATGTCACTTTTTTTTAACAATTCAACTGTCCATAGACATTTAGGTTATTTTCATATCTTGGCTATTGTAAATAATGCTGCATTGAGCATGGGAGTGCAAATCTCCATAAGATCTTGATTTCAGGTCTTTTAGATAAATACCCAGATGTCTGTATCATATATATGGTAATTCTATTTCTAATTTTTTTTTTTTTGAGACAGGGTCTTGCTCTGTTGCCCAGGGTGGAGCACAGTGGTATGATCATAGCTCACTACAGCCTCAAATTCCTGGGCTCAAGCAATCCTCCGGCCTCAGCCTCCCAAATAGCTGGGACTACAGGCATGTACCATGATGCCCAGCTATTTTTTCTATTTTTTACAGAGACAGAGTCTTGCTATGTAGCTCAGGGTGGTCTCAAACTCCTAGCATCAAGCGATCCTCCTGCTTGGCCTCCCAAAGTGCTAGGATTACAGGTGTGAGCCACTGCACCTATTCTATTTTTAATTTTTTGAGGAACCACCATATTGTTTTCCATAGTAGCTGTGTCATTTTACATTCCTACCAACAGTTTACAAGGGTTCCACTTTCTTTACATCCTCACTGACACTTACCATTTGTTTTTTCATAATGACCATCCTAATAGGTATGAAGTGATATCTCATTTTGATTTGATTTGCATTTCCATGATGATATTGACCATCTTTCATATACCTGTTGGCCGTTTATGTATCTTCTTTGATGAAATGTCTATTCAAGTAAAATATAATTTATTTTTGTTATTGAGCTTATATCATACAACTTTACTGAATTCATTAATTATTTGTAGTTGTTTTTTAGTGAATGCCTTAGTATTTTCTATATACAAGATCATGTCATCTACAAATAGAGATATTAATAGTTCTATTTCTTCCTTTCCAATCTGTATGTCTTTTATTTCTCTTCTTGCTTAGTTGCCCTGACTAAAACCTCCAGTACAAAGTCAAATGGAAGTGATGAGAGTGGGCATCCTTGTCTTCTTCTGATTTGGGGGAAAAATAATCAGTCTTTAACTGATGGTGTTGGCTATGGATTTTTGTAGGAAAATATCTAACCTTTTACTAGATTGAGGAAGTTCCCTTCTGTTCCTAGTTTGTTGAGTAATTTTATCATGAAGGTGTGTTGAATTTCGTTAAGTGCTTTTTTGCATCTATTAAGATGATGTATTTTTTTACTGTTTATTCTATTGATATGGTGTATTATAATAATTAATGTTCAGATAGTAAAACAACCTTTAATGCCTGAAATAAATCCCACTGTATCATGTTGTGTAATCCTTTTAGTATATTGTTGAATTTGATTTGCTAGTATTTTGTTGAGAATTTTTGCATCTATATTCATAAAGGATATCAGACTGTAGTTTTCTTGTGAAATCTTTGTATGATTTTGTTATTGGGGTAATATTGGCATCATAGAATAAGTTGGGAAGTGTTCCTTCTTCCTTTTTTTGGAAGAGATTGCAAAGAACTAGTGTTAATTCTTCTATAAATATTTTGTAGAATTAACCAGGGAAGACATCTGTACATGGACTTTTCTTGGTGGGAAATTTTGTACTTACTAATTTGATCTCTATTTGTTAAAGGTCTTTTCATATTTTCTGTTTCTTTTTTAATCAATTTGGAGTTTGGGTAGTTTGTGTCTTTCTAGGAATTTGTCTATATCATCTAGGTTATATATGTTGTTAGCATATGGCAGCTGATGGTATGGCCTTATAATCCTTTTTATTTTTGTAAAGTCAGAATTAATGTATTTCTTCCTTTTTTTCTTGGTCTATTTAGCTAAAGAGTGGTCTATTTCGTTATAGTTTCATGGAAAGAAATTTTGGTTGAATTCATTTTTTCTATTATTTTTCTATTCTCTATTTCATTTCTTTCCTCTCTAATCTTTATTATTATTTCCTTTCTTCTACTTGCTTTTGGTTTCATTTGCTCTTCTTTTTTTCCTTGTCTTAAGATGAAGGTTTGGTTATTAATTTGAGGTCTTTATTCTTTTTTAATACAGGCATTTATAAAATAAATTTCCTCTTTAAGCATTACTTTAGCTGTATCCCATAAGTTTTGGTATGTTGTATTTTTGTTTTCATTCATCTCAGAATATTTTCTAATTTTCCTTGTGATTTATTTTCCTTAATGCATTGGTTATTTAGGAGTATATTGTTGAAATTTCATGTATTTGTAAATTCCCTAAATTTCCTTCTGTTCCTGACTTCTAATTTAATACCATTGTGGAATTAAACATACTTTGTATGGTTTTGATTCTTTTAGATTTATTATGGCTTGTATTAGGCCCATAAGATCAACAAGTTAAGCCATAGACCAGCTAGAAGTTTAACAAAGATAACCAGTTAAAGAGACAGCTAAGAATGTTCAATGCCATCAATATTTTTATGGTTCTTCTTATGTATCACTGGATTACTTTATAAAAGGATTTTGCCAGTTTATACCACATATAAGGCTACTAGCTTCACTGTAACCTCTTTATCTTGGCTATTTCACTTAATATGTCATTTATAATTCTACAGAGAGTATTTATTATTCACTTTGCTATAATACTTTATCATAGAAACAGAGATAACTTTGTTTCTTTGTTCTTTCCTTTCCTGTTCTCCCAAGTCACCTGGAACCTCTATGACTCAAATTAGTGGATCCTTTCCTAGTACACATGATTATCAGTCATCTAAAGATAGTCGTCAAGGTCAGTGGCAACGCCGAAGAAGGCTAGATGGAGCACTGAATAGAGTCCCGGTTGGATTTTATCAAAAAGTATGGAAAGTTTTGCAGAAGGTGAGCATAATACATTGTTGATATCTCTTTATTTTTCCCCCTTGAAATTCTCAGTCTCCTTGGCTGAGATATGACATGACTGTAACATCCCCATAATTATGTAAAAATCATTTAGTCAGATGGACAAAACCAAGAAGAAAACATAAAAATAAAAATGGAGGTAAAAGTCAGAGACAAGATGGCTGACCTCAGCAGTCAGATTGTCTCAGAAGGAAGGAAAAGTTTTAAATGAAAAAAAAACAAACAAACATAGATCTGGTATAATTCTGAGGGAAAAGTGCTAGAACCTACCAGAGATTCCATGGGAAGAAGTTGCATAGCAGAACAAGAAGGAGCAAGATACCAGCAGAGATTAACACCTGAGAGGTATGAAGTCCAATGACAAGGGTAGGTGAGGTGGTTTGTTTCTTCCTCCTTCTCCTCTCTAGCAGTCAGCAGGCTCCCGAGCTGATGGAGAGCCTTTTTACTCTCATGAGCCCAAAAGCTGCTGCCACCAGTAAACTGGGAGCTTCTTGAAGACAAAGCACCAGCAGACTGCCAGTCCTCCTTGGGGTTGCTTCCTGTCACCACAGACCTGAGTTGAGACGGCTGGCGCCATATTGCTTCACCCACTGTGCACCTTTGTCCTCCCCAGGAAGTCCCTCAGTTTTTGTCTCACTCATTCCCACACAAACATTTCCCAACACTGGCCCAGACTGCAGGAGCCACAGGGTGTAGTGGATCCCAGAGGATCTGTGTGACCCCAGAGCCTGGACATTATGGGCAGCCAGGCTGCCTTCCGGAGAGAGGGACAAAGGCAACCAGAGTGCTAGCTGTCCTCTATTCAAACTCTTTTCCTCCTCTGCCCCTACCTTGCCCGCAGCTGCTGAGAGAGAAAATGGAACTGGGGCTCTCAGGAGTGGCTGTTTCCCCTCTGTTGGTGTATCCACCACACCAAGGCTTCCACAGAGAATGGGGCTCAAACCTTTGACCTGCAGCAGATTAAGGGATGCTCAGACTGTGAGCTCCCTGCTCACGGCCCCTCTCTGGTGCTGCTTGCTCCATTACTTCATCAGAGTAGGGCACACCCCACGGCAGAGGGACATCAAACCTGCTTGAGCACCCCATAGGCAACTCAGAACCAGCACACTTCTACCTGGCACAGTCAGAGATTGATCTTCAGAGAACTGGAGACAGGCTCACAGGCCTAACCTAAGAGGCAAAACATATGCCCTCTGTTTTTTTCATTCTGTTCCTTTCTGAGTATTAATGTAACATAATCTTTGCACATATGTTTGGAGGCTTGCAATTCTCTGTAAAAAGACATTTGTCATATGGGACATGGGCTGGAAGAGTCTAATAGAGTCAGTAAACCTATTGGATTACAATCTTTATATATGGTTGTTTAATATATAATCTATTTAAAATCTAAAATGGCAAGTCATCAATTTCCATTTTAATAATTGAGTTGACATTGAGGGGGAAGATAAAATATCATTCATTTATATATTTGTTGAGCATTTACTGTGCACCAGGCAATGTTCTACAAGCTCATGCAGCAAAGAACAAAACAGAAAACAATATAACCTATATTGTGTGTATATATGACAATATAATGCAATTTATATTCTACTAGGAGAAACAAACAATAGTAAACATAGTAAATAAGTAAAGTATATAGAATTTTATACTGAAAGACTTTAGCATTATAGCGTGTATCCATGTAACAAAAGCTCTTGTATCCCGTTAATATTTTGTAATAAAAAAATAATATTGCAAAAGTATACATAATGGCTTGGGGATATACTTACCATATAATAAGTGGGGAAAAACAATAAAACAGTAAAACAAATTACAATAAAAGAAATGGAAAAAGTAGAGCAGCATAAGAATACTTATGGGGGAATGAGATGCTTAACTGGAAAATATAGTAATGGTACATGTCTGATAAATTCATGTCTTGAGTTTTTTTCCTATAGCCTAAAAATCTTTCTGAAGGCCTATTTGTGATAGCTCTGGGATCTAGCATGATATCTTCCCAGGTGGTTTCCAAATATTTGGGGCTAGCCTATTACCAGAAGGTAGATCTACCCTACCCTTTGCACTCCCCTAAGTAGAGGATGAACCTTGGTCTCTTGTAGTCCAGCCCTGCATCTTGGCACTTAGGAATCACAACCCCATGGCAAGGGCACTTGGGCTGCAGGGCCTCTCACTGATCTGTGATTACTCAGCATATGTCCCATGAAGCACACTTAGAAATACAAAGTGTCTCCTTACAGCTTCCCAGTTATTGGCCTATCCTTGGTGACAACATGTTCTTTTTTTCTGTTTTGCAGTGTCATGGACTTTCTGTGGAAGGTTTTGTTCTTCCTTCTTCAACCACTAGAGAGGTAAGGTTCTGTGGCTTTCACATTTATGTGACTGATAACTTGCCTGACTGAAGTATTTCCATGACCACTTCTCAAAGTAACAGACCTATGCTTTTATAAATCAACTGTACATGAAATACATTTGAAGAAAAGAGGGAATGTTTTTTTGTTTGTTTTATTTTTTTCCAGCATATTGTGGGGGTACAAATGTTAAGGTTACATATATTGCCCTTGCCTCCCCACCCTGAGTCAGAGCTTCAAGCCTGTCCATCCCCTAGTTGGTGCACATCACATTCATTATGTATGTATATACCCATCCCCTCCCCCCCACCCGTTTTTTAAAAATCGAATGGAGCATGCCTGTAATCCCAGCTACTCAGGAGGCTGAGGCGAGAGGATCACTTGAGCCTAGGAGTTTGAGACCAGCCTGAGAAATATAGAAAGACCCTGTCTCAAAAAAATTGAATTTGAACACTAGAGAATAATTATATATTGCATTAATTATATAAAGCCAGCTTCTTTTAATGTTTGATTAAGTTAGGCTAGTTTATGTGAGAGTTGGAAAGGGCAAAAGGGAAGGAAATCTAGGAATGAATGACTTTTCATGTCCCTCCATCCTTCTCATTCCCACTTTTCTCTAGTAGGATGCTTGTAGACCATTAGATCCTAAAACAGTAGTTGTTAGCTCTAACTATATGTTGAACTAACCTGGGCTCCCATCTCCAACTTAGTGGATTAGAGTCTCCAGGGATGGGACCTGAGCCTCTGTATTTTTTTAAAAATCTATAGAATGATTCTGATATATAACCATGGTTAGAAAATACTACCACAAATCACAGACATAGATTCTCAGATGCTTTTTTTGTCCAAATTACACAGAAATGATAAAGAACTAGCCTTATACAGAATCAACAAAGGAGCTAGTATTAGAAAGCTAGGAGAGATCGAGCAGTAGAAAATTCTCAAATACACTGGGGTTGTTGTAGATAGTAGCTAGGGGGATAGGTACAGAAAGCTAATGCTGTGCTTCAGGGCTTCACTCTTGCCACCAGGCCTTTTCTCTAATAAAGAACATTATGTCCCCTCTTTGTCTTTTTTCTGCCTTTAAGCAAGATTGAAATTTCATAGAATTAATAATAATACATACCTGAATAGTACCTTTGAGAGTCTTCAAAGTACTTTCATATTAATTTTATCTTCAGCACAAGTATGTGATATAGGTGAGATGGGTTAAAAAAGGGGGCAGGGGGATTGTCATTCCTAATTTATAGATAAGGAAACAATTTTAAAATAATATCTAAGGTTGTATAGTAACTGACAAAGATAAGACTTGAATCCAGGTCTTTAGACTCCAAATCTACATTGCCTCCCTAGAGGATCTAGTCAATACAAGTTTACTAAAACGTATTTCTCAATCCCCTTTACCCTAAAATAACTTTACATTTCTTTTTTTTTTTAAGACAGAGTCTCACTGTGTTGCCCAGGCTAGAGTGCTGTGGTGTCAGCCTAGCTTACAGCAACCTCAAACTCCTGGGCTCAGGAGATCCTTCGGCCTCAGCCTCCCCGAGTAGCTGGGACTACAGGCATGCGCCACCATGCCCAGCTAATTTTTTCTATATATATTAGTTGGCCAATTAATTTCTTTCTATTTATAGTAGAGACAGGGTCTCGCTCTTGCTCAGTCTGGTTTCGAACTCCTGACCTTGAGCGATCCACCTGCCTCAGCCTCCCAGAGTGCTGGGATTACAGGTGTGAGCCACCGCGCCCGGCCAACTTTACATTTCTTAATGCCCATTTTAATCTAGCAGTATGTAGATGTTTTTCATAATTCTAATCATCATGTACATACAATTTTAAGTTTTACTTAAATTTTTCCTTTATTCACAGTCATCTGTTTATTCTTTTAAATGGCTCTATAAAAACTTAGGAAGTCGCTATGCCATGATAGGCCATTATTTATACAACTATTCTCATGTTTAAGTTACTTCTAGTTTTACACTTGTGACTAATTCTGCTATAAATACTCTTGCATATAGAGCTTTTTTTCCTCTTTTGAATTACTTCCTTAGGATGAACTCTCAGAAATAGTATTATGGGTTACAGGGAATTGATACTTTATGACTTTTGTTATGCATTGCCAGACTTCTTTCCAAAAAGATTGAACCAGTTTACTCACTCAATTACTTTAAAAGGGTCTGAAGCAGTGCTCCTGGCTACAGTGTTTTTATTGCCTTTCAGAGCAAGTGATTAATGTCTCCTGGATGTCGGGCTCTTAGGAAGTGATTTTCTTTTTCTCTATCACACAGATGACTCCAGGAGAAATTAAATTCTCTGTTCATGTGGAGTCTGTCCTGAATCGTGTACCTCAGCCAGAGTACCGCCAGCTTCTGGTTGAAGCCATCCTTGTTCTCACCATGCTGGCAGATATTGAAATTCATAGCATTGGAAGCATCATTGCTGTGGAAAAAATAGTGCACATTGCTAACGAATTGTTCCTTCAAGAACAGGTAGGTAAACCTGTTGTTTTCTCAAGGGAGAAATGTTTTGACTCTAACCTGATTATATTCAGAGCTCTTTGTGGAGCCAGGGTCACTGTCTTGTGCCCTCTTCTTCCTTGTAGCTCTTTTCTGGGCTGCCTTTGTTGTGGCTTTGAGCTCTGTTTGCAAAAGAAGTATGCTGCAGGATGACCTGTCTTCCACCATGTATTTTGTGATTTGTATTAGGTGGTTAAGTTGCCTGGACTCAGGAAGTTGTATACTGTTCCCTGAAATTCCCTGAAGCATAGCATCAGCATCATATTTCAAATTCCTGATGGCAATGTTTATTATTATAGGACTTAATAAGAAATTATTGGATAGCATGTCCTTTCTAGACTATTAAGGAAAATAGAAGATTTGGTTTTGCTTTTGCTTTGCTTTCTTTTTGCTTTTACTACTTACCTATAGGAAAATATTAAAGTGAAACTTTTCTATATTTTTCTTATTTTATTAATAAATATTCTTCCAGGAAATTAACCACATTCAAAAATACAAACTAGTGGCTGGGCGCGGTGGCTGACGCCTGTAATCCTAGCACTCTTGGAGGCCAAGGCGGGAGGATTGCTCACGGTCAGGAGTTCAAAACCGGCCTGAGCAAGAGTGAGACCCCATCTCTACTATAAATAAAAAGAAATTAATTGGCCAACTAATATATATAGAAAAAAATTAGCCAGGCATGGTGGCACATGCCTGTAGTCCCAGCTACTCGGGAGGCTGAGGCAGCAAGATTACTTGAGCTCAGGAGTTTGAGGTTGCTGTGAGCTAGGCTGATGCCATGGCACTCACTCTAGCCTGGGCAACAAAGCGAGACTCTGTATCAAAAAAAAAAAATACAAACTAGCTATTAAAAGTTTTCCAAATGTTGCCTATTTGAGCCTGATGGAGTGGCTCACGCCTATAATTCTAGCACTCTGGGAGGCTGAGGCAGGAGGATCGCTCAAGGTCAGGAGTTCAAGACCAGCCTGAGCAAGAGCAAGACTCCTGTCTCTACTAAAAAAAAAAAAAATAGAAAGAAATTACTCAGGCAACTAAAATGTTGCCTTTTTAAGAGTAGAAGCACATAAGGTGAAGGACAGGTACTGTATTCAGTAGGAAATTTTCCAAAATAAATAATAGGTACTTCATTCCATCAGCCACTGTGAGGGGACACAAAAGAAAAATATCCAGGATTTTCTAGGACAGTTTTAATTTTAAATATTCTGGATCACTGTCAGTCCATGTATCAGAAAATGTGATCCCTTTTAGGCATGGACTCTAGCTTCAGAATTATTATAGTCTATTTTAATTAAGTTGGCTTAGAAAGAAATAATGATCAAATGCAAGATAAAAAAGTACAAGTTGAAATCAGTAGTACTTAGAAGAAGTCAGACCAAAGTACTATTAAGGTGATTTATAGTGTTAAAATTTGTCTCTTAACAGGTATGACTCATTTAGTTAACTATTTAACTTTCAAAGATTTTTTGCAATTGGAAAAATTCTAAACAATAATTTAAAAATAGTTTGCATGATTTGAGGATCTAATGAAAAACATATATATAGAAACTCATATTCACCCTTTTGTGCATAACCCTGATCTCTTCCTGGCTAAACAGCCTAGGCCCCAACTAATTGGTTTTGGGGAAGAGACTCTGAATTATACAAATAAGGACTTCACTTAGTAGAATTAGTAATTTTTCCTTTCCCCTGTGTTCTCTCACTCTTATAAACCAAACAGAAAACCCTCGGCGCAGATGATATCATGTTGGCAAAGGATCCTGCATCTGGCATCTGTACTCTCCTGTATGACAGTGCACCCAGTGGCAGGTTTGGCACCATGACCTACCTCTCGAAGGCAGCTGCCACCTACGTGCAGGAGTTTCTGCCCCACAGCCTCTGTGCCATGCAATGAGGGCTTTAGGTCTTGGATGCTGAGAGCCTTTTGACAGCTGGTCCCTGCCTCAGTTGATTGTGCATGGAACTGAACTGTTATCGCCTAATCACTTTCACTCCACCCTTTCTATCCCATCCCTTCCAAGAAGAGAGAACTTTTCCCATACACTGCTCTAGAAGAAGCGAACCCTTACCTGGAGGCTCACCTCCAGTGTGCATATGCTCAACCACGCCTGTCATTATTGGCTTTAATTCTTTCACGGTTCATAGAAGTTTGCATGTGTTTTTATTCCCTAGATCTGTTACCAACATAGTTTTCTAACTCCTGTTTGGGGAGCAGGTATTAATAATAACTTACTCCTAAAGTTTGGTTTTTCTTATTGTGGTTTTATTGTGTACATGAGTGGTGGGTGCTTTGGGACATTATTTCAAGTGAGTAAACCCTAAATTATTGGATTTTTTCTGCTATAAATTGGAAATATCCATTCTAAGTGCCTTTTCTTGGGAAAAGAGAGTACCAGATCATAGTTTCCTTTTTTATTCACAGGTTGCCTCACACTGAATGATGAAGTAGTTCCTCTGTAGAATCATTGTCTCTACTGTTGCCCTCTCTGTAGCTGCACACATAATGCCTACTCTCACTTGGGTAAAATATCAAGAAATGCAAGCACAAGCACATGTATATTTAAGGATTTTTGTGTTAACACTTCAAATCACATTTTATGAAGATTGTTGGTACTCAGATGTATTTGCAGCAGAAAATGCAGAATAACCCAGAGAAATGGAGCCAGGAGCCCAATTCCAGAGAGGAAGGAAAAGAAGAGAAGATACCTGGCAGTGTCTTACGCATAGGGAACAGAGAGGGAATCAAAGGTAGGTTAGTTCGCTGAAGACAGCCTTGTGCACCTAATCCTTGCCTTTGAAAAGTGGGCTAACACACAACACAGAGATAAATTGAAGCCTTTGACTTTGGCAAGGAGAAATCCAGTAGTCCAGTCCATAGCTGCTCTACCAAGCATTGTTTTCTTGTGCTCTTGATCTGTATCTCAGTCACCTCTGCACTTTCTACCACATCCAACCCCCCAACTCCCTCAACTCCCTGCCCTTCCCCCATCTATTCTTAAACTCTGTCACATATATTTTGACTTCCTAATTGTAGTGTACATATCCCTGTATATCTTGGTATCTGTGGGCATATGTCTGTTTCTTACAAATGCACATGTTTGTGTGTATGTGTGTGTGTGTGTGTATGTGTCTAAGCATACATGGGCATATTTCTGAATATACATAGTTTTGATATGTCTGTGTATCGATCTGTATCCACATTTGATAGACTAAGTATGTAAATATGAATGTTGCATGTGAGAAGAGGGGATGTGACTGCAGCCTCAGATTAACACACAAAAGGTAGTGGAAAATGCCTTTAGTCCTCTTCCCTGGTCCCATGTTTAGGTTGACAAATGTTTGACAAATGTTTGCTTGACAAGTGTTTCCCCTAACTTTCCTTCTCCCAAATTGGGTGTAGAGACTCTGCTGATTTCCAAGAGGGGATTGAGTCACTCAGATAACTTCCTACTTCAGTCCCCTCCTTTGACTCAGATTGTTAAGGTTTTTCTCTAAGAACAGGCATGGGAAGGGTTGGGACAAGATACCTTCTAAATAATTCTTATAGAACCAGTGACAAACTTATAAGTACACTGAATAAGTAAGTACAGTAGGGTAATAAAATACAGGTGGTAGAAACAAAGAGAAGATGGGCACCCTTTTAAGTACCTCTTTCAGAGCAAATGGAAACACACAGTAAGTAGCTTTCTGATTAGATGATTTTCTGGTTACCATATAAATACTCTGTAAAGAAAAATTTACAACCTGTTCTGAAACTGTCATTTTCATCAGCTGTAAGTGTATACCAGTCACAGGAAGTACATCTGAAGGGCCACAGGTGAAAGCCACCACTCCTTTCTATATTCATTTGCCTGAACTGACACTGATGGCTGTATTTCTCTGGATTTACTAAATTGTTTGTCACTATGATCCCCATACAGCGGTATATTTAACTTTTAAAGCAACTTTTTAGAAAACTCTACTTGTATTTTGTTCATTTTAAGTGTGTGATACTAAAAAGACATGTTAGACTTTTTTTAAAAAAAAAAGCACTTATGTTTCGAAAACAGAATAAATAAGAATTTCCAATTAAACCATGTCTGGTGCCAATATTCAAAATTTTATATGCATTTCTGTGATTGGAGTTCATTTCATGGCTTTATTTTACATATTCTGTTTAATTATATAGTACAGTCAAAGCTCATTAATTGGGTCAAAGTAGAATAATACTAATATTAACACATATATATTATACATAATATGATATGTTAGATAATATATGTAAATAAATGCAGTTTTATCATTCAAATATGTAACCACTCAACCTAGGGTCACTAAATTCAAATGAGCATATTGACATCTGTGAAGAACCTGTTCTGATGAATGAGTAAGACATTTTTACTCAGAATTTCAACTGTATACAAATAGTGCTTCTCCCCTACTGGAGGGTACTTAAAAACAATTAGTTCTTCTAAGTATTATAAATATTTAGCAGAATCTTGTTTATAATAATACTATTCATTAGTCTTTTCTAGAACAAGGATGAACAGTGTCTATATAGTCCCATCCTGGTTAATTAAGTTTTACTACATTCTGGGAATCTTATGCAACTGGTAGGGCAAAAGTTGTCATTCTTAGCCACAGCTCATAAAACAACTACCATCCCTTTTTGCACTTATCTGTACTAATCCAGTGGAAATAAATATAGCACTTTCCACATTTAGTCTTCATTTTCTATTTGACTTGAGTGGCCCCAGGTCTTGGTTTGTCCAGGACAGCCCCCATTTCTGCCTGTTTTCCTGGCATAATTATTAATAGCACTTTTTGTCACTCTCAAAAGTATCCCAGTTTGGAGTTTGGATGATATGGTCACACTATATTTAGCAGAAGTCTGATTCTTTTTTTTTTTTTTTTTTTTTTTTTTGAGACAGAGTCTCACTCTATTACCTGGGCTAGAGTGCTGTGGCGTCAGCCTAGCTCACGGCAACCTCAAACTCCTGGGCTCAAGCGATCCTCCTGCCTCAGCCTCAAGTAGCTGGGACTACGGGCATGTGCCACCACGCCCAGCTAACTTTTTCTATATATTTTTCATTGTCCAACTAATTTCTTTCTATTTTTAGTAGAGACAGGGTCTCACTCTTGCTTCGGATGGTCTTGAACTCCTGATCTTGAACGATCCTCCCACCTCAGCCTCCCAGAGTGCTAGGATTACAGGCATGAGCCACCGCGCCCGGCCAGTCTGATTTCTTTTAAGGCTATGCCTACTAGTGGTATGGGAGTAAGGATAACAGTGTGGGAGACTTTCCCCCCAAAATTTAGGAGTATTTGGCATAAAATAACCAAAATATTTGAGTGCTTACCAAGTGCCAGAAATTGTTATATAAGCACTTGGCATGGACCATCTTATTTTCACAATTGCCATGTGAGGTAAATATTATTGGCATCTCCATTTTACAGGTAAGGAACTAAGGCACTGAGAGGTTAAACAAATTACCCAAAGTCAATCAGCTAGTAAGTGGCAGAGCTGGAATTGGAACCCATGCACTCTGACTCTAGAGTTCACATTCTTAACAACTACACTCTCTGAGGAAAAGATGTTAGGGGTGGTGTGAAAATAAGGGTGAGTATGTTGAATACAGTTGAAGCATCAATGGACAGATTGTGAATTGAGCAAAGAAAGTAGTGAAAGGGGTAGTGCCCTTGTACTGTTTGCTTTCCCTTTGGGGGAAAAACAGGGGAGAGTGCCAAAAGAGGTGGCCCAGCCCAACCTGACCTTGCTGATTCAAACATTACCTTTAGCAATAATGGTTGAGTAAAGTGAGTCAAGTAACTTGCTCAGGTCACCCAAGTTTTGGAGCCAGGAATCAACCTACTGACCTCAAGTCCTCCAACTGCAAATCCAATGCTTTTGGAAGGGTTGTCCTCACAGTTTAAGAACCTCATGGGAATTAAGCATGTGGAAAATTAAGGTTAGGGAAATATGGCATGATTTGTGCTCTGTCTTAATCATAGAGCAAGCATCCAGCCTCTCTGTTAGATTGATTTGCTGCAGGAATACACTGTCAATTCCAGAGCACTATGCAACAATTTATCTTTCTTTGTAATTGAATCCTCCTACCACGTTGCATGTTGTGCTAGGATACTGTTTCCAGTTTAGAAGGGTTCAGCTATCTGTTGCTAGATCTGAAAGAACACATAAAAGAATCCGTTTTTATGTCATCTGATTAGAGTTCTCCCTCTCTGTTCCCATTGCCCCCACCCTAGTTTAAAATCATCACTTCTTATCTGCACCATTGCGGCACTCTAACCACCTCTAGTCTTTCAATAACTATTCTATCCTACATCTGCTGCTGTAGAAATCCTTAAGATTTCTGTCTAAGTGTCTCCACATTCCTCACACAGTGAAGTCTATTCTCTTTAGCCTGGTATTCAAAGTCCTTCATTATCTGACCCCTTCAGCTAAACTAGACTAGAAATTTCCTCCTTTGTGTTTTTGTTTATGCTCTTCATTCTAGTTGGCATGCCCTTCCCTGGCTCCCATCTTCACCAAGCAAAACCCTGTCCATCCTCTAACACCATCTCAAATGGCACCAAATAAGAATTCTAGTTACCATTTATTAAATAGTAATGATTAAGTACTTAATTCCCATTTATTAAGTAGGCTAAGCATCTTACATTTCATCATTTGATTCTGCATTTCCAATTTCTCTACAAGAATGCAAATACCTTGCAAGCAGAGATCAGATTGTAATTCATCTTTGAATCCTCAGCTGTAATGTACACTTAGTTGATGTCAGATAAATGCTTGATAAATGACTGTATGACTGCAGAACTCCTAACTAGTTGCTATGAGAAGATATAAAAGAAGCATGAGCTTACATTCTAGTTAGAGAACACAAAACCAAAATAACAGTATTTCCAGAATATTAAAGTATTGACAGGATACAAAATAGATGGTGAAAAAAGTAACACAAAGTCATCCTGGATGAATCAAGCTTATACAGTAAAGGGAATGTTCAAAGGCATCAGTGTCAGGCTGACTTGATTTTGGATTTCTGCTTTTCTGCTTTTTCAGTATGTGACTTTTCAGTACAGTTATTTTCTGTCTCTAAACTACATCTATAAAATGGGCATATTCCAACCTCCTTCACAGGAGTGTTACAAGGAGGAAATGAAATAATATATCCAAAGTGCATGTCACAATGTTCAATAAATGTTTAAAGAGTAAAAAGCAAGTTAGATTTTAAAGGCAGTAAGGATGTTGGATTGTCTCGGGTATTAGTAGGTCAGTTCAGGTTGGTATGAGAATCAGGGACCTGGGCATCAGGCAGTTTGTATCAGATCATCATAGAGGCCTCCAGGAACTGGAAACGCTGATGGTAATTCTAAAACTTCCTCAGGATAGTCTTTAATGTGAACCCTCATACCAAACCTAAAATGTTCCTCTAACCTCTGTTTAGCTGCAGAAACAAAAGGAGGGAGGAAAGAAGCTGCAATTTCCAGACACCACCGAAAGTACCTGCTTGCATCCTTTCTATCACATGAATGTTCAGGGAATACATTTGATATCATTGCTTGATTGGAATCTAGCAATTTCCACATTATCAGCCAGTCTCTTGGGAAAGTGCTATCAGATTTGCCAGAGTAAATTATTGAGATTGTTAACTCTCACATGGACGTGGATAGTGACGACAAGCAACGAACTAAAGTTGCATCGCAGAATTTACTGTAAACTTTTCAAACCATTTGTACCATTAATTAGTCCCCCCACCCAAAAAAATCATCTTTAAGATAGGCAGCTGATGTAGCTGGGTGGTGGGCTCTAGGTGGCCACATTGTATCTGTATTGAAATATTTAAACAGATGCATTTACAGATTGAAGCAATTCATAGAGAGTTGAGGCTTCTTTTTTTTTTTTTTTTTTTTTAGCGCTAAAACTCAAAATCGCGGTTATTTTAGTGATTAGCCCCGTCTCTTCCGCTGCTGAAACCTCTGGAAACTACACCTCCCAGCATGCTCTGAAGCTGGTCTGACCTCATCTCAAATGGCCCCGTAGGGCAACAAGGATAGTTAGTTTTGACCGTATTTATTTGTGCCATGAAAAATCAACCCTAATTGGCAGCTACTTGGACTTTTATATCTGCCGGACCCCTTTTTCTGAACTGTCACTAAATGAAAGGGTTCTGACCTGGGAAGACCCATCCATTCCCTCAATTGGATGGGGAGCAGGGACAGTGTCCCCGACGATCTCATGAATAGGAGGGAATGTTGACCAGGGAGCACCGCTGCGGCCGCTCAGAGGAGCAGGAACTGGAGGCCGGGCTGAGTCCGAAAAAACCCGGATCTGGACGGTGGCTCCAGAAAGGTTGGAAGTGGACGATGGAGGAGCCGGAGGAACCGGCGGACAGTAGGCAGTCGCTGCCCCCGGTTTATATCTACAGTCCGGAGTATGTCAGCATGTGCGACTCCCTGGCCAAGGTCCCCAAACGGGTAAGAGAGCGCAGTGAAAGACCATGGGCTTTGGGGGTGAGGGCAGTGGACGGGAAGGCATTAGGAAACGAAACGGATACCGGGCTGGGGGAAATCTTCAGAAATGTGGATAGCTGTATCAGATACCTAAAGCTGTGCTAAAAGGAAGTGTTCCCTTGCCGTTTCTGAGAACGCGGCGTGTCTCGGTAGACAGGTGGGGGTGGGGGCCGGGGGCCGGGGGCCCGGGAGGGGTGAGAATGGAGTTTCTACTACTAACGGTTTGCTGAAGTCCTGGGAAAATAAGCGTGCGGGTGAAGTATTCCATCACCTGCCCAAGGCCCAATAGCTTTCGCCTAAGGGATTTTGATACTTTGCATCTGTATTGTTTAAATTTTGTAACTGTTTAGTAACAGAAGGGAGGGGAATTAAAGCAAAGTTAGTCCCTTTGTTCAGGATGATGCAGTTGACTGTATTTTGCTAAATTAAACTTCTAAGACACTGTTTTCTGCTTTTTTTATGCTAATGTTTTAGGCCAGTATGGTACATTCTTTGATTGAAGCTTATGCACTGCTTAAGCAAATGAGGTAAGTTGCCTTTCATGACAATAGCCCTGAAGCTAGGTGTTTTTAGCCTTACTCGCTTGCTTCACAATGAGGCTAATTAGGGAGGAATTGGTCCTTTTAAAAAACAAAAGAAAAAGAAAAAGCTTTTTGTGAGAGTATTCACAGTGTTTTGTAATCTGCCTGTAACCCTGTGAAAGCTCTTGAAGAATTAAGAAAACTTGGGAAAAAAGCACATGGAACAGTTAAGGTCCATTAGAAATAGGAGAAGTATCTCAGAGATAGGTACATTGTGGAGATTCTGGGGTGAGTACATTTGAGTACTAAAAACCTGTCTGATAGAAAACTGTGTTCAGTTGGGAGGTATTCTGTTTTTGTTTTGTTCTAAGCCAGATCTGAGGGTGTGGGTTCAACTTAAGACTTTTAGGCAACCCACCACTACTGCCAAACTTAAACAGATGACCCTGGAATTAAGACCAAAGCAAACTGCTGAGACTGAGCCAGAACTCAAAAGAGAGCTAACTGCTTCTTTCAAAAACATGAGCTTGTTGTTTATTGCCATTTCTGTATTTGATCTCATTATAAGAGCAAATATTAAAACCCTGCAATGTGTAGGATTGTTTGTAACATTTTCTGGCCAAATAGGTGAGTGTCTACTCCAGCTAGACTGGTATGCCTCATTTATCTCCCAGAAGGTAGTATAATAGGCTTTTGGATTTTATCCTTATTATTAACAAAATCACTTCTTTGAGTACCTTTTTTAAGGAATGTTTTTCAACCATTTTTTAACCCACATGGTAAACATAGTAACACATGCCTCCCATTAAAGTTATTTAACATTTGAAAAAAATATTTTATGACAAAATATCAAAACAAAGCAAAACTGTCCAGTTTCCTCGTTGTTAAGTAGAGAGGCTTTCAGGATGTGTTTTTTAACTTTAACAAAATAAATGGAAGGGTGATAGAAGAGAGAGCTTTTAGGGCTATGAAATATGGCTCAAGAAATTGTAAACATTTTTATTTTAATGGCAGATTTTTCACTCTGATGGTATAGATGTGTTTTCTTGAAGAAGCAGCTAGAATCCTTGGATCTTGTCTATATATTTAATTGTTGAGGCTGGCTTGGCTATATATTTAATTTTGTAACTGGACCACAGGCTTTCTTGTGGCCACCTTGGTGATAGTAGTAGCTTATATAGTCATATTAATCCATGATAAACTCCTGCCTGTGTTCCCATTCAGCAAACATTAAAAAAAAAAAAAGCACTACTTGGCTGAGTGCAACAGCCCACACCTGTAATCCTAGCACTCTGGGAAACTGAGGTGGGAGGATCGCTTGAGGCCAGGAGTTTGAGACCAGCCTGAGCAAGAGCAAGACCCCATCTCTACTAAAAATAGAAAAATTAGCCAGGTGTGGTGGTACATGCCTGTAGTTTCAGCTACTCGGGAGGCTGAAGCAGGAGAATCACTTTAGCCCAGGAGTTTGAGGTTGTAGTGAGCTATGATAATATCACTGCACTGTGGCCCAGATGACAGAAGGAAACCCTGTCTCAAAGAAAAACAAAAAACAAAGAAACCCCACTACTGCCTCCCTGTGACCTAGGTGAGTGTTCCTTCAACTTGAACGTGCATATGAATCACCTTAGGATACATTATCTTGTTTAAAAATGATCCTGTTAAAATACAAATTCTGCTTCAGTAAGTCTGAGGTGAGGCTGGGATTCTGCATTGCCAACAAGCTCCTATGAGATGCTGATGCTGCTGGTCCACAGACCACCCTTTAAGTAGCAAGGGCTAGAGTACAGTGGCAGCTGTGAGGTTGAGAAGAGGAAATGGGGAATAGGCAGCTAAAAGGTTACAGGTGGCGAGTCCTGTCGTTAGCTTAGCTCCTTTTATTCTCTCATTCACTCCTTGTGAGGAAATCGGTTGAAAGGTTCCTAGTGAAGCCCAATTCCAACCACTTTGCACCTTCTCTCCTTTCCTGTCAGGGGCATGTGGGAGGGACCAAGGATAGAAACTTTTTACATTTTGGGTTTCCTGTTTTTTAGACTCTAATAGTAATAATAATGATAGTTATCCACAAAGCATTTTTGTATATGTTATCCTTTAATCTTCATGTAAGTCCCATAAAGCTCCATTTTACAGAGCTACAGAACAGTTGACTTACCTGAGGTTATAGAGGTAGTAAATACAGGGTTAAGAACAGGAACCCAGTTCTCCAACTCCAATCTGACTCCAAATTCAGAATGCATGGTAATTCTGATGGTCATTAAAATAAAGATATAGCTGAAAGGATTATACAGCCCAACCAGTAACTGATTCAGATGAAAATATCCCTGCCTACTGTGTTTCCCCCAAAATAAGACAGGGTCTTATATTTTATTTTTCCTCAAGAAGATACCCTAGGGCTTATTTTCAGGGGATGTGTTATTTTAAGTACTGTACAACAATCTACATTTATTCAAATATAGTTAAGTCGTCGTCTTCTGGAACATCATCATAACTCTCCAAACCCCAAATGCCATCCTGAATTTCTTGCGACTCTATTTCCTTTAGAAGCATTGGCCCTGATCTCTCATGTCGAGCACTAGAGCTCTCATGGGGCAGATGAGAAGGGCTGCTCATCTTCTTTCCCACTCCACAACAAAATGCATGGGTTGTGCAGAGACGCTGCATAGCCTCGCCCATCACTAGGTCTTATTTTCGGGGTAGGGCTTCTATTGCGCAAATGCTTAGAAATCCTGCTAGGGCTGATTTTATGGGTAGGTCTTATTTTCGGGGAAACATGGTACTAACTTGTCAGGAAAGTTGTAACTCACAGAGTATTTCTCTATTTTTTTAACTTAAATGTAATTACTCATTTTTACTACCTATAAACTCAAGGGATAATCTATCCTCTTGACCCTCATTAATGGAGTCATTACCATAGATGTGAGGAAGTAAAGACTATATAGTGTAGTGGAGGAACTGAATGTCTTTATTCAGCCCACTGGAACCTGAAGCTGGGAGTTGTATTTTCCGCTCAGACAGCTGCTTCTAGCTTCTGGCATATGGTTGCGTCTGACTCCCTCACCTCTCTTGGTTCTCTTTGTTATTATTAGGATAGTGAAACCCAAAGTGGCCTCCATGGAGGACATGGCCACCTTCCACACTGATGCTTATCTGCAGCATCTCCAGAAGGTCAGCCAAGAAGGCGATGATGATCATCCGGACTCCATAGAATACGGGCTAGGTAAAGTCGTTACCAGGCAGTGATGGGAGCTAGACATCCATCTGTAGATTATAGTACTTAATTTTTAATAATTTAAATAGTGATTTTTAATACTTTTTAATTAAGAAATAATGTTAAATGTCAATCTTAATCTTTTGGTTTAGCCACATATAACTCACTAAACAAGCAAACCATATAAGTTGAGTGAATCTGAATGATGGGTCAGGTAGAAGGAAAACCTTTCAGTTGCTTAGGCCCTAACGGCAGTGCTCAAATCTGGTCTGTTTGTATATATGCTGATTTAACTGTCCTGTGACCTTTTAACTTGAGTACAGATTTGTGTCCTGGCTAAGTTTTCTACCTTATCCTTGATTAAACAGCTGCATTTTTAAAATCATAAATTGCCAATAGGATAGTCTAGAGCAGGCATCCTCAAACTACGGCCCGCAGGTCACATGCAGGTGTTTTTGCCCATTTGTTTTTTTACTTCAAAATAAGATATGTGCAATGTGCATAGGAATTTGTTCATAGTTTTTTTTAAAACTATAGTCTGGCCCTCCATCGGTCTGAGTGACAGTGAACTGCTCCCCTGTTTAAAAAGTTTGAGGACCCCTGGTCTAGAGAAACAGCATGGTTTAGTAGAAGAACATTGGACTGGGGGTCTAGAGACCTGGGTCCCAGGGCTGGCTCTATGTGATCATGACAAGACATATCACCTCTCATGCATGGTTTCTCCATCTGGAGAGTGTGCCTAGTTCATTATGAAGGTTTATCCTTGCTAGCTCTAATCTTTTAAAAAATTATTTTTCCAATATTGGAGATGTTTCTGTTTTAGTTGGAGCTGATAACAGCAGGGTGACTTTTTAGTAGAGTATGTTGTTGTCACACCTCAACCTATTCCTCCTCTTTCTCCAGTTAGTCTTTTAACAAACTCTTCCTGTTTTTGCCCTAAGGTTATGACTGCCCAGCCACTGAAGGGATATTTGACTATGCAGCAGCTGTAGGAGGGGCTACAATCACAGCTGCCCAATGCCTGATCGATGGAATGTGCAAAGTAGCAATTAACTGGTCTGGAGGATGGCATCACGCAAAGAAGTAAGAAAATGACCTTTCTGCTTTATGAATCTTTCTTTGAGTCAGTTTCTCAATTATGTAAACTGTTAGGCTTATTGTCTTGACATTTACCGAGAGATATGTATGTATATGGCACTTTATAGTAGCACTCTTGCCTTCTGAAGAGATGCAAGTGAAACAGAAGAAGATGACTTAGTATAGTGGAAAGCACACTACCTGGGCTCTACAACTAGTTTTTCTGCTAATTTGGCTAGCTGCCTTGGACAGATTAAACTTCCCTAGGCCTCAGTTTTTTCATCAATAAAATGGGCAGGGCAAAGGATATAACTAGACAGTTTCTAAATTCCTTTTCAGCTTTCTGGAAATCTCCCTGTCTTCAAGGGAATTATATACTCTAGAAATATTAACAAAATTATAATAATTAGAAAACAAAACCAATTATGGTACCAATGGAATATATATATATATGAGCTGAGGAGACTTAGTAGTAGTAAGGAGAAATGAATCATGGAAGTCTTGGGAGAGGTGAATTTTAGAGCTAGTTTTTGAAAGAAGTGGCAAGCAGATTTTTGAATAGGTAAAGAATTGATGAGAATAGATTTAAAACAAAAGGCTGAAGAATCAAGAAGGGGGCTTATACTGCCATCGCTAAAAAAAGTGGCAACCGGCCGGGCGCCGCCGTGGCTCACGCCTGTAATCCTAGCACTCTGGGAGGCCGAGGCGGGTGGATTGCTCGAGGTCAGGAGTTCGAAAACAGCCTGAGCAAGAGTGAAACGCCGTCTCTACTATAAATAAAAAGAAATTAATTGGCCAACTAATATATATAGAAAAAATTAGCGGGGCATGGTGGTGCATGCCTGTAGTCCCAGCTGCTCGGGAGGCTGAGACAGCAGGATTGCTTGAGCCCAGGAGTTTGAGGTTGCTGTGAGCTAGGCTGACGCCATGGCACTCACTCAAGCCTGGGCAACAAAGCGAGACTCTGTCTCAAAAATAAATAAATAAATAAAGACAGTGATCACTTGGAGAAAAAAATGACCCTCTCTCGTTCAAGCCACAGAATGGAAGGAGAAAACCAAGCTTTCTGAATCAAGAATTTCTGTGTCCCCTTGGGCTTAGCAAATTGAGAAAAAAAGTAATGGAGCTTCATAGAAAATGCGTGCTCTTGTGAGTCAGAACTAGTTTCTCATGTATTTAAATTCACTGCAGAAGGCCTGCTAGGGCCTGGGTCAATTTCCAATGGAGCACTCAGTTACCTGCCACTTCTTATTACTGTCTTGCTGCCAAAGGAAGCACACTCTGTCTTGAGCCAATTCATGGCCACTTCAAGGCTGCATGCAGGTGCAGGCATATCGACATATCATTATCTTAACTGTTTGCCTGGAAACAGACACATCTGCAGTGAATGTAAATTACAAAGAATCTCTAGAAATTGCCCAATTCAGGTGTGAATTCCAGGGTGTTCTTGGCATTTCTAGAACCTCTTTGCAGATGTACTACACGCATTTAGCCCACAAACTTATATCCAGCCACATTTACCTATTATAGTTACATATTTATTTAGACCTCCCTATCTCCAAATATATGTATCAATTCATACATGTCATTTTTTTCATTGAGCAAGCATTGATAAAGCACCTACCATATGTCAAATATGTTTATCATCACTAATAAGCAGAGATATAGAAATTGAAACAAAGTATATTTTTCCCTTCCAAGTTTGGAAAAAAAAATCTTTATTTTAAAATACTCATGTGCCAGTAGGGTTACAAGGAAATTGGTACAACCCGTTTTGAAACTTTTGGAAGTGTTAAGAGCAGAAGGAAATGTTCACACCTGTTGACCCAATAACGATATTCTTGACAATCTATTCCAGGAAAATAAATCAATCCTGCCCTGGGGAAATTTATCTCTTAGGAGTAAGACAGCAAATAATTGTATTTGAAAGCTAAAAGTGATTTTTCAAAGAAAATTCTGCAAAAGAAGAGAATTGATGCTATTAAATATTAAGCATACAAAACTAGAATAATGAAAATACTGGTACCACTGGTATAAGATGAGACAGATAATATTACAGTATGCCTCCCCAAAGAGACCAGTTATATGTAAGAATTTAATCTATTATGTATTGCAGGTGAATGGGAGTGGAAAGGAATGTTCAGTAAATGGTATTATGACAGCTTGTAGCATTTACACCCTCATCTATAATAAAATAAGTGGCAGCTGGATTCAAGAATTAAATATAAAAAAGCAAATTTAAAAACTGGAATGAATGAATATTTATCAAGCTTCTAAAAGGGAATAATTTTCTAAGCTTAGGAAGTAATAGAAAAACAATCACAAAGGAAAAGATCAAATCTGACTGTATAAAATTTTAATACCAAAATAACATTTGGTATTTTTTTAGCCATTTTAAAAACAAAATCTAAACACAGACTGAAAAAGCCTATGTGACATAAATATGACAAAGTGTGATAGGCTTGTATCATCTAAGGCATTCCTACAGTATAATGTTCAAGAAGAAATATGGGCAAAAAACATGAATAGCCAATTTACAAAGGACTTTAAGTACAACTGGAAAACGGGAAAATGTTCATCTCTACTAATCAAAGAAATGCAAATTAAAACAACTAGGTAAGCCTCTTTTTAAGCCTGTGTTTAACAGAATTGAAAAAGATAGTACTCAATTTACTAGCGAGTATGGTTTGATCCAACCCCTTAAGAAATCATTTTGGTAGCCAACGTGTATTAATGCCCTTTGATCTAGTAATCTTACTTCTGGGAATGTTTCCTAAGAAAATAATTGAAAATATGGAAGAAAAAAAACTATTTTCATGCAGGTGTTTATCAGTATTATTTATAAAATAAAAAATTGAAATAACATGAATGTCTAGCAATAACAATGGTGAATCTACAGTATGGCATATGATGCTATTATTTTAAATGATTATGAAGATTACAGGACATTTCAGAAAAATACTTATGACTGTATTGTATAAGAAACAAGCTGGCCGGCGTGGTGGCTCACGCCTATAATCCTAGCACTTTGGAGGCGAGGCGGGATTGCTCAAGGTCAGGAGTTCAAAACCAGCCTGAGCGAGACCCGTCTCTACCAAAAATAGAAATAAATTAATTACCAACTAAAAATATATATACAAAAATTAGCCGAGCATGGTGCGCATGCCTGTAGTCCCAGCTACTCGGGAGTCTGAGGCAGTAGGATCTCTGAGCCCCAGAGATTGAGGTTGCTGTGAGCTAGGCTGACGCCACGGCACTCACTCTAGCCTGGGCAACAAAGTGAGACTCTGTCTCAAAAAAAAAAAAAAAAAAAAAAAGAAAGCAAGTCTTAAAACTGTATGTACATTGCAATCATGACTTTGTGAATAAAACACACACATAAGGGAAAAAAAGACCAGTGAGAATGATAATAGTGGTTATCTTAGAGTGGCTGAATTATTGATAATTTTTTAAAAATATTTTTCTTCTCAAATTTTCTGTAATGAAGAGGTTAAAAATAGTTACAGAAAATACAACAAAGGGCTAAAATCTTAAATTATTCTAATTGATTTTTTTTTTGAGACAGAGTCTAACTCTGTTGCCCAGGCTAGAGTGCTGTGGTGTCAGCCCAGTTCACAGCAACCTCAAACTCCTGGGCTCAAGTGATCCTTCTGCCTCAGCCTCCCAGGTAGCTGGGACTACAGGCATGCGCCACCATGCCCAGCTAATTTTTTCTATTTTTAGTTGTTTGGCTAATTTCTTTCTACTTTTAGTAGAGATGGTGTCTTGCTCTTGCTCAGGCTGGTCTCGAACTCCTGAGCTCAAACAATCCGCCCGCCTCTAGGATTATAGGCGTGAGGCAGTGCGCCCAGCCCTCTAATTGATTTTTTAAAACACTCATACTCAGATAAATGAACAAAAGATACAAATCGATAATTCACAACAGAAGAAGCAAATAGTAAACAAGCTTGAAAAAATATTTAGCATCACTAACTAGAGAAATTGAAATGTTATACAATTGACCCTTAACAACATGTGTTTGAACTGCATGAATCCAGTATAAGTGGATTTCTTTTTTCAATAAATACAGTCCATCCCAAGCAGGGTCCATAACCAAATGCAGGCAGAAAATACAGTATTCCCTGTATGGGAAACCCATATATAATGAGGGCACCGAGGAAACAAAGTGGTATACAGAATGTTCTTACTATCTGAGGGCAGTTGGTACCAGACAGAAGGCTACTTAGTGAATTCATTTAAAAGGAGGACCAAGATTTTAGAGTAATTAGTGGAAGGAGCTAGGTTTGATTAGGATGCTAGCTTGAATAACAGAAAAACATTTAAATAGGTTTATTTTATCTCATTGAATAAAATTGAGTGCTAGTTATAACTATTCACTAATTCTTAGAACAAACAAAGAATGTACCACGAATTGATGATTTTGGCTTGGGGCCTAGTTTTTCAAACAAAATTCCATGATATTTCAAGACAGTACATTTCACTTCCTGCAAGACTTTTGCAGCATGATCATTAAGGGGATTGATTTTGCCAAAATATTCAAGGGCTTCATCAGTTTTCACAGGGGCTTCTTCTTAATCACTTGGTATTCAAATTATTCTCTTTTGAACCACTTTTAAAATCATTATCTGTATGTTTCTCCTCTTCGGTTATGAACTGGTTTGCCAGGTCCTCATCAGTTTCATGTGCTGACTTTATGATATCCTGCATCTTTTTATAAAGTTTGTAATTTTACTTTGTGACAAATTTGCATTGAATTGAAACTGATATATCTGACAATCCATGAGAAGCAAAATGATTAAACAGATGGATGGGGTTAAATGCTATTGTTTGAAAGAGAGAGTTGTTTGACCAGGGACTGATATAAATGGTCAGTTCATTAGCATCCACATTCATATTGCAACAGCTTTTGTATCCCTAGGAAACCGCAAAACTTTAGTACTGGGGCTAAGGTGTAATAAATTCTCAGTAGTGAAAACTCCTCATATCAGCAAAGGTTTAGTGCTTTTTTTAGTGTTTAGTGTTTTTCAAACAGAGGGCTGCAACTCATTAATGGAACATTATATCAATTTAGTGGGCACAACCAACATTTTTTCATATCAAGGTAGATTTCATGAAACTTGTTATGGGATATTTGTGTGTGTGTATGTCTTTTTGTGTGGACTAGGTCACAATGTAAAGTGTCCAGCCATTGTAGAGTGGAATAACTGTGAACTTTGAAGTAAAACCTACATGTAAATCCAGGCTCCACAACTTACTAGTTGTGTGTATAACATCATGCTTATTCCAGGAACAGCATGTGTAGAGGCACCGAGGTGTGAAAGATGCAGGGGAAGGGGGGACTTGCACATCCATCATTAAAGCTGGAACCACAAGCTTGTATAGGCAAGTGGCCAGAAGTGAAGTTGGAGAAGTGTGAATGAAGGGTCCTTATATGCCATGCCAAATGGCTTGAACTTGATCCTTGAGGTCACTGGTTCTTAACCTTTTTTGGTCATGGACCTCTCTGAAAATCTGGTGAAAACTATTTACACTGTCCTGAGAAATGTACATACACAAATTTTTCCTTATAATTTCGGAAAGTATAAGGATCTCCTGAAGCCCAGGTGTATTGATCCCAGGTTAAGAACCTTGGACTTAGTGAAGAATCACCGAAGGAATTTTTAGCCAGGTGGAAATAATATTGTCAGATTTACCTTTTAAGACTATGAATGTAGCAATAGTTGGCAGCTGAATCAAGGAGAGAGACTGTCGATAGAGAAATCTGTTAGGGCCTTACTGTGATAATCTACCCAAGAGAAGATGAAAGCAGTGGTGATGAACATAGAAGAAGAAATAAATTCAAGACCCATTTGGTAGATAGAATCAATAGGAATGGTGACCGATTAGATATAAATGATAAAGAAGGGGTGGTCTAGATTTCTTGTGTACAAGACTGAGTAAATTGTGTTACCATTACCTAAGAACCATGCAGGGTAAGGATTGATGTGCTTATGGAACATCTAATTGAAGATGTCTATTACAGGCAGATAATAGGGTCCAGCCTAGGGCTTCTCTACCTTTAATGTGCATATGAAGTATCTGGGGATCTTGTTTAAATGCAGATTCTGATTCAGGAGGGCTGGGATGGAACCTGGGAATCTGTATTTCTAGCAAACTCCCAGGTTGTACCACATGCTGCCAGTCTGTGGACCATGCTTAGAACAGCAAAAGGGTGAGCTCAGGAGAATCATCTTCACTGAAGATACAGATTTGAGAGTCAATAGCATTATAGGTTATAATTAAAACTATGGAAATAGATAAAATCACCTAGAAAACATGTGTGGAATAATAAGGGGAAAAAATACCGAGCCTATGGAATGCCAGTGTTTGAAGGGCAGATGGAAGAAGAAAAGCATACAAAGAAGTCTTAAGAAGGAATGGTCAAAAAGACAAAGAGAATCAGAAAAGACATAACAGAGATTGAGGATGAACCTCAAGAAAACCACTTTGAATAGCAGTGACTGACACCATAGAGCATGCATTGGCAACAGGAGTGATTTTGCCCGAAAGGAGCAAAAATTGATTCTTAGGGTAGGGTGAAAAAACTTCGATGTTACAGTGGTTTATAGTCCTCCAAAGGAGCACAGCACATAAACATATGTACCATAATCTGCAATATTAAAATTTCATGATGGGGGACAATGAGGAAAAGGTTCCTTATTGTATAAAAATGCTCCTTCAGTAGAGGTGGGGCATGATAATGAGACAATGGTTGAGAAATAGTGCTGTAGAGAAGTGAAGTAAAATTTATCATTGAGGTGATGGTGAACAAGACTTCAATGGATGAAAAGGGATGTGTCAGGGAGATGAGGAGGTGGTGGGGGAAGGGTATTTCAGAAGGCCACAACAGCATGCGCAAAAACAGAGTGATATAAAGTTTAAAAAGCAGATATAAAATAAACAATGTAAAATAAGATATAAAATTTAAAAAGCAGGCCAGTTGCGGTGGCTCACACCTATAATCCTAGCAGTTTGGGAGGCCAATGCAGGAGAATTGCTTGAGGTCAGGAGTTCAAAACCAGTCTGAGCAAGAGTGAGACCCCCCCCATCTCTACAAATAATAGAAAAATCAGCCAGGCATGGTAGTGCAGACTTGTAAGTCCCAGCTACTCGGGAGGCTGAGGCAGGAGGACTGCTTGAGCCCAGGAGTTTGAGGTTGCAGTGAGCTAGGCTGACGCCACGGCACTCTAGCCAGCGTGACAGACAGACTCTGTCTCAAAAAATAACAAAAGCAATGTAAAACAAAAAGCAGAGCAACATAAAATAGCTTGGTAGATTTGGGGACTAAGCGTAGCTCTCTATCACTGGAAGATTAGGTATAAAATGGATAATGGCAGAAGATGAGGTAGAAACATAGGAAAGGGGTCACAAAGTGCTTCATGTATATCAGAATCACTGAATTGAAAAATATAGATTTCTAGGTCTCTCTGGGAGATCTTGATTTGGTAGGTTTGGGGTGGTACACAGGAGCCTATACTTTCAAAGTGTAGGGGTGATTCTGATGTATGCATTTTGAGAAATTCTGCTGCAGGAAATGGGGAGCCACTGAAAAATTATGTTAAGAAATAACATGGGTACATTTGTGTTGTTAGAAAATAACTTTGCAGTTATAGCAGGCAGATTGAAGGAGGCAGAGGCTAGAGGTAGGGAGACCGCTTAGGGTTTCAGCAGTCCTATTGAAAAGTGATAAAGACCTGACTGAGGCAGAGCAATGAGATTAGGGGATGAAGAATGGCAAAGGCTAATTTGAGACAACTTTAAGAGATAACAAAAAGTATTCATGATTAAGTGGTTGTGGGAGAAGATGAAAGATGAGGAAGATGAGTCAGGTTTCTGGCTTTCTTAAGTGGAGTCCTAAACAAGATAAGAATTAATAACAATAGGTAACATATGTTGAGCTATCTGCTAGGTACTACCTTATGTGCATTTTTCTCATGTGTCCTCATAAGAGCATTAAACAGTGAGTACCAATTATTATCTCTATTTTACACGTGGAAGTACAGAGAGTTTAAATGACTTGCTGAAGGTGAGAAGTGGCCAAGTTGAGATTCAAACCCAGGTGATCTGATTCTTCAACCTGGGTACGTAACCGGTATAGTATTTCTTTAATAAATAGGAATAAGTGGCAGTGTGCAGCAGAGGTAATACACAGGGAGACTGGATATGCAGATTTAGAGATGAAAAGTAAAAGCTGGAACTGGAGACTGAGGTCTGTTGCCAGTATATCAAGTGATGGTGCACACTATGAAAATGGATGGGATTACTTAGGGGAAAGGTAGAGAGTAAGGAGAAAAAGAAAGAAGAGCCCAGAATCCCAGGAAACACCAACTGGTAATGGGCAAGCAGAAGAGGCTCCAGGCAATTCAGCTGAAAAGCAACAATTGGGGCTAGCCACATAATCAGAATAAAAAGGGGTTGTGGAATCCCAGGGGAGCAGAAGAATTTAAGGAAGAAAAGAGCTCCCGACAGCATCATGTGCTATAGAAGGGCCAATCCAGATAGATACTAAAGTGGCAGTCACATTTGGCAATTAAGGCAGCCGTTAGTGACCTTGGTCAGAGTCCCATCGAGCAAGCAGCCCACGAGCGAGCTCAGCGCGTGACAGCTCGAGCCACCTCTATTATGAGATCCGTACCGGCCTCAGAGAGCGAGCCCGGCCGCGCGACCACCAGCCGCGCTAACCGCCGACCAACCACTGACCAACCGCCGACCAACTGACGACCAACCGCCAACCAACCGCCAACCGCCAACCAACCGCCAACCAACCGCCAACCAACTGCCAACCAACCGCCAACCAACCGCCAACCAACTGCCAACCAACCGCCAACCAACCGCCAACCGACCCCCAACCAACCGCCAACCCACCGTTACCAGGGTGCCGAGGGAGAGCAGAGGAGGCGGCATGAGCGAGGCTGGCGAGGCCACCACCCTCCCGCAGGCTCCGGCAGAGGCGTCTGCCGCGGTCTCCCAGGATCCCGCGCCCCAGGCCACGGTCCCCATGCCTGCCACCCTTGCCGCAGGAAACCCAGGTGGCGACACGGGCACCACGGCCCCCACCTCTGCAGTCCCCGCTGGCAGCGAAGACGCAGAGAAAAAAGTTCTCGCCACCAAAGTCCTTGGCATTGTCAAATGGTTCAATGTCAGAAAAGGATATGGATTTATAAATCGAAATGACACCAAAGAAGATGTATTTGTACATCAGACTGCCATCAAGAAGAATAACCCACGGAAATATCTGCGCAGTGTAGGAGATGGAGAAACTGTAGAGTTCGATGTGGTTGAAGGAGAGAAGGGTACAGAGGCAGCCAATGTGACTGGCCCAGATGGAGTTCCTGTAGAAGGGAGTCGCTATGCTGCTGATCGGCGCCGTTACAGACGTGGGTACTATGGCAGACGCTGTGGACCTCCCCGGAATTATGTTGCGGAGGAGGAAGAAGAGAAAGGGAATGGCAGCAGTGAAAGATTTGAGCCCCCTGCCACTGACCGGCAGTTCTTTGGGGCCCGGAATCAGCTGCGCCGCCCTCAGTACTGGCAGCGGCGGTTCCCGCCTTACCGCGTGGGACAAACCTTTGACCGTCGCTCACGGGTCTTTCCCCGTCCCGACAGAATGCAAGCTGGTCAGATTGGAGAGAGTAAGGACCGGATCCCAGAGAGAGCACAACTTCAGAGACCGGTTCATCGAAATGCAACCTATCGCCCAAGGTACCATCGGGGACTTCTTCGCCCACGACCTGCCCCTGCTGTTGAGGAGGCCGAAGATAAAGAGAATCAGCAAGCAGCCAATGGTCCAAACCAGCCATCTGCTCGCCATGGATACCGGCGTCCCTACAACTATAGGCGTCGCCCCGGTCCTCCTAACGTTCCCTCGCAAGATGGCAGAGAGACCAAGGCAGGTGACGCCCCAACTGAGAAGCCCGCTCCTGCCACCGAGCAGAGCAGTGCTGAGTAACACCAGGCTCCCCGGGCACCTTCACCATCTGCAGAGTGACCTAAAGAATTAATGACCATTGAAAAGTATAACAAAGCAAAAACCATACAACACACAACCTTACCAACACCAAAGAAACATCCAAGCAATAAAGTGGAAGGCTAACCAAGATTTGGACATTAGAATGTTTAATATTATTCTTTAAGAAGCTAACAACTGCAAAAGGAAAATGTCAGCAGATTTTTCCAGCGAGCTGAGATCCCAGGAATGCCTACACAAAAGACCAGAGCAACCTCCCCAGTTTCAGCAACAACTAGGTTTATATTTTTTTTCCTGATTTTTATTGTTTTGCTAATATGAATTGAAAGAAGAAATATTAATGCCATGTGGGGGCAACCCCAACCACAGAAATCTGAGATATATAATAAATGCTTATTTTCTTTTTTGTTCATTTTGGATGCTGCTCCTAAACATCCAAGTGTCATGATTTAAAAAGAAATTTTATGCCCTTATTTATTTCTAGGATGAGGGGAGGGTAACATTTTTCCTTTCTTATCTGACTTTTTAAAAATGTGCATTAAGAATTTCCTCAAAAATAAAATTTTTATGTTTAAAAAAAAAATGACCTTGGTCAGAGAACTTTCTGGAGAGTGATGGGACTACACCTCAAAACATTGAAGGGTAACTAGGAACTAAGGAAATAGGAAAGGAAAGCTACTCTGTCCAGAGGTTTGAATGAGGAAGCAAGGAAAGAGGAGGGGAGTGGTCAAGGGAAAGTAAGGGTTGATGGGTGGTGTATTGATTTTAAGAGATTTATAGGCTGAAATGGAAATAATGAAATATAAGAAGGGTAAGACATGGGGCAAAGTCTCAGAGGAAGCAGGAGAAAGTAGCTTTCCGATGAGAACCACCTCTCATGAAGTCAGAGCAAAAGAAGTCAGTGTTGGGTATGGCAGAGGACTGGTGGAGATTGCCTTCTAGCACACTGACAGAATGCCTTCCCAATGGCTTCTGTTTCTCTGTGAAATAACTCCTGCAGTTTTACATCAGTTGCTCACAGACCTCTTTGAATACTTTGATTTTGCCTTTTGTCGTCAGTCTCTTAGGAAGTCATCTTGTCCCATCCAGATACTCTTGAATGGAACTCATTCTATCCATGTAAACCAGATTATTAAAACCCTATATAGGATAGTGACTCCTGACCTCCAGAATGTGTCTAGATCACATCTTGTTTATTTGGACTGGCTAGTCCTCATCCTTCCACCAGCCTATTCGGGTGTCTCTTACCCTGTTTGGTTTTGCATATCAGCTCTCAATATCTTCCTTTATCTATTCTGATGGGCCACTTAAGACACATATCTCTAGCTCAACCACATCCTTCTTTCTCCCATAATTCTGTTCTTTGTCCTCTTGTTCTGTGATAGTTCAGCCTTCCAGCCACCAACATGGGATCTATGCCAGCTGGGCCCCCTTTGACTTGTCTCCCTGCTGGGAGAAGTAGAGATTATTATCCTAGAATGCTGTTGGTTTCCAGGACTTCTACCTGGGCCCAATATGTCAAGCTGGCTCAGAAAAACCAAGAAGCTGGACAAACACTAGGCCCACCAGATTGAAGAGTGTACCACAGTAGTCACCTTGTGGCCCACCAAGATTGGAACTGCTGAGACACTCATGGAGCTGAGATGTACTGTCCAGTCCTAGGAGATTGACCTGAACTCCATGAGAAATCTGAAGGCCAACTTGTAGAACAGTCTGAGGGAGGTGAAGGCTTGCTATACCATGCAGGTGGAGCAGCTCAATGGAGTCCTGCTGCACCCGGAGTCAGAGTTGGCATACACTTGGGCAGAGGGGCAGCCAGGAGTACAAGGCTCTGCTGAACATCAAGGTCAAGCCAGAGGCTGAGATTTCCATCTACAGTCACCTGCTAGAAGACAGGAAGGTCTTCAGTCTCGGTGATTCCCTGAACTGCAGCCACTCCATGCACACTATGCAAAAGACTACCACCCGTAGGATAGTGGACAGCAAAGTGGTGTCTGAGACCCATGACACCAAACTTCTGAGGGATTGAGGCAGTAAGAGCAGGGTACCATTAGGAGCAGGAGGCCAATAAAAAGTTCAGAGGTAAATAGAAGAAAAAAAGAAAAGAAAACTGCTCAGGAACAAGCTAAAGCAGGCTTTGTCCCTATAGCACCACCAATCCTGGTCTCTAGCTTATGAGGTGTATTCCTTGAGAACTGGAGAAGGTGATATATCACAGGTTCAGTGTCACATAGGGAATCCCAGTTTTATCACCTACTAGCTCCATCAATTACTACCTCTCTGTGCCTCAGTGTCCTCATTTGTAAATTGGAGGTGATAATAGTACCTACATTATGGTGTTATAAAGATTAAATGTGACAATTGCATTAAAGAATTTATTAGGCCTGAGACAGTGGCTCACACCAATAATCCTAGCACTCTGGGAGGCTGAGGCGGGAGGATTGTTTGAGCTCAGGAGTTCAAGACCAGCCTGAGCAAGAGCGAGACCCTGTCTCTACTAAAAATAGAAAGAAATTAGCCAAACAACTGAAAATAGAAAAAAAATAGCCAGACACGGTGGTGTATGCCTATAGTCTCAGTTACTCGGTAGGCAGAGGCAGGAGGATTGCTTGAACCCAGGAGTTTGGGGTTTCTGTGAGTTAGGCTGATGCTATGGCATTCTAGCCAGAACAACAGAGTGAGACTGTCTCTAAAAAAAAAAAAAAAAAGAACTTATCAAAGAGCCTGACACATAGTGTTTGCTAAAAATCATTTATCGTATCCATACTGAGTTGTACCCAAAGTGTCTTAGGCAACCTCTCAGACAAGTCTCTGGTCCAGCAGGTCCAACTTCAGCCTGTCCAGCTGAAGTCAGCCCTAGTATTGCTTGTTGCCCACTACACTTAAAATTCTCCTTTGTCCATACGCCACTCCTGCCTGAGAGTAGACTACTCACTATTGCCCTCAAGACTTACATCCTTTACTTTGTTAAAGTTTCTCCGCCAGCATTTCCTATGCTCTCCTACCCCACCTCTAAATGTCACAGAGAATTCCTTGTTCAACCCACCCCTCTGACTGTAAGAATCTAATTCACACTTATAAGGCAAATAAAGATACTCTCTACCAAGAGACAGGGACCGCCCCAATTGACAAGGGTGACTGTGTGGTAGCCCTGATACCCAGGATTTGCTTTACTACCAAAGGAGCAGATACTCTCTGAGACTAAATTCAAGGCCTTCTATAAAACAAAAACTTTAAACAGCATCTTGGAGCAGGTTTCATCAGATCCTCCATCTCCTCCACATTGGCCTTGAGACTCTGAAAATAAAAAAGAGAGAGTTCTTCCTTGTCAAGATTGTGCCATCCTCAGTGTGATCACTATCCAAAATCCCTTCTGTTGATCTGGAACCTTCTAAATCCAAAGTTGTCTACCTAGGCAATGTTAAATTTACTTAATGTGACTTGACAGAATTTCTGAGCTGGGTGGTGATTGAGTGATTACAGTAGCACCAACTCCAGGCCAAATCCCAAAGTGTGAAAATGGTGTTTCTGGACTACATTCTGTTCTGCCAGAGTTTACATAGTGCTGGATAAGATGTAAGGCTTTCTGAAATGAAGTTCCCTGGGACAATTGAAGATTTCAGCAATCCCTTATTACCACCAGCAATTCATCTACCACCTCTACATCTTCACTACCCCATCATTCATTCTCCTTAAGAGAAAGGAATTTGGTTCCCATACACAAAAATGACCTTTTAATAGCTTAAGACCTTGTTTACTTCTACCCCAGTCCTGGCCTGTATTGATGACTAGTGCCTTCAACATCCAGGTATGAGGGTGGAGGGTGTTGTCCTGTCACAGAAGGACCTGGGTACTTTGATCTCTGTCCCTGTACCCACTTCTCCAGGAAGTTGGTCCTAACCAAGGTCAATTACCCCAAGTGAGAATGAGAGCTCTTAGTGATCAAGGCCACTTTGAAGATAGGGAGACACTTCTTTGAGACAGGCAGCTTGTGGTCATGAGCTTAAACCATTATAACTTGCAACAGCCAAGGTAGACTTGCACCCATCCTCTTCTTGCTCAACAATGTCACAACCTTTTACCCCAAGCACAGCATAGGTAATAGGCAGATGCATATGTAGAACATCAAAATCCAGGTTCATCATGGGGCATCCCAGTGGTTTGTGTTCTAAGCTTCCCCATTCTAATAGGATAGGGAGTTGCCTGTGCCCATGGGCACCACTGCAACAGGACAACACAGCTATTCAAACTTTGTATGTAATCTGATGGAGCATATTTCATAATACAATCTACAGACCACCACATCTTAATACTAAAATAAAGATTCCTGAATCAAATCCTCTAGGGGTGGAGCCCAAGAATATTTCTTTTTAACGAGTGCCTCCCTAGGTGATTCTGCTGCACACTACATCTTGAGAACTCCTGGTCTAAGAGGTCTTTTACCTGCCCCATGTCTAACCTAGCCTCCAGTATGCCTCTATGATATGACAGTTGAGGCAAAGACAGACAAAGGTAACCTTCAGGCCCTTGGGACATTGTTCCAATGAACTTCACTGCAGATTTTCCCTCCTCCCACATCTATAACACCTTCAAATCAGTGGTGGATCCCTCTTACCCTGTTAGCCCAATCCACACCAGCTACTGCTGCCTTGTTCATCTTCCCCTTTTTATACATTCCACAGCCATCTGCTCTCCAGCTGCAGCCATATGGATTAACCAGGTACTGGGGGGCAGCTCTACTGCTATGCCAACACATAATATGATTGGTCCTCCTCCTCAAAATGCATTTATAACAACTCATTACACCCCTCCATCTAGGCCTCTTCCCTTCATGGCATAAATCATTTCCAGCCCACTATTGCCCTGGCTAGTTGTTCGAACCATGGCACCCTGGAGTCTAGTCAATACCTGGGCCACCCAAATATGGACTACCCAAGGACACATTCAATTAGTCTTCACCATAAGACATAGCACAGTGGTTAAGAGTAGGGACTCTGAAGTCACATTGCCTGGGTTTGAATTCCAGCACTGTCACTTTCTGACTATGTAACCATGAACAACTTCCTTAAACCATCTTTTCCTCAATTTCCTCACC